CGCTGGGTGCGGTCCGCCGCTGCCACCGGCCTGTCTCCTCAGCCATCCAGTGCGACCCCGTGCGCCACTGCGCCAGGCGCACCCGGCGCCGGCGCTCGGGCACATCGCACAGGAACGACGCAGGCGTGTAGGCCTCCGCAGAGATGCTGCCCCCCCACACGTCCTCAATGTACCGCTGCACCTTCACGGATGCGTGCGTGTACGAGGCAACATGGCGCTCCAGGAGCGCTTCCGCCAATTCAGGTATGGCCTGCAGGCTGCACATGTAACAGCGTGCCCGGGAACCTGCGGGTCAGATCTTCTTTGGGGCAGATGGCAGAAAGGGCAGAAAGCCGAAAGAAACACGGGGGCAGTGATGAGATTTAATAACAGGTTGGGGTGAGACAAGGGGGGACGCTCAGCATTGAAACAACAGCAGTGCAAAGCAATACGTGACTCCAGCCGCCCGCCGTCACTTCTCATCAGCGCCAAACTCGAAGAACCTGAGCAGCTCCTTAGCCACCGCCTCGGGGTAGTCCTCCTGGAAAGAAGCAAGGTTGAGAAGCAGAGGCAGACGCAGCATCAGTGGTTGGCAGCCGATGCGCACAACACTGCCTCCCATCCAGCAAACCGAGTCAGTTGCCCGGCATGGCATCTGCCGCCACTTCTGCTGCCCCCCACCCCACCCTTACCCCCCACCCACCTGCGGCATGTGGCCCAGCTTGGCCTCCACGCTGCTGCCCATCCTCATGCAAGTGCGCTTGCTCTCCAGCCACTCAAACACAGACTTGAAGGGGATGAACTGGTCTGCAGGCACACAAAGCAGAGGCTCATGGGCGCCGGAGCACACACTCCAGTGGCTGGTGCAGCCAGCGACGCTGTGCCTGCACCATGCCAGCCTGACCAGCCGGGCAGCACAGCGCTGCAGCGCATCACTTCCCAGCCCAGCTGCCTGCTCACCCGAGGTGCCGTGCAGCACTAGGCTGGGCTGGCGCCAGCTCTGGTACCCCTCATCCACGCGCCTCAGCAACGCGGGCCAGTCCAGCTGGGCCATGATGGACGCGATTGCCTCACTGGCAGCAGCCTCCTCCTGGTACGGCGCTGCGGGAAGGATCCAGCGGCAGCGCTGAGGCAGGCGCAAGCCTGCAGCATACGCCTGCAGCTGCCAGGCACGGCACAGCAGCAGCAGCGCCAGCCCACAGCCAGTCGCCGCATGTGGCGGCCCAGCCCGGCCAGGGCCAGGCGGCGCTGGGTGCTCCCCTGCCCAGCACAGCACAGCGCATCCCAGCCCAGCCCAGCACAGCACAGCAGGCTCACCATCGTACGCCTGGGCATCGCGGTAGGTCATCGCATACGGCCCCCCCGCGGCATTGAACAAGTCGCCGGCAAACTTGCTGCCCGCCTTTGGCCGCAGGAAGGGGACGGGGTTCTTGTAGGCCGCCAGCTCCGGCCGCAGCGGGGTCTTCTGGCTGAGCGGGGTGTTGAGGATGGCCAGCTTGGCAACTGACTCTGCAGGGGCGCAGCCCGGGCAGGCGGGAGTGGGCAGCTCAGCCGGCCAGCTAGTTTTTAGGTGGCACGCTGAATGGCTGCCGGCCGGCCACGACTGCATGCAGCACAGGCTGGCACACTAGGCGCCGGGCATGCCATGCACGCCATGCAAGAGCGGCGGCAGCGGCACCGCGGCTCACCATCGTTTTCGAGGGCGTACAGCAGGCCGTACTGCCCGAGGACGTAGCCCTGTACCACCAGCGCAAACGGCTGCCGGATGCCCGCCGCCGCCACAAACTGCTGCAGGGCCGCCACATATGCTTCTGCTGAGTAGTCGAAGCCGCTGGTGGGCTGCAGCAGGAGCGGAGAGGCAGGCAGGCAGGCAGGCAGGCAGGTGGCCGGGCGGGTGGGGAGGCTGGCGGGCACAAGCGGATAGGCAGCCGTGGGGGCGAACCGGTAGAGCAGCATCACCCACGGCACAACACCATCGCACCCACGAGCACCCACGCACCTTGCTGGAGGCGCCATGCCCCAGCCAGTCCACCGCGATGGCCTCGTGCCCCGCCTCGCCCAGCAGGCGCACCAGGCTGCGGTAAGTGTAGGAGCTGCTGCCGATGCCGTGGAGGCACAGGATGGGGAGCTTGTCGGGGGTGGCCGCCGCCTCGTTCACCTCCCCCCTACGCAACGCCCACGTGAAGCCGCCCGCCTCCACCCGCTCGCTGCAGGGCAGGCACGCCGCGGGTGCGGGATGCGCCCACCAGGTGAAGGGAAGGGGCAGTTGGGCACGGTGGGGCGCGGAGCGCAACGCAGGCAGGGGCAAGGCAGGCCGTCAGGCGGGCACCGGTTCGTACCTGGCCTCTGTGGCCATGGTGGTGCCTCCGATGATGTCCCCTGTCATGGGATCAATCTCCTCCAGCTCGGCTGCTCGTGCCACCATGGCTGCACGCCCCCTGCCACGGCTCAGCGGCGCACGCCGGCAGGCGGCGCGGGCGGCAGCGGCGCCGGCGGGGCTGCTGGGAGCCCCGTTCTTTAGGGATGCCCTGCTGCCAGCATGACTGTGGGCGGCTGGCCTGGCCAGCGCTGAGCTGCACGACATGTGTGTGGCGTTCCCCGAGCACCAACGCCTGAAAGAACGTGGATTCTCCCGGGTGCAGCCCCTGGGATGTTGATGTCACCAATGTGGCTTATTTGCAGGCGTTCTGGTGGTCACTCCCACCAGACAGCAGGGCGCCCAGCTGGAGGTCGGCCTTGTGGGGACGGCACATCTTGAACCGCCACAACAATCGTGCTCTCAGCCATCGTTGCCAACTGAATTGCGGCTGTCAAGCCTCCTCCCTCTCCTGCTGCCATCTCCTTCTGCCGCCAATTGGGGCTCCTGCGCGTCTGCTCGCACGAGTCTGAACCCGTCCAAGTCGATCGGTGGGCCTGAGTCGTCGTGTGCACATCTGGGCCAGGCAGCGGCAGCGGCAGCGGCGGGTGCAGCGGCGGCAGCGGTGTAGGATGAATGGTGCCATGGCGGAAGCACTAGCGCAGGCGGATGGGGAGGACGATGTGGAGAAGCAGATCGAGGCCGCCCTGGCCTGCCCCTGCCTAGGCGAGCTGCGCCGCCCGCATTGGTGCTTGCCGTTTGCTCGCCGCACCATCCGTCTGATCTGCTTCTGCTGTTGGGAACGCTGCCCTGGACTTCCCCCTCCCCACTCATGCCGCTGCACCCGTCGCTCCCGCAGGCGACCTGAAGGAGGGCGCGTGTGGTCCCACCTTTGTGCACGCCTTTGGCTGCTTCATCCGCAGCGAGCACGAGGACAAGGGCATGGACTGCCTGGAGCAGTTCAAGGCCTTCCAGGTGGGGGGGCTGGGGTTGGGGCTGGGATGGCAGGGTGGTGCAGGGGCTGGCGGGCAGGGCTGGCGGGAGGGGCTGGCGGCTCGGGCAACAGCCTGCGTGGCACGCTGGCTCTGAGGGGCTGGGTGGATCTGTGAATCACGCAGCCTGCCCGTCTCCCGGTGCCAGCAGCCGCGGCGTTGTTTTTGAGGTTCTCAAAGGACACCCTGCACCACCCCACGTGTTGTACAGGTGTGCCTGCAAAAGAACCCAGAGCACCTGGCCAAGATCATGCAAGCGGATGACGGCGCAGATGGCGGCGCACCGGGCCAGCCGTCGGAAGGCGCGCAGGCGGGCGGCAGCGGCTCGGGAGGAGGAGAAGCGGCAGCACCAGCGGTGCCTCCGCAGCGGCAGCAGCAACCAAAGAAACCATAGGTTTCGCGGCTGCCTGGCTTGCTGCCGCCTCTGCCCAGGCCACCCTTCCTCCTCTCCTAACCTCCCTTAAAAAAATTCATCCTGAGCTAGGCGGCTACGTTACATACGGTGCTGGTTTTGTGTTGGGTGTAATCTTCTCGAGGACTCGGTTGACAAAAACACACAAGGGGCCGGGCCGCCGCAAGGCAGGCCCTGCAGAGTGCCGGCCGCAGCGGCCGCGCGGCTGCCGGCCGCCGTGCGGCGGCCGCGTGGCGTGCTGGTCCCGGCGCCAAGTGCCCCCCATGAGTGACCCTAGGCCTGCAGCCTCCTCCCGCGGCCGCTTGATGGTACAAGTGCTGCTGCTGCTGCTGCTGCTGCTGGGCCGCGGCGATGGGCCGCAGGGCCAGCGGTGCTGTGCCGGGGGGTGGGGCCCAGCGCTTTACCGGGGCGACACGGTGATGTTGCTGTCGGCCTCCAGCAGCTTGCCGTTCTTCAGCTCGGCAAAGGCACGCAGGGGCCAGCCGAAGCCCTCCCACAGCAGCTTCCAGGCAAGGGGCACATCGATGATGATCTGCAGCGCCAAGCGTGCGCGCGGCCAGGGGTCGGGGTGTGCATCAAGCGAGGGCAGGCGAGGGGGCGAGCACGACGAGACAGCCAGCAGCGGCACGTGCATGCGAGGCTTTCTGGCGCTGGGCACCCCACCCTCTTTCTCTGACCCTCCCCCTCTGCCTCACCTCCTTCTCGATGGGCTTGGCGGTGGCGGCCACAGCCTGCAGGTACTTGGTGCCGGCAAAGCCCAGCCAGCCGGCAAAGTAGATGAAGCCGATGGTGGGGATCTGCGGGCAGGCGGGGGCAGGCAGGGGTGTGGGCGAGTGAGGCAGGGGCGGCGAGGAGCGGGGCGCATGTGCAGAGCGGCGGCCGACGGCACCACACAAGAGGCAGGGCCTCGTGTGCTGGCACGGCAGCAGGGACGGCGGCCCGAGCGCCACGGCAGCAGCATGGGCGGCGGCGGCGCCCACCAGCACGTCGCCGGCGTGGCCGTATCGCAGCGCGAGGCCGGGGTCGGCAATCAGGTGCGGGAGGCCGTCGGTGCCGCACAGCAGGCCCTGCTTGGAGTAGTTGTCAAAGCGGCGCTCGGTCTTGGCGATGGTGGCCTGGAGGGCCAGCGCGGGGGCGGAGCCCTCCTCGTACTGCAGCAGCAGGAGGCAAGACGAGCGGGGCGGGCGGGGTGAGGAAGCACCTGGCAGCGGTGTGTGTGCGCAAGAGAAAGGATCAGGGAGAGCCTCAGCCGCATCCGGGGGGCAGGCTGCGAGGCTGGTGCGCTGACGCTGCTGGGCTGCGCCCGCACGTGCTGCATCGCTGCGGCGGCTGCGAAGATGGGTGTGCCCGGCGACGCGAAGCTGCGCCATGCCGCTGCACCCTACGAGGCTGTCGCTGGTGCGGCTGGGCCCCACACCCAGTGCTGGCACTCACGTTCTTCAGGCGCTTGTTCAGGGACTTCACCTGCAGCGAGGGCAGCAGCAAGGCACGGGCGATGAGCCGCCGCCGCGCGGAAATCAAAGGCGCCGCCGCCACTGCCGCCGCCGCCACTACCACGACGCCGGCGCCCCGCTGCCCTCGGGGCGAAGCGGCCCCAAGGCCCTGCCTTTCTGGTGCGCGTGTGAGCCACTGCTGCTGCGCACCTCCTTCTTCTTCAGCTTGGCAAACGCCTTGCTCTCGGAGCAAGGGGTGAGGCCCGCCACGTCGGCAAAGGCGGGCTCGACGGCGCCAAAGCCAAAGGTCAGGGCCAGGGCCGCGGCGGCCACGCCGGTGGCCACCTGCTTGCCGGCCTCGTGCTTCTGGGCGGAGCAGCTGACGGCGCGGGCCACGGGGGCGCGAGCTGCTGCGGCCTTGCCAGCCTTGAAGCTGGTGGGCTTGCTCAGGGACACCTGCGGCAGCCAGGGACACGCATACTGAGCTCCTGGATCCCCCGGAGCCTGGGTTTGCCGCGGAGGCCCCGCCCGGGGCCAGCAAGGCCCTCAGCCATCATCGCCCCACCCCTCCAACGCCCCACCTGGGCGCCCAGACGGGTGGAAGCCACAGCAGCCGCCATCTTGAGCTATCACCGGGAAGCAGGGGTGGCGAGACGGCTTGATCGGGCAGGGAAAACCGCAAAATCTCTGTCACCTTCGCTGGTCACCTGGGTCATTAGCGGCGATCCGGCTGAGAAGGCCGTCCCGGCGGCTGATTCTTCTCCAGGATGGCACACATTGTGTGTTCCACGGCTAGAGGGAACCAGAGCGAGCCGGCGTTCCACGCGAGGTGATCGCTGAGGAGCGAGTTCTAGCTACTGCTGCGGTCTTGTCTTGGTTTCAAGCGACCACACGGCCCTCCATGAACCATCAATGCAAGAAGGAAGAGTCGCAGGGACCTGCCCACTCCCCTGCCTGGCGCCGCCTGGCGCCGCCGCCGCTCCCACCGTGTTCCAAGTGCAGAGCGGCTGGTTGCGTTGTTTATAACATTCACAATGTACCATTCACATTCACTATCACTACCAAATGGCGCTGGCCTGCAAGTCTCCTCCGAATCACCGCTCTCTCCTCGCCCGTCTCTCCTCCACCGCCAGCCGCTACTCCTGCTCCGCCTCCTGCCGCTCCTCCAGCACGGCCGCTGCGGCCCTGCGTGCCGCGCCGCGCGTCATAGTGCCCACCATGCCTCCCTGGAAGCCAGGCGGTGCCACGCCCCCCGTCGAGCCCGGGGGTGCGCCTGCAGGGCCCACGGGGATCTGGCCGGGGGTGGCGCTGGCGGCAGATGCCAGGCCCAACGCCGCGTCGCCAGCCGCCGTCTCGCGCTGGCCCCTCAGCGTGGCCTCCAGCCGGGCGCCCTGCTCCTCAAAGCGCTGCCGGTCGTAGTGCTGCTGCTGCTGCTGCCTCTGCTGCTGGCTCAGCCTCGCCCCGGCGCGCGCCGCCTCGGCCAGCCATGGGCTGTACACCGCGATGGGCTGAAGGCCCGGCCGCCCGCTGCCCTGCTGCTCGCCGCTGCTCCCTGCTGCTCCCTGCTCCTCCCTGCTGCGCTTCATGCAGGGAGCCGCCTGCTGTGAGCAGCCTGCTGGCCGGGGCCCTGCGACACACTGTGGGGCCACTGCTGCTGCTGAGGTTGGGCCTGCGGCTGCGGCTGGGGCTCTGGGGCCCACAGGAAGGCCTCTACCAGCAGGCACAGGTTGCAGACCTCTCCTCAGTAGCAACCCTGAGAGTTTCTGGCGGTCCCTGGCGGTCCAAGGTGCGCTGCCTGAAACCCCTGCCTTCACGGACCTGACGTCATATGCTGGAAAGGAAAAGAAAAGAAAAGGGCTCCCTGGCTATTACAGGCAGCAACTCAACTCGCTCCATCTCATCTGTTCAACAAGCCGCACTCCTGGCAGCAGAAACAAGCATGCCGGCTGTGTGCTGGTGGTACAGGCGGAGGCGGCCGCCCCGACACGGCTGGCTGGCAGCCGCTCGCTGGCGCCCCTCACGCGCCGCCCTGAGAGAAGAACTCATCCACCACAGCATCCTCCAGGGCCAGCTGCAGCACGGGGAGGGGCCGGGTGCGACAGAATCAGCTGCTCGTGCGGTGGCACTGGCCTCCATTTGCTTGCTGTGTCGCGCTCCCGCGCCAGCGCCAGCGCCAGCGCGGAAACCACCGTTCCCACCCCAGCACCCCTCAGCCCAGGCGGCCCCACTTCAGCCCACTCCCCAGCTCGCCTGTATCGAAATGGCGATGCCGACGATGGGCTTGGACGGCATGCCCTTGCGCGGGCGGGCCGGCTGCCGCAGGAAGGATTCCACACGCTCCGCCTGGCCCCACGAACTGCGGCAGGCGGGCAGCGGCAGCAGCAGTGCGCGGCGGCATGGAGCACGGTTCGCTGCGCACAGGCAGCCCACGTGGCTGCCGGCCGCAGGCACGCGCAGCCAGCCCCACATCACAGGCCCTGCCCGTGCCCGTGCCCCGCCTCGGCAGCCCCTGCCCCCGCCCCTGCCCCAGCCAGCCAACACCACACAGCCGGCCGCACTCCAGCACACGCTCCCACATGCTAGCGCTCACTTGAGGTAGAGGGCCATGAGCTCCAGCTTCTCGTCATACTCCTCCTCGCTCATGGGGAAGGAGCGCTGCTCCAGGTGGGTCCACATCACGTTCAGGCAGATGAGCGTCTTCCCCAGCGGCAGGTCGCGGCGCACAAAGGAGAGGTCGTAGGCCTTGCCCCACTTGCCATACACCAGGTCCCGCAGCAGCGGCCCCGTCAGCGCGCCGCCCTCGCCGCCGCCGCCGCCGCCGCCGGACGCCACCTCGGCGATCCGCCCCGCCAGCGCGCTGGCCACCTGCTCGTCTGTGGACTGCAGGAAGCTGGGCTGCGCCGCCTCCGCATCCTCTGCGGCTGCGGCGGGCGCTGCGTCTGCGGGCGCTGCCGCTCCACCCTGGCGCGCCTCGGCCAGCCGCTGGTTGAGCACATCCACATCCTCCTCCTGGATCTTCCCTTCCCCGCCCTTCTCTTCCCTTCGGTTCGGGTTGTTGCCCAGCCTCCAGGCTTGCGAGCTGCGCGGCGCCCAGGACTCGAAGTTCAGCAAATCGTCAAACAGGCCGGCCTGGGGCGGGCGCCGCGCTGCTCGCTGCCGCCTGCCGCCGCTGCCGCCTGGAGGGCGCGCCAGCTGCCGGCAGGCGCCGCCCCTGGCTGCTACACTGGCTGCTGATCGCTGCATGGGCCCTTCAAGGGCTGTCCAACGGCGCCTGGGGACGCAGACCAGAGGCTCTAATTGGCGCCAGTGCGGAGCCTCTCTTCAGCGCAAGGGCCCTCCAATTAGGCTTTTGCAGGAGCCAGGTGATCTGTGGTGCGCCAACGAGGGCCGCAGAAAGGTGCACGCACAAGCTGCACGCAATTTGGGCCACGTCGGCAGGGACCTTGGCCCAGCTTGTAAGCCGCCCCCGCCTGCCACCAAGCTCCCAGGTACTGGTCCTGTCGGAACAAGCAGCCTGCTGGAGCGACCTCCCACCCAGCGGCCCCCCAGATTGACGCGTCTGGAATCCCTCTCCTTTGTCCAGCTCGCCGCAGCCTCAAGGTGACCGGGCTGCGTTGATCAAAGGGCAGGCAGTCTCCGTTGTGCCTGGCAGGGGAGGTCCACCTCCTGTTGTTGGGGATCCCTCTGTCGGGGCTCCCACGAGTCCGCAGCTCGCTGAATAGCTGCGCAGAGACTTGGTCGTCTTTGGGACAGCAGCAGCCGGGCAGCGGCGGGCACAGTCCGGCAGTCCCCCACAGCGGGCAGCTGCCGCTCCCCGTTGGCACGACTCCCTCTATACCTGCTGCTTGATCGCCCAGCATGTGTGTGCTGCTGACCTCGTTGCCACGCTGCTGCTGTGTGTGTGCAGGCCCAGTCAGCATGGCTGGCTACCCACCGCCCGACAAGCAGACGTACCCACCGCCAGCGGACTACCCGCCCCCAAGCGGCGCGCCGCCGCCTGGCTACCCCACGGCTGGTGCGTGCCGCGCTCTCAGCGCACCGGCCGCCTCGTACGGGCAGCTTGGCTGTAGGAGCCACACCGAATGACTGTTCACTCACTATTGTGCTCTCTCCGCCTGGCTCGCAGATGGCGTGCCGGTGGGCGCCCCTGGCGGCGACCCCAAAGCCTATCCCTATGGTGCGCCCCGTGCCGCCGCTGCCGCTGCTGCTTGCTGCGAGAGCAGGGAGGGAGCAGGGGGTGGGTGGGGGGCGGATCAAGGGGAGCAGGACACACGCCTGCTTTCTGTTGAGGGCAGAGAGCTGGGAGGGTAGGCGAGTGAGGGTGCATGTCGTCGGCCGTGCCACGGCGCTCCGCCTCGCCGCACTCTGCACAGCTGTGCCCGATGCTGGGGCACACACTTGCACCATGCCCTGCAGGCTACCCGCCGCCCTCCCAGTACGGCCCGCCGCCAGGTGCGCTGCGTGCGCTGCATGAGCGGCGCGCTGCATGCGGCGGGTGTGCCGCGGCTGCATGCGCGCTGCTAGTACTGTGGGCACTTGGGGATAGGTGCCTGGTCTCAGCCTGGAGGCCTGCTGTGATCATTGCCATCTCGGTGTTGCTCACTGCAGGCTATCCAGGCGCGGGGGGGGGGGCTACGGCGCTCCTCCCCCCTCCTACTACGGCCCCCCGCCCGGCTACCAGCAGCAGCAGCAGCCGCAGCAAGTCTACGTGCAGCAGGGCAACCCTGGAGCCGACGCCTGCCTGACGGCCTGCTTAGCAGCACTCTGCTGCTGCTGCATGTAGGTCTTGCTGCTGTTTTTGCCGTCTGGGGGGGGCAGGGGAGCATTGTGCATGTGTCCGACGTCAGCCCCACGTCAGCAGTGCTCAGCAAATGCATGCTGGGCGGCAAGGGCGGCGTGCAACGCGCCCATGCCCACTGCTGCCTGCTCCCGTCTTTCTGCTTGCAGGGTGGACTGCCTCACCTAGTAATGCACCCAGGAACTCCATTTCCCAGGACCCTCCCGAGTCAAGCCCCATGCCGCATCAGCACGGAACCGCTTTCCCGCGGCCCACATGCGCCGCATTGAGAACCCCCCTCTGTCCCTGCTTCCCTCCTCTACCTAGGCTCTGCTCTGTACCATTGATCTCTGCTTTTGAGCTGTGTAACGCAAGAATATGGGGGAAGGCTGTGGCTGGCGGCGCCATCTCGCGGCCGCATCAACATATTCGCCCTTTGCCGCCAGCGGGTCGAGTACCACCCTCTGCTGGGAGGTGTGGGCAGAGAGTTCAGTGCCCTGCTGTGCGGCCAGCCTGTACCACAGGGGCAGCGTTCAGCATCTGCACTGCATAGCGCCGTACGTGAGGCGCCTCGGTGAGCCAAAACGCATGCAAATGGCCGCCATGTGGCTCGGCAGATGCCCCCCCTGCTGGGGAGCTCACAAAAAAGTCCAGTGCCCGCCACGGAACAACTCCAGCGCCCGCCACTCGCTCTTGGAAGGGTCCGGCGCCAGCCATGGCTCCAGCGGGAACGCGGCGGCGGCGATCACCCGCAGCACAAACTCCACAGGCACGCCTGACAGCAGGCTGGACTGCAGGTGCGCCTCTGCCGCCGCGGCGCTGACGCCAGTCGCGCCGGCAGTAGGGCTGCCCCGCCGGTGCGCCAGCAGCAGGGTGCGGACGGCGGCCTTGAGGGCAGGCGGGAAATGGGTGTGGTCTGCAGGGGTCCAGGGCAGGCCGCCCACCAGCATCCACAGAATCCTGCAGCCCAGTGGCGGTGCAAGCTTGGGCAGGGTGCTTGCTCTGCTCGCATGGCTGTTTCAACAACCAGCCTGCCCAAGTGGGCCTTTCAGCAAGCCACACCACGCTTCATGTGATCCAGGCGGCAAGGGCCCGGCCCCACCCCGCCACCTGCCCTCTGGTGGGATGGCTGAGGCCATTGACGGCACGCCTGGAGCGACCCCCATGGCCAGTGCGGGGCCCATGGCAGAGTGCACCCTGGGTGTGGCAGCAGGCAGCCACTGAGGCAACGGAGGCAGCGGAAGGCGAGCGGGCACGGGCACAGGAGAGCAGGCCCAGCCCCTCCAACACCCACCCACCTGCAGCCTGATGCTCCTGTACGTGGTGGGGCGGTATCGAGCGGCCAGCAGTGCGCTGCACATGCGCACACGAAGGTCCTGGGGCGTCTGGGAGATTCGGCACCAGTCCCTGCGGAGTGCGCCAGCGGCGGTGCGGTTCCAAGCGGAGGTCCAAGACTGGCCATGGCCTCATTGTGCCGTGCTGGGTGCTGTGCACCTAGCCATTTGATGCAGGCTGCCGCGCGCCTCCAGCAGCAGCCAGGCTCACTGGCGGAACAGGCTGTAAAAGGGGCACGTCATGTACAGGAAGTCGAAGTGCAAGTCATGCTCTCCACCGTAGAAGCTGGCTGGGCGCTGGGTGGAGCCCTGCGGCACGCGCGGCTGGCCGGCCTGCAGCAACGCAAGAGATCCAGCTGGTGCGCCGCGCACGTGGGGACACACAGCTGCCTGCTGGATTTTGAATGCTGAGGCGGGGGGTGGCACGGGCATGGCAGGCTGCGCACCTGCAGCAGCAGCTCCAGAACGGCGGCGTGCTCCCTCCCGTCGACGACGCAGTTGATGCTCTCCAGAGTGACTTGCGTGCTGGCTGCGCATGACACAGAGGGGCGCATGCGGCTGACGCTCAGGAAAGGGACGAGGCTCCCACCCTACGGCCCCAGCGCCTGCGCAGCGGCCATCAGAGCCGCTGCCAGCGTAGCTTGCCTGCAGCAGCAGGCGGACGGCATCGGCCCGCCCAGAAGCGGCAGCATCGCTCAGCGGCTCGCCAGACGGATCCAGAGGGTCGCAGCAAAACGGGCTCTGGAGCAGCCAGCTGGCTGTAGCCAGGTCACCGCCCTGGTCCATAGCGCGGTGCAGCAGCTGCCGGCGCCGCTGCTCCCCCAGCTCCTCGGCAGCCCCCGGCAGCCCTGCCAGGTACTCCACAGCTTCCTGGCTGGCCGGGTGGAGCATGGCCACCATGAGCAGCCCCAGCAGCTGGTCGGCGCTCAGCTGCAGGCTGCCGGCGCTGTGGCGCGCCAGGAGGGGCCCCAGCACCGCGGCCTTTGTGGCCGCCATGCCCGCACCGCTCTCCGGCGGCTCGCTGTCGCGGTGCGAGGAGGAGCGCTGGGCCAGCCAGTGCAAGGGCGAGGCGCTGTCTGGGAACAGGGGCCCCGTGTATCCGTGGGTGCTGGGGGCGGGGATGGCACAGGCGGCGCCCACCTGCAGCAGTGCCGAGGCTGCGTGCGTTTGGTCTGCCATGATGGCGGTCGCCAGAGGTGTGGCGCCAGAGTGCAGCACCTGCCTGTGTGCTGGAGCCCGCCCTGGCTCGCTGGCCCCAGCCCCCAGCGAGGGGAAGCAGTGCCGGATCAGCTGCTGCGAGGCAGCCAGCTCTGGGGCACGAGCGGGGAGGAAGCTGCTGCCAGCTGAGCCTCCAGCGGTGCGCCTGCCGCCGCCATCAGCGGCACCGCGGCGGCGCAGCCTCCCAGCGCAGCTGCGTGCAGCGAGGTCAAGCCGCCCCCCAGGGCGACCAGAGGGTCTGTGCCACCCTGGATCAGCGCTGCCACGTGTGCGTCGTCGTCGCTGAGGAGCGCGTGGAAGAGCGGCGGGAGGGCGGGGTTGGGTGGCGGCTGCGCCAGCCCCAGCTCGGCTGCCTGCAATGACACACAGAGCACAGCATGGTGGCAGTGGGAAAGGGGCGAGATGGAACGTGGGCAGAGAGGAGCAAGAAGTCCAAGGCCGACGCGGGAGCGTGGCGAGCTGCGCTGGCCGTCGTGGCCGTGCCGGCCGCGCCCGCCACGGCCTGGACCAGCCTGCAGGGCTACAGGGCTGCTCCAGCCCTCACCATGGTCATCTGCAGGCCGGGGATGCTCAAGGCACTCCGCCTGGGCGGCGCCTTCTGGCGAAAACAACTGGCCTGGTGTTGATCATGGGTTGATTTGGCATGCTGCGCGCCAGGTGGGCGGCCTGGCTGGCCATGACACAGGCTCGTTATGACTGAATGCTGTACCTCGGCTCGTGGTGCCAGGCCCCCTGCACACGAGGAGGGGGCTGAGAGAGGGAGTGGCTCTCAGTGGAGGCTGCCACTGAGGCTGCCACTCACAGAAGCTCTGTGCCAACTGCTTTGCGCCCTTCGACGATTGCACAGCCTGGCGAGATGTTGGGTGGCAGCGACAGCCGCCTCACCCGCGCCTTGCAAATGGCGGCGCCTTGCTGAATGCAGCGCCGCTGTACTTCTAAGCCCCACAACAACCTGCTCAGAAAGGCAGGCCACCCCCTGGAGGCGCCGAGGTGAGAGGGGGGGGCAGTGGGGAGGGGGGGGAGGCAGGGCGGCAGCATCCATGCATTGGGCGTCTTGTAAAAAGCTTTTCTGTCGCTGCTACTTTGTGTAGGGGCGGTAGGGCGCCGCCCGACGCTGAGTGGCATGCATACTCAGTGCTGGGCCTGCTTTGACCCGCCATGCTCGGCTCTTCAGGCGCTCGTTTCGCTGCCGGGGCTCGGCATCGGCAGCAGAAAAGGATGGGGTGCTTTTTGCAATCTCTGGGCAGGCCCAGCACGCGCTGGCACAGTGAACAACGGCCCCAGATGCAGGCAGACGATCTCTCGGTGTTCGGATTGCAAGGCTGGCGTCTAGCAGCTCGACTTCGGCTGCATGCTGTGGGGGAGGCAGGCGGGGGCAGCGGAGGGCAGTGGGGCCCTTTGTGATCCCACGTGTGTCATTTGTCTCCTTCTTCTCGGGCGTTGCTTCAATGTATATGCTGAGGGACATCCCTGTGCTCTGAGAACCCCTGCTGGCGGCAGGCCTCAGGACCCTCGGCTTCTCAATCCCGGCCATGCCCCCTCGCCCCGCAACCCCCACAGAGTTCGAGAGCGAGGAAGCCGCGTTTCAGTACGAGGTGCAGCGCTATCGTGAAGCTGTTGCTGCCAAAGACGCTGCTTTAGCGCTCTACGCCAAGAGAAAGGCCGAACGGGAGGCGGCGACTGAGGCCCGACGCGCTGAGCAGGAGCAGGTCAAGAAGGAGTTGGCCCGGTTAAGCGCGGCGCGTGCGGCGCGGAGCGTCGAGTGGCCCAGCGGCCGCCCGCGGGTGAGTTGGTGTTGCGGGAGGGCTGTCTGGCCTCTGCGGGCTTGACTGTTGGAATGCAGCAGTGGTCCATGTTCACCGTGCACATTGGATGTGAAGCTGGTGGCTTGCTCTTACGATGCACGCACGCCACAACTGACGCCGCCAGCGCTCGCCGGCCGCCTGCCACCTGGCCTGCAGCCGTGGACGAGCGCAAGAAGAAGCAGTGACGATGTGCCAGCAATGGGGGATGGAGCCAACCAGGGCAAGGGAGGGCAGGTTGGCACGACGTGTGTTTTGAATAGCGCTTGGGGCCCCTGCCCACAGCTGACAGCGCAGCTGGTGTGGCGTATGGTGCACCATGGACTTCCTCAGAAGCATCAGGTGGCGGGTTTGCTGCCGTCTTGGCTCTTGCTGTCCTCTAACCGTTTCTCCTGCACAGAGCATCCTTCTGTCTGTCGCCCGCTGCCAATGCATGCCCACTTCATTTCTTTCCTTGCCAAGCCACATTGCGCAGTTCACATGTTGCGAGTCCTGCGGCTATGCGCTGCTGCATTGGTGCTGAAAGACGTTTTTCTGTTAGATTTCCACCGCTTTTGTGACAGAAACCGAGCCGGAGTGCATGTGGCCTCAAAGCTGAAGTTTTGGCTGCTGTTTTCTGACTGCCAGCTCCTGTAGCGGCTTGCAGCGAGGGTCATGCAACTGGAGCGATTACCCGACACGCATACAGCATCAGGTCGCCCCACTGCGTTTGCGCCACTTCCACATGCTGATGCCTGCGCCTCCGTGCCGCCGTCTGCCACGCCGCCTGCTGCTCACGCCGCCGCCTGCGCCTCCACATACTCGAGCGCCCGCTTCTTGACGTGCTCCACGCCCGCCGCGGTACCGTGTGCCTTCTCGTAATCCAGGTACCGCTTGAACAGGAACTTCATCTTCTTGGGCGGCAGCTGCAGGTGAGTTGCCCGCTCGAACAGCGCCCTGCACAGCGGCAGCAGGGGGAGGGGGGAGCCGGGGACGCACGGCTTGAAAATTGCACGGCGGCGGGCCCGGCAAACAAAGCGCGGCGGCGTGGCTGGCGCCGCTGCCGGTGGCCGCCGCGGCAAAGAGGAAGGGTCTCCAGAAGGCCCGGCAGCAGCGGCAGCAGGGAGGAGCAGCAGCAGCAGCAGGAGGAGCGGCGCACCGTATGCGCTGCGGGTCGCCCGCCGCCACCTCTTGGTCCAGGTACACGCTCCACAGGTCGAGGCGCTTGGGGTAGTTGCGCAGCACGCCCTCAAAGATGCTGCGCCCGCGCTCTGCGGGTGCATTACGCGGTAGTGCAGCGGCGGGGGTGGGCGTGGATGGTTGGTGGCGGAGTGTGGGCAGGTGCGGGATGGCAAGGGTGGAAGCCAGCAAGGGCAGAGGTGACGAGGCTGCTGTGCTTGTGCTGTGGCTCCAACACCAGCAAGTGTCAGCCTCCCTGTGCCCAGCCCACCCGCATCGCCTATCTTGAACTCCAGCAGCCCCGTCTGAGAGATCATGCGGATGTGCTCAAACTGGGGCAGGCTCTGCAGGCTGCGGTCAAGCGTCTTGCGTGCCCCCTCGGCGTCCCCGCTGGCCAGACGGTACCGCACGGCGCGCAGCCAGACCTGCGGGCGGGCATGGGGTGTGTGGGGAACGCCAGGGTGCGGCAGATGATGGCGTGAGGGCAGGACAGGGCGCGAGGCGCGGGGAGCAGCCGGCGAGCGGCGGCCATGCAGCGGCAGCGCCACATCATCATTACGCTGGCGCCAGCCAGGCAGGCACATCGCGGCCCGGGCCTCCCGCGCGCTGCTGGCACTCCACACACCACTGCCACAACTGCCACTTTTACTAACACCGACGCAGCAGCGGCAGCGGCAGCGGCAGCAGCCGCCGCCTGCCCACCTCTGCGCTGTCGCTGAACTTGCGGGTCATGGCCTTAAGGCACTGCTCCACCAGCCCCTCCTTGTGCGTGCGCTCAAAAATGTCCACGGCGGCCAGGTACATGCGGCGGGCGTCGGTGTGCGCCAGCGCGCGGCTCAGCAGCGCCAGGCTGGCGTCCTCGCTGCCGTACAGGTTCTCCATATTAAGGTACGCCACCCATACGTTGAACTTCTCGCCCTCCTCCCTGCACCCGGCAGGCGCCAGGCATGGGTTCGACAACGGCACGGCGCCGGGCGCTTGCCAGGCAGGCGTGCGTGCCGCCAAGCGCCAGCGTGCCGCCACCAGCACACGCCGCCCACGCCCCCACAGCCTGCCCACACCAGCCAGCCAGCAACCAACCTCCTGGGGCCGCAGGGGCAGGCCCACCTGTAGGAGATGGTCTGCAGGGCGCGGTCTGCCAGCGCGCGCGCCTTGTCCAGCTCGCCCAGCGATATCAGGAAGGCAAAGTACTGGATCCAGACGTAGGAAGAGTTGGGCGTGGACAGCACCAGCTGCTCGTACTCTGTGATGGAGCTAGGCGCGGCGTCGCCCTGCTGGGAGGGTAGCCAGGGAGAGAGCGGCAGGATGCGGCAGGGCAGCATGAGGTAAGGCAGGCAAGGTGAGGAGCGAGCTTGCAGCATGCAGCAGCATCGGGTGGTGTGCCTGCAGGGAGCTTGTAGTGCGTGCTGCAATGCGTGCTGTTGGCCCAGCCCCAGCCCAGCCCCAGGCCGCCAGCGTGCCTGGAGGCGGCGCAGCTCGGCATCCCGGATCTGCCGCTCGCGGTCATCCTTGGCCCGCTTCTTGGCGTGCTTGGACAGCCTCTTGTGCTCCTCCTTCTGCACCGGCTCTGCTCAGCGCAAGGCAGAGCGCAAGGCAGCGCAGGCGTCAAACGGGCGGCGGCAGTGAGCACAATGGTGGCGGCAGGCGGCAGGCGGCGGCGGCGGCGGCGGCATTGAGCGCCGGCCGCCGTGCCCGGATGGCAGGTGCGGCGCACTGAAAGGCACGGGAAAGGGCCGGCGTGCAGCGAGCATATGCACTCACCCGCTTGCTGCTGCAAGTCTTGCGGCTGGTCTAGCTCCTCCCAGCCCGTGGGCTCTGCGGCTGCTGCGGCTGCAGTAACGCCACCGGGCAGGTCTGGCTGCTGCTCAACATCCACTGGCCGCTCCTTTAGCCGCTGCCGCAGTTGCTGCCCTTCCGATTTTCGCTTCTTCTTCGGCTGCTGCTGCATGATTATCTTGCAAGATGCAATCCATTGGCATGCAAATGGATGTGGCTTCTGCTCATGGACCATGTGAGCCACGTCGGATGCACAAAAGAATTGCTCTTACAGCACATAGGCACGTCTTCGGGCATCCGACGATTGACCGAGTGACTATGGAGGTGAGGATGCGGGAGTTGGGGCCGCTACCAAGGGTCCTGCCCGCGCCCTGTCTGCGTCACTCTTGCTGCTGCTGCACTAGTGGATTCATAACCTGCTGAGGGGTTGCTGTCGATCGCGATCGACGGGCAATCATGGCAGCGTCAGGCGGCCCGCCACCGCTGCCGCCGCCGCCGGCAACCCCGCTCGCCCGCATCCCACTGCCCCTAGTGCAGGGCACGCTGTTCCGCTACGGTTCCGCGGCCGCCAACGTGGCCTTCATGTCTGGCCGCCACCCGCGGCACGTCGTCCTGGTCGGCGGCCTGACCGACGGCCTGCTGTTTGCGGGGTACTGCCACCCGCTGGCCGCACGGCTCCATGCAGCAGGGTGGTCCCTGGTGCAGGCCCTGCTTTCTTCCTGCCACACCGGCTATGGGCTGGCCAGCCTGGACCAGGATGCAGATGAGCTGCACCAGCTGGCCACGCACCTCAGGGCAGAGTGGGGCTCGCAGGTGGGCCGGTGTTGGCGCGCAGTGCGGCTGTTTGAGGTGGTGCATGAGCAGGAAGCCTCCATGCTCCCCTGCGTGCACACACACACGTGCAACCAGGGGGCATGCACCCATCAGCCTCCTCATGCATTCCCCCCGCCTGCTCCTCTGGTCTTGGCCTGCAGGGCATGGTGATTGTGGGCCACAGCACCGGTTGCCAGGACGCGGTGCGGTACGCGCAGCGCCACCGCAGCAGCTCCGCCGCCGCGCCGCTGCGTGGCGTGGTGCTGCAGGCTCCTGTCAGCGATGTGGAATGGCTGGCCACGCAGGCAGGCACCGAGGAGCGGGTAGCGGCAGCGCGGCGGATGGCAGCAGAGGGCAGAGGCGAGGAGGTGGCGTTCCGGGCGTTCGACATCGACGGCGCCGCGGTGACGGCGCGGCGCTGGCTGTCGCTGGCCGCGCCGGGAGGCGACGACGACATGTTCAGCAGCAGCCTGAGCGATGCGCAGCTGGCGGCGGTGTTGGGGCCCCTGCGCGGCCTGCCAGCCCTGGTGCTGCTGAGCGGGGAGGAGGAGTACCTGCCGCCTGGGCTGGACTACCTTGCGGTGGGGCGCCGCCTGGTGCAGGTGTGCCTTAGGCTGGCGGCGCTGTTTGGACAGGGCCTTTGTGATGCACCGTGCCTGGGTGTGAGGCATGCAGATCTGGACCCCTTCCCACCATGCAGGCTGTCGGGCCCAGCGGGCGCTTGGAGGTTGTGCAAGGGGCCACGCATGCGCTGGACGGCAAGGAGGAGGAGGGCGCGGCGGTGATCGCCGACTTTGTTGCAGCACTCTGACCTGTTCTGTAGCTCAGCATTATCAACGGCACCAGCTGCAGGCAGACGATCTCTAGGTGTGCGGATTCGGGCCTTGCTGCAATGCTGGCATCTAGCAGCTCGACTCCGGCTGCATGCTGCGCAGCTGGCGCGAGGCAGGCGGGGGCAGCGGAGGGCAGCCGGCTGGCCGCCTTTGTGGGATCCCACGTGTGTCATTCGTCTTCTTCTTCTTCTCGGGCGTTGCTTAATGTATGTAATGAGGGACATCCCTGTGCTCTGAGAACCCCTGCTGGCGGGCCAGCAGGCCTCAGGACCCTCGGCTTCTCAATCCCGGCCATGCCCCCTCGCCCCGCAACCCCCACAGAGTTCGAGAGCGAGGAAGCCGCGTTTCAGTACGAGGTGCAGCGCTATCGTGAAGCTGTTGCTGCCAAAGACGCTACTTTAGCGCTCTACGCCAAGAGAAAGGCCCAACGGGAGGCGGCGACGGAACTGACGCCGCCAGCGCTCGCCGACCGCCTGCCCACCTGACCTGCAGCCGTGGACGAGCACAAGAAGAAGCAGTGACGCTGTGCCAGCAATGGGGGATGGAGCCAACCAGGGCAGGGGAGGGCAGCCTGGCACGACGTATGTTTTGAATAGCGCTTGGGCCCCTGCCCACAGCTGACAGCGCAGCTGGTGTGGCGTCTGGTGCACCATGGACTTCCTCAGAAGCATGAGGTGGCGGGTTTGCTGCCGTCTTGGCTCTTGCTGTCCTCTGACCGTTCCTCCTGCACAGAGCACCCCTCTGTCTGTCGCCCGCTGCCAATGCATGCCCACTTCATGCCTCTCCTTGCCAAGCCACCTTGCGCAGCTCACATGCTGCGAGTCCTGCGGCTATGCGCTGCTGCATTGGTGCTGACAATTTTGCTGTGCATTTCATGATCTCGTGCCTGCACCTGCTGATACCTGTAGAATGTGCAATTCTCCATACTCCAGAAGCCAGCCAATCAATCCAGGGTGCCAGCCGCCAGCGGAGCGCTGTGGTGGGGCGCAAGCACTCGCGCCGGCAGCAGCCATGGGCGGCGACGGCAAACAGGGGAGCGTAAGCAGCATGGCAGGCGGCTGGGCCGCTCCCGCCACCCGCAGATCCCACCTGCCAATGTTGATCTGCGCTGTGGTGCCGCCGGGGCGCCGGCATCATGAGGCACCACTCCAGCAGCGCTCTTTTGGCCCTTCTGTCAGAATTCTACCGCTTTTCTGACAGCAGCCGAGCCGGAGTGCATCAAGCCTCAAAGCTGAAATTTGGCTGCTGATTCCTGACTGCCAGCTCCTGCAGCGGCTTGCAGCAGGGTTCATGCAATTGGAAGGATTAACCGACACGCTTACGCCCTCAGGTCGCCCCACTGCGTCCCCCCCTTCCATCGTGTCAGCAGACGCCGCCAGTTGCCCGTACTGCGCGGCGGGAGGCGGCCGGGCGCGGCCTGGTCACTCAACTGTGTTGATAGGGATGCGGCTGCTGCAGCTGCTATCAAACATAGATTTTACTGGTCTGATACAAGAACATAGAGTGTCGAGATCACAGAAAGCTAAACAGTGGTGCAAAGTCGGGCGGCGCCTGTTCCGCTGCTGCCACCGCGGGTGTCGGCGATGGAGCAGCAGGCTGGGCAGCCACAGGCCCAAACATGCCCGACAGCCAGTTGAGCTTTGGCAGGCTGAGGGCAGCCACTTTGCCGGTTTCAGGGGGCGGGGCGGGAGCAGCGGCAGGTCTGGTGGGGGCTGCAGCTGGCACCACCGCTGGCGGGTCTTCGCTCGGAACCGAGGCAGCACGCGCCGGCACAGCAGCCAGGGACGCCGCTAGCTTGCGCCGCTTGCCAGCAGCCTCCCCCATGCCAGCTGCAAATGGCTGGCTCTGCACCACCGGTGCAGCGGGAGGCGGGCCGCCGAGCAAACCGCGCCGCAGCCAGGCAGGCTGCACGGCCTGGGCTCCGGCGCCGGCAGCCAGGCCAGCAGGCAGTGGCACTCCTGAGGCTCCCCCTCCCGCCTGCACCCTGCTGCTGCTGTGGAGTGCAAACTGGGAGAATGGTCCCCCGGGCTGCCCCATTGCGGCATGGCTGGAAGGCTGGCAGGCCTCAGGTCCTTGTCCTGCTGCAACTGGAGCTGCCAGCCCAAGCCCTGGGCCCGGACCAGCTGGCCCCTGGAGGCTGGCGGCGGCCGGGGTGGAGGCCTGCTTCTGCTGCTTCCAGCTGAAAAGTGTAGGCTGACGGCTCTGGGTGGCAGCCCCTCCGCGCTGAAGGGCAGCCTGAATCGAGATCTGCTGCAGCGGGCCGCCATGCCCCTGCGGCTGGCCGCCAGGGCCGCTGCCACCGCCTGCTGCGCCGGCCTGCTGCTGCTCGGGCGGCGCAGTGAAGGCGCGCCACTTGCCCTTGGGCCGTGTGGTTGCTGCGGCGGCGGCAGCGGTGGGGTGTAGCGCCGGGGCCGGAGGTCCAGCTGTGTGCGGTGAGCTGGGCGGTGCTGGAGCCGCCGCGGCGGCCTGGCGGCCAGGCGCTGCCTTGGCTGCTCCTTGCTTCTGGGCCGGCTGCTGCTTGCCGCCTGCCGCCTCCACCGCTCGCCCAGGCGCGCCGCGTGCAGATTTTCGGGGCTCACGCACACTGTGCGGAGCCGCCGTTGTGCCATCTGGCTGTGCTGGCTCGGAGGCAGCTGGCATGGTGCCGCCGCCGTCGCCAACCTGCCACCCCTCCTGCGCTGCTGCCGCCTCCGGGACGCCTGCTGCTGCCATCTTGGCTGCCTGGCAGGCCTGGCCCTGCAGCCGCACCCCCGGCGGCACTGTCGTCCGCACTGCCACATCCACGCCCACCAGCCGCTCATGCACGACGGATGCCACCACCTGCATGCGGGCCGGCCGGGGGAGCGGGAACAGGTGGCAGATGATTGGAGAAAAAGCGTGGTGCCCCCTGGACTTCCAGCGCTGCTCTCCAGGTATGCAAGTGCCCAGAGAACTCGCCTCCAGGGGAGCGTCCCCTCGCTTGACGGGGGACTGCGTGCGTGTGCGCAGCACCAGGGGAGACGGAAACTGCTCCAGCGCCAGCGAGCGGCAGAGCAGCATGGCGTCGTCGTGCAGGGAGCCCACCAGGAGGCGGGCGGGGCTGGGAGCGGTGCTGCTGCCCACACGCTCCACTGCGGGAGGGCACAGGGCAGGGCAGGCAGCGCACGGTGTGCTCACCACGTGAAAGCGGGCTCCAACACAGCACTCCAACCCCAACACCAGGCATGATATGTGCACATGCACAGTGACCAGCGCCCGCGTTCGCGCCCTTGCCTGTGACCTCCAGCTCCACTAGCCCGCCCGACAGCCAGGCCACCGGCAGGCACTGCAGGTTGACGGCCGGCGGCATGCATGCGCCCAGCGCGGCCTGCACCTCGTTTCCTGCAGCGCCCAGGGCAGCGGCGGCCATCAGGCAGCATTCTACCAGCAGCGCTGCTGGCAGAGGCCAGCAAGCCCCCCATTCGGAACGCGCATGGCACTCTTGTGCAGTCCCCGCACCAAAGGGGTAGTGCCGCTGTGCCAGCGACTCCAGGCGCCGCGGCTCCACCTCCGCCAGCTGGCGCAGCTTATGCACCCCCGCCGCCGCCAGGCGCTGCGCAATCAGCGGCCCGATGCCGGGCAGCTGCCGCGTCTCCATCTGGCTGTCGGTCCACAGGCGCTGCCGCAGGCTCTTGGCCAGCAGCAGCGAGTTGAAGGTCTCTGCAGCAGCCAAGCAGCAGCCAAGCAGGGCGGCCAGGCGGGGAGGGCCGGCAGGACAGCATCAGGCTGGGGCCACCTGGGCTTTCACAAGGGCAGGGCAATGAAAGCAGGCGCTGGCCTCTCACCCACCCACCCGAGGCCTTGCCAGCGTGCTCAAAGAACCTGACCATGGCGCCGGCAATGCGCTTGCCCGCGCTCACCACCTGCGTGGATGGCATTGCAAACAGGAGGAAAGTGAGAGGTGCGGAAGTCGGGCGGGCACCAGCCACAGCGCCGTGCAAGCAGCACCGCCCCCAGCACCTGCTCCACATCCTGCTTCAGGCTGTAGTCCAGCTTGTCGGTGGGCACATCGCTCAGCCCCTCATTCACCTGCGCGGCAGCAGGGGCAGGGCAGTTGCTGGCCGGGCGCAGTTGAAGGCAGGCACGGCAAGGGAGCAGGGGCATGCGACAGCAGTAGGTGTGTGTGCCATGGAACTGCAGCTGCCTCCCTCCATCGCGCCAGGACCTGCACTCGCAGCAACCCTTGCTCACCAGGATGTGGATTTTGTGGGCGGCGCTGGTGATGCGCTCCAGCACCTTGCCCGGCTTGGCGCCCATGATGGGGTAGCGCACGCGGTCAGAGTGGTTGACCTCGTTCAGCACCTGCGGCCGGGGCGCATGGTTGCAGGGAGCCTTGGCACAGGGCCGGCTCTTGTAAGGCACGTGCACGAGCAACAGAAGAGGGGCAGGGGACTGGAGAGAGGCCACAGGCTGCCTCGCCTTCTTCTCGCTGCGCCGCAGCTTGATGTTGGCCAGCTCGGCGCTCCTGCGGGGAGGGCGGCTCCAGGCGTGTTGGGCCAGGCAGCAAACCAGCTGCGCATGCAGCTGGCCCAGCACCATCACCGCAGCGCGGCTGCCTTCAGGGCTGGCACCGTCCCTTTTAGGAGGACCTTTACCCAGCTTCCCATCCCTCCCAGGCAGCGCCCCAGCCGCCCCCACCTGGCCAGCACGGAGATGAGGTCGGGGATGGCGGCACCCGGCGCCATGGTGCACAGGCTGACCATGGTGCGCATGCGGATGTACCGCTCAGCCATGATGGCCCCCGGCTGCAGCGGCTCCAGACCAAAGCCGTCGTCGTGCAGGCGCACCTGCAGGGTTGGGTGCGTAATGTGGTGTGGCATGGTGGCGTCAGTGCCTTTCCCCAGATGCCGCCAGGAATGGGAGGCGAAAGGGCGCACCACCTGGCAGGCGGCAGCAGCAGCGTCGGCGGCGGCAACAGCGGCAGCAGCGCCCCACCATGCCGTGCTGCGCCAGCTCCTGCACCGTGCCCAGCACCAGCTTGTCCCTGAGCCAGCGGTCGAGCGCGTCGGTGGAGGGCTGCGGCGGTACGCCGTACCGTGCGGGGCTGCGCTGCAGGCACACATACAGGTAGGTGCAGCGCAGCCACTCTATGGCCTGCGGGAGAGCAAGCAAACAAGCCGAGGCTCACAATTGAAAGCGGCATAAGTTAATCGTACAGGTTGCGCTGGCCCACAAGCCATGCCTACAGGCAGCCCTGGGATGCAGTGCAGTCCCTGATGCCGCGCAGGGGTGCCCTGAGCGGCGGCTCGCCTGCGACACGTCGCCGATGGTGCGCAGCACCACCTCTGCATTCAGCAGCTCCGCCAGTACCCCCTTCAGCTGCGACTCCACCACCTCGCTGCCGCTGGTCAGCTCCTCGTAGCGGCGCACGTTCTGGCAGGCAGGTGGTGGCAGTTGGTGGTCGTGGGGCAAGGGTAGCACACTCAACAGCTGGGCACCTCCCCCAACCAGCAGGCAGGCCAGCAGGCAAGCAGCCCTGCGAGCCAGCATCCCAGGCAGCACCCGCCCACCCCACTCACCGGCTTCTGCGTCATGATCACCGCCACTCCCTCAGTGTCGTACTGAGGCCTGCCCGCACGCCCCACCATCTGCGCGCGGGTGCTGTCAGTGCAGGTGAGGGCAGGCAGCCTCAAGCCAGCCAGATTTGCCACTACCGCGCATACACCACCCACCCACGGGAGGAGCCATGCACACCAGCGTGCCCTGCAGACCCGCAGCCAGCCCCCACCTGCAGGCAGGTGCTGCGCTCATACTCCTGGTACCCAGACGCATCCTCCGCCTCGCTGCCCACGTAGCGCCGCGTGCCCTTCACCACTACCAGCCTGGCAGGCAGGTTGACGCCCAGCGCCAGCGTGCTGGTGGTGCACAACACCTACGGCGGGATGAGGCAGGGGTGGGCCCGGGAGGTGAGCGGGCGGCAGAGATGACAGCGGCATGACGCTGCCCGGGATAGACAAGTCCATGGCTGCTGCTGCTGCTGCGTCTGGCTCCCAGCATGCCCCTGGCATTCAAGGCGGGGCGTGGCTTGCTTGGCATGGTTGGCTGAGAGGGGGAGGTTGCACAACAACATTACGTAATGCACCCACCGGCAGGTCCTGGGCGATGAACAGCGCCTCAATCGCCGCCCGCTCATCTGGCTCCATGGCGGCGTGGTGGAAGCCGATGCCCATCTGCACGCACTCCCGCAGCGCCGCAGTCTTGAGCCTCCCTGCCGCCGCCGCCAGGCGCTGCGCCTGTGCGCCATCCCGCACAAAGGTGCTGCCGGCGGCGCTGGCGGCGCCGCCGCGCCAGCTGGCGCCTGCCTTGGCTGCCTCGCGAGCCAGGTGGGCCGCCGTCTCGCCGGTGCCCTTGCGGCTGCTGCAGAACACCAGTGTGGGCTTGCCGCTCGAAAAGTCTGCCACTGCAGATAAGAAGGGGGGTGGAGGAGCATGGGGCTAAAATGTTGACAGAGCAGGAAGCAGCAGTGCCACCCAGCAGCGCGGGGTGAGGGCCACGCAGGCGGAGGGTAGCAATGGGCAGCACCTATCTGGTAGATGTAGTCGTTCAGGCGCCGCTCAAACAGAAAGTCTGGAGGAAGGGCAGCAGTTGGGGGGACAAAAAGCCGGGGAGGGTATCTCCAGGCGCCGCAGGTCCTGCTTTCAACTCCGGCATCCAGCACAAAGGCATCCTCGCTCTCACCTGTCTTTGTCGGGTTGTAGCCTCTCACCACGGTCCGCAGCTTGACGGGCCGCATCTCCTCCCCTGCATGCCACCGCCATGAACAGCCTCTTCACATATTCCTGGATGCGTCTGGCATGTCAGCTGTTGCACAAGTCCCAACAACCCCAGGCCCCGCGCTGGCACCCACCAAAGCACTTGATGCCGGCGGGCGGTGCCCCCAGCCACTGCGCCAGGTCCCGGACATTGGGGATGGTGGCAGACACCGCCACGTACCGCACCCTGCTGATGGGCTGCCCCCGCATCTCACGCAGCCTGCGAGGGAGCACCGCGAGCAGGCATGCAGCGGCAGCTCAGAAGAGCTATGTGGCCCAATGCGCGCCCGTGCCTCCTCGTCTCCCCACCTGCTGACCATCTTGATGCGCGCCACCACGCCCTCCAGGCTGCTGCCGCGGCTCTCGTTCAGCAGGTGCACCTCGTCTGCAGGTTAGCAGCATGCAGGGGTGGCATGGATCCACATAGCAGCACAATTCAGCAGCACCCACAAGCTCCTGCCAGCAGTCCGCCACCCTGCTGCTGCCCCCTGGCACGCAGCACAGCCCTCGGCGTCAGCCTGGGCAGACCCCAGCACCCCTACCACCCAGCGCCAGCACCCACCCACCCACCCACCCACCGATGAGCACCAGTCCTATGTCGGCGAAGAAGCGCATGCCGGAGCGGGTGACGGCGTCAAACTTCTCGGGGGTGGCGCAGATTATGTCGGCAGAGTCCAGCGCCTCCAGCCCCTCATGCCCCGTGTCGCCTGCAGGCGCATGGGGGTGCATGGGGACCGGGCACCAGATGACTTGGGAGCACCCCCCGGAAGGCAAGATGCACGGTGTGGCAAGCAGGGTGGTGCACCAGCTTTGGAGTATGCACAGGGCCGGGAGCCCAGCCAGGGCCAGCACCCACGTACCCGTCAGCTCCGCGCATGTGACGCCGAGCGTCGCAAAGCGCTGGCTCCAGCCCCGCACCTTCTCCTGCACCCGCCGGCAGGCAGGGGAAGCACATTCACTTGCACGCTCAAAAAGCACGGCTGCTCCAGGCAGCCAGGAGGGGCTGCAGAAGCTGGGCACCGGCTGCCGGGCCCGCTTGCCTGCACTAGCGCTCGGGCGGGCGCAAGGTACACAGCCTTGAGGTGGCCCGGCCTGTGCCCAAACTGGCCGGCCGGGCTGATGTGCTGCAGCAGCATGCGCAGGATGGCCAGCTCCAGCAGGATGGTCTTGCCTGCGGCAGGGAGTGGCACAGGGCAGAAGGAGCTGGGTTGACCGGGGCGTTCACTGGCGGCTTGTTCCACTGCCGAGCATCCACGCCGCCGTGCCACACCTCCGCCGGTGGGCGCTGAGATGACCACATTCATGCTGCTCTCATAGATGGTGGGCCAGCAGTCGTTCTGGATGGCATTGAAGTAGCGGAAGGGGAAGGCGGGGCGGAAGCACGTGGGCAGCTCTTCCACGGCGCGCAGGCGGCCGTCGCCGCCAGGCGGCCATGGCGGAGGGCCCAGTTGTGCTGCACAGGTGCTCATGGCGATGGGCCCTGCTGGTAGTGAGGGCCCAGCCGTCTGGTAGGGAGGCTGCCACTGCCGCTGCTGCTGCTGACTGGCGCCCAGAGGCTGCTGAGTCGGCCAGCCCGAGGCCATGGCTTCCTGTGGCGCTCACAGCTGCCCCAGACGATCCCTGTTGAGCAAGAGAAGGAACGTAATGGGCACCTTGGAAAGGAAGGAACACAGCTGTTGCAGGCTCAATGAGCTCCCCTGATTTGTTCATTTGACAAAACCTGGCCCCTTGGCTGTTGAGGCTCCATGGCTGCGCTGGCCTTCACCCTGGAGGGCGCCAGCCTGCAGTTCTTCACCATCGAGGTGCCCCTGGCGCCTCCAGCCACACCGACTGACCAGGAGGACGAGGAGCAGGCCGACGACCTGCTGCCCACGCCGCTGCCGCCGCGCTTTGCGGCGCTCAGCCGTGCGCTGGCGGCCGTGCGAGCGCTCAACAGCGCGGCGGCGCCCTTTGCAGTTCACGCGCTGGGCCAGGAGGAGCTGCGGGTTGTGACCCTGAAGCCGCACGTGGCGGGCGTGTTCAGGATGCTGCACCAGCGCCAGGCCTCCTGCGGCATCGTGCTGCGGGATGTGAAGAGCCACGTGGCGGTGGCGCCGCTGCCAGCGCCTGAGCTGGGGCGGGCGTGCGCGTGCGGCCTGCTGGCCAGCCTGCTGCCGCGCGGCTGGTGGCAGTTGGACGAGGATCGGCTGCTGGGGACCAGCCTGCTCGAGCCGGCGCAGGATGGGGCGGCCCAGGCTTGCAGCTCGCTGACCGTGCGGGTGCATGCTGAGCCAGGCAACAAGCAGACCAAGCTCTACCTGCTGGTCAGGGCAGGTGGGTGCTGTGTGTTTGCGGGTGTGATGGGTGCTGCAGCTGCCACTGGCTATGCCCTGCCTTGGCTTGGCTTGGCTCGGCTTGAGCTGCCCCATACTCAACACCACCACGCGCCACCACCCCTGCCCTTCCTGCCCCTGCCTGCTGCAGAGGAGGTGGAGTTCCGGCACCCCGCCTGCCGCCCCGGCGCCAGCCTGGCGCAGCGCAGCGCCAGCCTGGCGGGCGCTGAGTGCCAGCTGCTGCCTGACCTGCGCCCGGCGCTCATCCAGCGGCTGCGCCCGGCGGATGAGCCCACGCTGGCCCGCCTGCGCCCGCTGTGGGCCAGCCACGGCATGCCGCTGCCTCCGCAGGTGGACTGCCTTGTGGAGGTGGCGCTCGACTGCAACCCAGACGCACCCACCTTCCGTTACCCGGACTGCCGCGTGCTGGGCGCCTCGGGCCTGCTCAGCGTGGCCAGCAAGCGCAGCGCGCCCACGGTGCAGGCTGCGCTGGCCAGGCTGCGAGGTGGGGCTTGCGTCAGGCGGGGCTCCTGCTGAGGGCAGGTGTGGACAATGTATGACTGGGGTGGCGGCCCCGGGATGTGCTGGGAGGCGCCGACATGCCATGCTGGGCTGGCTGCTGAGCTTCAAGGCCGCTGCCTGCCCCGAGTGTGCTGCCGCAGACGACCTGGCCGCCACCCCCATCAAGTTCCTGGGCCCTGGCCTCAAGGTGGGCGCTCAGGCGCACGAGTGGTTCCCTGGCGGGGCGCCGCTGCAGCCGCGCAGCCGCCACCAGGCAGCCCAGCCGGCATTGACGGCGCCGGCGCCGGCATTCATCACCGCCCGCCAGCACGCCGAGCTGAGCAAGGGGCAGGCTGGCGGCGGCACCTCTGGAGGGCTGGCCCTGGGGCAGGCCTTTGATGTGGCGTCCTTTGCGGCGGCAGCAGCAGGCAGTGCGGCGGGTACGCAGCAGCAGCGCCCTAGGCGGCCTAACTTTGTGGCGGGGGCCAAGCTGCAGGCGGCGTTCGAGGAGGCCAAGCGGCAGCTGGCCGAGGAGGAGAGGCCAGCTGCTGCCGCTGCCGGCAGCGCGCGGCCAGCGCCAGCAGCGCCCACAGCGCCCAGACAGCAGCCATTCGCGCTGCGGCAGGCGGCAGCCGCTGTGGGCGGCAGCCGCAAGCCAACGGTGCCAGTGTTCAAGAAGGCAGCGGGTGCCCCTGGCCCCGCACGTGGCAAGGTGGCTGCGACCCCGGGCAAGAAGCGGGCGCCCGCAGCCAAGCCACCGCCTGCTCCCAAGCGGCCCAAGGCTGTGACCGACACGGCAGCCTGCGCAGGCCTGGACGGCTCTGTGGCCGGCGCCACGGGAAGCCTCCCCGCCAGCTCGGCTGCCGCTGGGCTGCCTGGGATGCCGCCCTCCTCTGCCGCCGCAGCCGCTGGTGCCGGCAGCGCGCCGCCATCTGCATACAAGCAGGCAGCAGGCAAGGACAAGGCACGGGCGGCCACGGCAGCAGAGGGCGGCGGCATGGGGGCGGCGCCGCCGCCAAAGGCGCCCGCCAAGCCTCGCGCCAAGGCAGCCGACGTGGATGTGGCGGCAGGTGGGTCGTGGCTGTGGTCCTTGTGGTGGCGGGTAGGGCGAGAGGGTTGAATGCCGCCGCGCCATGCCCTCCCGCATGGGTTCAGCTCATGTGATCATCACCCATCCGCACTTCACCGACCGCCGCTCGCCCGCTGCAGTCACCGCCAAGGTGGGCCAGATGCACGGCGCGGGCACGCTGGGCAAGCTGACCGTCCCGGAGCTCAAGGCGTACCTGAGGAGCGTGGGGCGGCCGGTGGGCGGCAAGAAGGGGGAGCTGGAGGAGCGGGTGCGGCAGCAGCTGGGGACGGCTGGGCTGTGAGCCAGGGGATGAGGTGACGCGTCAGCACTTGATTCTTTGGGTAATAAATATTAAGTCCTTCGTAGCTTGTAGTGGGAAACACCGCCGCCCGGCAGAAGCCGCCAGGCCGCTGGGCGTCATGTTGCCCGTTACGCTATGATTAACCCAAGAGGCCTCTGCAAGCTGTGAGGTACGCAGGCTAGCTGCATCTGCCTCGATCAACTGGCTGATTTCAGCGGTTCATGGAGGATATGCTGGTACGTCGTCGCCGAGTTTTAGGTGCTCTTAATTAGAACCACGGCTCTATACCTCTATATCACGAATCGTGATTCCGAAGGCTTGCGGAGGGCACGGGAGCTCCAATGAGGTGACCCACATGATCGAACCTCATCATTTGGCCACAGCCCGGCAGCCAGCCTCGCTCCATGAAGCAGGTGCAGAGGTTCGGGTGTGCCTGAAGGCGCCGGCCGCCGTCGGGGAGCAACCGGGCGGACATTCCCGGGTCGCCCGCCGCCGCCCACTGGCGCCTGCCGCTGGCGCCTGCAGGTATGGACGATCAAACCTGCTGCCCAGGTAGACCGCCCACGAAGCAGCTTTAAGAAGGAGCAGAGCTTGCGGGCGCAGCCTGACCTCCAGGATCAGCCAGGCGAGGACATTGAGCTGGCATGCCTGCCGGCCTCTCCGGTGGGCGCACAGGAGGCGCACGCCACGCCGCAGCTGTTTGGCGGCGCACAAATGGCTCCGACAGCAGCTGATGCGCAGCAGGCTGCCAGCCCTCCGGCATACGTCCATTGCCACTCCTTCGATGTGGCCCGCTGTGCCGTCAGCGTGCTCAAGTTTGCCCCCGGCTCGGCGGATCGCCTGGCCTGGGGCGCCGACGACGGCGCCGTGTACCTGGCGACCGCGGAGCAGCCGCCGCGCCTGCTACAGGTGCCTGCCGGCTCAGCCTCTTTCCCTGCCAGCGCGTTTTGCGGTGTGTGAGGCAGCGCATCCACTGGTTCAGCGTGCTTCCCTGCCCCATGCACACAGGTGCTGGAGCGGCACCGAGGCAAGGTGTCTGACCTGGCTTGGTCTCCCGACGGTGCCACGCTGCTGACGTGCAGCCAGGACGGCACCGCCTGCCTGTGGGAGGCAGGCTGCGGGCGGCTGGTGCGCGGCGTGCACAACCTGTCGGGCCCGCTCGGCTGCTGTGCCTTCCACCCCGTCAACCCAAACCTGCTGCTGCTGGGCACGGCGGCCGGCGAGCTGCTCACCCTCAATGCCAGCACAGGTGAAGTGCGAGGGGCACAAGTGGGAAACACAAACAAGCACAGGGCAGCCAAGCTGCGCTGCGCCCACTGCGCCTGAGTCACCGGCCTCCACTTCCCCCCTCCTCCCCGCCTGCAGGCCACTTGGTCGCCAAGGCTGAGCTGCAGGCTGCGCCGATGGCGCGGGTGGGCGCCTGCTCTCTGGCGCCCTCCGACCGCGGCCAGCTGCTTGCCGCCGACAGCCGCGGCTGCCTGCACCTTTTCGACGCCTCCCTGCACGGCGGCGCAGCACCGCGCATGGCGCTGCTGGCCCACCTCCCGCCCTCACGCAACCGCTTCCACGAGCCGGCATGCTTGGAGTATGCGGCACACAGCGGGCTGGCGGGGGGCGCCGCCGTGCTTCTGGTGCTGTCCAGCGGCGAGGTGGTGCTCAGCAGGCTGCACCAGAAGGTGGGGACACGCACGCAGGAGCCAGGCTTGAAAACAGTGCCAACCCATGCTGCCCACGCTGGTGCATCCCCCCGCCTCATGCAGCCGTACCGTTTGGAGGCGGTACAGGAGGTACGCACCGCTCCGGCGTCCGCCAAAGTCAGGGCCTCGCTTCGGCCGGGCTATGCGGCGCGGCAGCAGGCGGTGCTGGCGACCGGCGGCGAGGACTGCAGGGTGCATCTGGTGGGGTTGAGCCAGGCGGGAGAGGCGCCGCGCCTGCTGGCGGCGCTTACCCACCACCACGCTCCGGTGCTGGGCGTGGCGTGGAGCTGGTGCGGCAGCCGGCTGGCATCAAGCGACATGAAGGGCGTGGTGGTGGTGTGGCGCGAAGAGACAGCCCAGCCAGCGAGCGACGACCCGGCCGCTGACGGGCTGGCAGCCCCATGAAGCGGCGGTGCCCAACCATCGTGTTTGATTGATTTGATTTGATTTCTCCCAAATGAATGAAATTTCATTGTGGCAGTTGCACGTCCGCCCACTTTTCTTGCAGCTTTGATAAAGTACGTTCTCCTATACCATGTTGCTTTGTACAGGTCCCATCCCCAACTCCTCATCTCTTGACTTGAAGAAAAACCAGTGTTACACTCGATCGCTGGCAATAACAAACAAGAGCAGCAAGAAACTTTCCCAAAGGCTTAGCAGCAAAAATGGCACAAAATTGGCAGCAAGAGGACAAAGAGAGGTAGAGAGGCACCAGAGGGGCACCAGCGAAAGCCTGCCATCATGGCGGCTGCGGTGCGCCAGGGGCTCCGAAAGGGCGGCGGGCTGCTGCTGCAGGGTGGGGAGAAGGTCCAGCCATCCAGCACCAGCCTCACAAATACAGATGAATCGAGGGGCAGAAGAGGTGGAGCAGGAACAGAGAAAAGAATCGGGACATGCGATGCACTGCCGCGCTGCGGTCAGGTGGTGGTGCTGTGCTGGGTGCAGGTGACAGGGCCTGGCCAGCAATGCACCCGCCTCCCAGCCCCGCAGCGTGGCCGCAGTCTCAGCAAGGGGCAAGTGAAGCCAGAGGGCGGGTGCACGGCGGCGCCCGCAGCTGCGCGGCAGGTGGTGCCGCGGGGGTTGAGCCGCCGGGCCGGGCCGCCGACGCGCATCGCTGCTCAGTCCCAGGCCTGCCGCTGGCTGCTGGCAAAGGTGGTGTAGACCACCAGGCCCAGCAGCTGGCATGCGGCTGTGGGGTAGAAGAGCGCGTGCGCCCAGGAGCCGGTCTGGTCTAACAGGTAGCCAGCAAAGGTGACGCCCAGCACGCCCGGCAGCGCGCCCGCCGTGTTGCTCAGCCCTGCGCGGGCGGCACGGGCAGGGCATGTGGGTGGGCGGGGCCGGGGCAAGGCACGGGGCCTCGCTGCCGCTGGCCGCGGCAGCCACGCCTCCCCACACCGTCGCAGCCAATGCCGCGGGAGAGCCGCAGGCGGCGTCGGGCGGCGCCCCTGGCCGCGCCAGGCAGCGGGCGAGCGCTCACCCAGCAGCGCGCCGGCATACTTGGGCGATAGGTCCTGATGGTTGCAGTACAGTCCCGCGCGGGACCAGGCCCCCAGCGCAAAGGCCAGGCTCATGACGCCGACGATGAGGCCGATGGGGCCGGCGCCGGGGGTGGCGGGGGTCAGCAGGGCCAGCGCCAGCATGCACAGCGCGGGCCCCGCAAACGAGATGCCCTGGCACAGCTTGCGCACGTCCGTCACCGCCCAGCCGTGCTTGCTGGCGAGGCCGTCGGCGATGGGGCCCACCAGGGGCGTCATCAGGGTCATGGAGACGTAGGGGATGAGGGTCAGCAGCGAGCTCTTCTCCACATTCAGCCCTGCGCGGCGCGGGAGGCGGCGGCGGCAGCGGCGCGCCGAGGGCGTCCTGGTCGGTGTGGGCACAGGCAGGGCTAGGCCACCAGGCTCCAAAGCCGCGCCAGCCGGGCTGGAGGGGACGCGGGGACGTCGTCGGGAGGCAGCAGCAGCAGCAGGCCGTCCTGCTGCCGGCCAGCTGCTCGCCCCACCCTCCAGCTCCCCACCCCTCCCTGCCCTCTCACCCAGGGCCATGTCGAAGTAGGAGGGCAGCCAGGCCAGCAGGGTGTAGTAGCCCCAGTTGAAACAGAAGTGCGCCACGATGATGGCCCACACGGGGGAGCTGCGCAGGAAGGCACCCCAAGGCACCGGCCTGCGCTTGTCGGCCTCCCGCGCAGCCGCGGCCGCCGCCGCCTCTGCCGCCTCCTCCGCGTGCTCCGCGGCGGTGGCAGGCTGCGTGCGGAACTTGCGCGGCAGCGCGCCTGCGGGGGCGCCAACGCAGGGGCGGCGCTCAGGCAGGCAGCATGGCTGCCGGGCTGTGCGCGACACGGCGTGAGCTGGGGTGACGTGCGAACGAGAGGGCAGCAGCGGCAGGCAAGCAGTCGCCGCATGCCGCGCGCCGCCGCGGCGCGCATACGCGCACACGCCCAGCCCCCACCTTCGTCCTGCTGCTCGGGCTTGAACAGGGGCCAGGCCAGGCACCAGACGAGGCCCAGCACCGCAAACAGGTAGAACACAGACTGCCAGCCAAACCAGTGGATGAGAGGGCCGCACAGCAGCAGGCCCACAGCGCTGCCCACATCCAGGCCGCCAAACACGGTGGTCACGGCGCGGGCGCGCTCCCTCCTGCAGCCGCCAGGCGCGCGTGGCGGTCAGGCAGCCGCTTGCCGGCCCCCGCAGGCGGGCAGCGGACGGGAGAAAAAGGGGCGGCGGCCGGAGAGCACAGGCGGAGGCGCCGGGCAAGCGCGCTGCGGCGTGCAGGCCCCAAGCAGTCGCCGGCACGCAGGCGGCTGCGCCGGCATGGCAGCGGAAGCGGAAGCCAAGCAGGCGTGGCAGGCCCTGCCCCGCTCACTCCGGCACGATGCGGGCCATAACATTGGTTGCCGAGCTGGGGGCCAGCCCCTCGCCCAGGCCCACAAACAGACGGGTGGCGCAGAGGGCCACCAGGCCCAGCTTGGCCGCGGGCGGCGCGATGAGCGTGCCCAGGGACCACAGCGCCACGCCGGCAAACAGCACGCGCGCGCCGCCGATGCTGCGGGCCAGGGGAGGCAGGGGGCGCGGCGCGGTTGGCGGGTGGCACGCAGGTCAGGCTGGGCCCAGCCAACACACCGCCCAGGTGCAGCAATGGCGGCAGCAGCGGCCAGCACCCTGCCCCGCTCCTGCATCCAGCCACCCCACCCCACCCCACCCCGCGCCAGCAGGCGCCAGCAGCCTCCTCGGCCCCCACTCCCGCCGCTCCTTTCCCCTGTGCCGCGCTTCACCTGGTGGACACCCAGCCCGCGGGGATCTGGGTGAGGGAGTAGCCCCAGAAGAAGGAGGAGGAGACGAGGCCGCGCTCCATGGCGGTCCACCCCAGCTCCTTGGCCATGGGGATGACAGCCACAGACATGTTGACCTGCGGGCAGCGGTGGGTGGCTGTGCGTGAAGAGCGAGTGCATGTGGAGGTGGTGGCTGGGAGAGCCGGCTGGGGAGGGCGCAAGTCCTGGAGGGGCAGCGCAGCGCGGCGGGCCGGCACGGCAGCAAGCACGGCGCAGGCGGGCAGCAGAAGGGCCGTGAGGTGGGCTGCGGGCCCGTCGCCACCGCGCCGCTGCCTGCCCCCGTGCCGCACCTTGTCCATGTTGCACAGCACAAAGGAAAGCGCCATCATGCCCACCACGCGCCACCGGTGCGGCACGCCCGCCTGCTGCTCCGCCGCGGCCTCGGCGGTGGCCGCCGGCGTGCCTGATGCTGCGCCAGCCGCTGCCCCCGCTGCCGCCGCCGCGTCCGCGTCGTCCACGCTGTCTTCTAGGTTGGCTAGAGCTGTGTAAATGGTGGAGGCCTGGTCGTCACCTGCCATGGGCACCTCTGGCACCAGGCTGCGGTCCGGAGAGTCTGAGACCACCACGTGCCGCTGCCGCCGCCGCGCCTGCTGCTGCTGCGGCCCGCGCCGCAGGCCCCACTGCTGCCCCAGGGCCGCCGCGCTGCATAGCTGCTGGCGCGTGGAAGGCGCCTGCGAGCCGGCGGCGGCGGCGGCTGCGCAAGGCTGCCTGCTTCCGCCCCGCGGCCTGCCGCATTGCCGCAGTTGTCTGCTGAATGGCTGCATCGCTGCTGCGCCTGCTGCTGGGGCAGGAGCAAGGCCCGCAGCCTGCATCGGGCACAGTTTTGAAGCACGAGGGAACGCGGGCCGCCGCGCAGGCCCTGAGCCAGGGCTGAATTGAGGGGATTGCCTACACCGATCCTGCAGCCACAGCGAGCGAGCAGCGCGACGCGCGTCAGGGCCGCCAAAGTTGGGTGATGGTGCGGAAGGCACCGCGATCGCAGCCCCATGGGCACAAGGAGGCCACGAGGGCGCACCTGCTGCCGTCGATGGCTGTTGGGCGCGCCACCCGTCTGCAAAGGCTTTCTGAGGCGAACGGCACCCAATGCCAAGAAGCACCAAAGACCCAATCTTCAGCTTTGAGAGCGTGCCGGGGCTGCCACAATGAGCGTCCTCCCGTGCTGTGCTGAGCTTGCCAGCGCGCACTGCAGGCCGCCCCCGGCGCGGAGTGTGCAAGGCACCGCCGCCGCCGCCGCTGCCTGCTGAGTGGCCACACCACGCAGCCTGGTGCCATCCAGAAGTCCACTTTCACCTTGTTTCAATGCTGCTGCACTCCGCGCAGCCAGCAGCATGCGCTGCGTGCGCCAACTGAATGCCAACCGCCGGCACCCCCTGCACGCCCGGCGCCAAAAGCACGGGCCACGTGGCAATGTGTGCCAGCTGCCGGTGAGGATTCACGTGCATCGTCTGAAGGGGATCTGGGGGCGATCGCAGTTGCATGGCGACACCGCCGCCGCCAGCTTTCCTCCCGCAGGGCGGCACCAAGGCTGCGCCTCACCAGCTGCATCTCTACTCCACATGCTGTCACGTCTGCGGCACTACGCGTCGGCTGTCGGCAGGAACGCAGCGCTCACACGTTGGCGACAGCAGCGCGCAACCCCAAACTCTGTCCCCAGAAAATAATCACAACACGCCGTTGCTTGCTGCGGCGAGAAGCCGGCCCACCGGCCCATCGGCACGCTGCGCGGCGCGCCATGCCAGCCGCGTCAGCCCTTCACCTCCAGCACCCGCGCATCCAGCAGCGCCCTGACCACCGCGGCCGCCTCCACGCCGCACCCGTCCTCCGCCGCGGGCAGCTCGCCCACGGCCACCGCCTCGGGGACGCCCTCGCCGCCGCCGCCCGCTGACAGCAGGATGTCCAGCAGCTCAGCGCAGCCCACGGGGAACTCCAGCACCCCTGCAGCCTCCACCACCACCTCCTCCAGAGCCTCCTCCAGCGCCTCCTGCTCGTCCGAGGGCTTGTGGGCGTGCAGGTCGCGGCGATTGGCCATGCAGTGGTGCACCTCGGCGATGGGCTCGGGGCCCTCGCCGTCGATCACCAACCGCGCGATGCCCGGCTGCGCCAGGCCGACCAGTGTGGCAGGGCCCACTTCGCCCGAGCCGCCCGCGCCGTCGGCGCCCTCGGCCGCGGCGGCGGCGGCGGCGGCCTGTCTCAAGAGGGGCGAGGGTGACGCGAAAGCGGGCGGCAAAGTCAGCGGCGACGGGTCGGGGCAGGGCACGGGGGGCGTACCGTAGGCCACGCCAGGACGCTCTGGAGCAATGCACCAGCAGCCGCAGCCGTGCGGTCATTTGCGGGCATCCCCCAGCCCCGCCAAGCCGGCATCCCCAGCCTCCCCCCGCCCCGGCCGCCCCCACCTTGCGCGGCGGTGGCGGCAGGCGCTGCTGCAGGAACTGCACCGCCAGCTGGTCGGCCACGCCGTCCAGCGGCATGTGGTGCATCACTGCCTCAATGAGCTCCGCGCAGTGCTGGGTGAACTCCTCGCGCCGCGGGTCCTCCTCGCCCCCGTCGCCTGCGGGCCAGCCGGGCGGGCGGGAGGGCTGGTGGGTGGGTGGGTGGGGAGGCAGGTCGTGTGCGGGCTTGCAGGGAGGCTGTGTGGGTGGACAGGCGGGCGAGGCGGTGGCAGGCGGGGTGAGGCGAGGGGCCGGCAGGCTGGCAGGTGGGCAACTGCAGGTGGGCAAACGAGAGGAGGATGGGCGGTACACACTCCTCCGCCACCTCGCGCCATGCCCGCTAACGGCCGCACCCAGGCCCCGGCAGCTCCCCGCTCACACGTCTGGCTGCGCGCACGGCCGCCAGCCTGGCGCCGGCCCTGGGCCAGCCCTGCGCCTTGCCCACCCTCCACCCACCCTGCTCCCGTGGGCGCCCGGGCTCCTGCACCCCCCCCCGGCCCCGCAGCCACGCCCGAGCCTGCACCCGCACCCCCTGCCCTGCAGCCACGCTGGTGCCTGCCCCACGCCCTCCTGCCCAGGCCCAGCCCCATGCCCTCGCTCACCCTCCGGCCGCTCGTGCATGACGCCCATGTACTCGAAGTAGTCGCGGGGCAGGGTGCGGCGCAACTCACGCCTGGACTGGGCCGCCGCGCGCAGCGCCTCGGGCAGCGCCTCCTCCAGAAACACTGCAGGGGGGTGGGCGGCGGTGGCATGTGGGTTTGGTGTGACTAGAGAGGGAGAGTGTGTGTGCGTTTTGGGGGGGTTGTGATGTGTGGGTGGCTGCGTGAGCGACGGCGACGGTGGAGGTGTGGTGGTGGTGGTGGTGGTGTGTGTGTGTGTGTGTGTGTGTGTGTGTGTGCGGGCAGGCCAGGCCAGGAGGCAGGGAGAGAAGGGAGCAGGGGAGAGGGGCAGCATGACACTGACTGGCCAGAGCGTGGGGCGAGGCCCCAGCAGCGAAGCTGCAGCAGCAGCAGCAGTATAGCCGGGCGCACACAAGGGTGGGCAGTGGCAATGGCCGGGCACGCACCCGTCCAGGAGCGCTGCTGGTTGGCGGAGATTGTGATGTGGAGTGAGTGGCTGTCTGGCATCGACTCAGCCTGGTGCACTGCAGCAGGAGGGGGCAGGGGCGGTGGAGGGGCCGGGCATGAGGCAGGCTGGAAGGTGGGGAGGCTGAGGGCGAGCGGCCAGAGCGACGCTCGGCAGCCGGGAGCGCCGCGGCGGCCCTGGCTGGAGCAGGAGCTGCATGCACCAGTCGCTGCCAGTACAGCAGCCCCTCCCTGCCCTACCCCACACATCCACATATCCACACACACGGCAACCACACCCACACCCACACCCCAGCGCCCACCTGTACCGCGCGGCATGTACAGCATGTCACCAGGCTCTAGTACCACATCCATCACACACTCGCCCAGCTCCTCCTCGCTGAAGTCGCGGCTGCTGTACCTGCAGCACGGTACCGCCATGCGGGGCAGTACCACAACCTCAGCATGCCGCTGCTCGCTGTGCATGGCTGGCACAGCCCTGGCCCAACACGCACAGGCGGTGACAAGCAGAGGTGCCGGCAGGGCCGGCGGCGGCCGTGGGATGATGGTGGCGAGGCGGCGTGGCGAGGAGGCAGCGCCCTGCCCACCCTCTGCCAGCCAGCTGCGCACCGCGGCAGGACGTGCTCTGGGTCGGTGGGTGCGTGAAGGCGCCACCGCTTCTTGCCCTCCAGCTGCAGCACAAAGGCATCTATGTCGTCCCTGCGGGACAGTCAGGCAGAGGGGCCACAATGGACGTGATGCAAGGCAGAGGTGCGGTCGGATGCCCAGCAGCCGGGCCCGTTAAGAGGAGCCGAGCAGGGCGCACAGTGGGACCATCCCACAGCAGTGTCTGCTCAGCGGCCCGCCCCACCAGTGCGGCGCAAAGCCCTGGGTGCCGGCTGGTGTGAGGTAGGCGTTGCAGCCCACCGGGCACTGAAGGAAGCTCTCCAGGCGGGCAACCAGGCGCCAGAGGCCGTCGCAGAAGCGCTGCGGGTGCAGCAGGCGCACGGAGCAGCCCTCCTTCTCAAACCGCCGCCACACCACCTCGGCATCTGCCATCTCGGGCACTGCACACCAGCGGGGGGGGGGGGCGGCCGGGTGGGATAGGGGATGCGCGAGCGGCCACCAAGGGCTCCAGCCGTCCCCAGCGGCAGAGGAGACATGGAACCGAACGCACAAAGGGAGCCGCCGTGGGAGAGCAGGGGCCGCGTTAGGCAGCGGTTGGTGGCACAGGAGCCGGGCTGAGCGCAGCGGGCGTGAGGCGCCCCACCTGCCTCCTCATCCGGCTCAGTGCTGCCGTTGTAGTTGAAGTTGGCCCGCTTCTTTCCTCCCGCGCTGTAGCTGGTCACATCCACGTTGATCTGGTACTGCATGGCGCCACCCCGTACCAGCCGGTCGATGTCTGCACCGCAGGCGACAGCCAGCAACGGTCGAGCTCCAGCCAGTGCCGACGCGAGCACAAGCTTCAGGCAGCAGCGAGCGGCAAGGTTGGTGCGGCCACACCAGCAGCAGCAGTGAAAGCAGGCGTGTTGGGTGTTGGAAGACAAGCCTCCCAGCCTGACGTGATGGCAGCGGCGGAGCACGCACCGTCTTTGCTGAACAGCCCTGAGAAGTAGGTACGGTTCTGAGGGCGGGTGACCAGCATCGGCGCCTCGTCTTGAATGGCCTGCACGGAGAGCGAGGCGGCGGCATGCTGGGATGAAGCGCAGTGACAGCACATGAGGGCTTGGCTGGTCGCCGATATGCCAGCCCATCACAGATCTGAGCCGCATCGCCAAGCGCCACACACCACCACCACCCACCACCGCCACCAGCCACCTGGACACCTGTCACACACCTCAAAAAAGGTCTCCACCTCCACCGGCACAATCAGCCACTGGAACACGCCCTCCCCATCCTCAATCTCCTCCCCAGACACCTGCGGCGGGCGCGCGGGCGGCAGCGGAACATGAAACGGCAGGGCGCGGCCTGCAGCTGCGCATGCTCGGCCTCATGCTGAGCAAGTCCTGGCCCAACTCGACATTCCCCAGCCGCCAACCTCCCCCTCAGCCACCCACCATGTCTGGTGTGCGAGGGTCCTCCACTTTGACTGGCTCGATGGTCAGGTCAAAGTCCTGGAGGCAGGAGGGATGGAGGGGCGGGGAAGGGGCCTAGGAGCACAGGACAGCGAGGCGGTGGGCAACGCAGGTAGGCCACAGGCCAGCGCCATGCTCGCCGGCATGGCACCAGCAAGCTGCTGCCGCGGCAGCCGGCCTGGCCGAGTGCTTGCACGGAGCCAAGGGCAGGGCAGCTGAGTGGAGCCTGGTGGAATGTGGGCACCAGGCGCACCTCCAGCTCCATGTCTTCCTCTCCCTCCTCCTCTCCAGCCTGCTCGCTGCCGCTCCCGTCATCGCCATCTCCCTCCTCCTCCCCCTCTTCTTCCTCCTCTTCCTCCTCTTCTTCCTCCTCTTCCTCCTCTTCTTCCTCCTCCTCCTCCTCCCTCTCAGCGTCGTCGTTCTGCGCAACCGAGGCCTCCGCAGAGTCCTTGCTGGCGGCGCCCTTGCCCCGCCGCCGCTTCTTGCTGCGCCCTGCCGGCTCCGCCTCCTCCTGCGGGCGCAGCGGCGGGGGCGACTCTCAGCCCTGGAACGCAGGTATCCAATACCTGATGTCGTCGAGGGGTCTCCGCCTGCCCCTGCAAGCCTTGATCACAATACTGAAATATCTCCGCCAACTCGCCTCCATCACGGCCGTCGATCCATCCTCCGCAACCGTGCATCCCAGAGTCTGCGCCACTGTCTTCAACACCGTGAATGCGTCCTCATCGGCACCCAGGCCAAGCGCAGAGGCCAACCCCGCGATCACCCTTCTCTCTTTGGCTTTGGAGGCAGCCATCATGTGAAATGGGAAGTGGTGGGGAGATCCTAGGGCCATCAGCTGAACGCCTGGTGTCTCGTTTGCCACGTGGAATTTGGCTCTGGTTTGGCGCCCAAAGAGTCATGCATGGGGCCTGTGCGCCGCACAACCGTCCCCTGCGATCCATTCTGCACTGCGGCAGCAGCAGGCATGGCGGCGGCGGGACTGCCGGGCTGCCTGACACTCAGCCTGCAGCCCCATGTGCTGCAGCAGCGAAGTCGAGCAGCCCGCAGGAGTGGTCAGGGCGTGCCATGTGCAGCGATAGAGCGGAGGGCAAGCGGCACTGCCCCACCACGAGCCCCTGGCCACAACCGGAGGCCCCCGCACCAGCAGTCGGGGCAGGGCAGCCTGCACATGCAGCGGCACCTGGTCGGCTTCGACGCCGCGCTGCGGGCGGGGCAGCTGGACGGCGGGCTGGCGGTGCTGCGCGAGGCGGCGGCGGCGGCGGCCGGCGCGCCCGTGCCGCTGCTGGGCCCCGACCGCAACCGCGCCTTCATCCAGGCCTGCTTCCACCGCGGCCGCCCCGAGAAGACCATCGAGTACCTGCAGCTGCTGCACCCAGAGGTGGCACCCTGGATTTCGGTCATGAAGGAAGCCAACAAGAGGCGGGACCTGGTGACCATGAGGCGGGTGCTTGCCGCACGCCAGGCAGCAGGTCTGGCGCTAGACCAACGCTCCTCCACGGCAGCCATTGCGGGGCTGGGCGCCGGGGGGCGGCTGGCAGACGCGCTGGACGTCTTCTGCCGGGCCTGGGAGCAGTACGAGTGCAGGACGGTGGAGGTGGCCAACGCCGCCATCTCCGCCTGCGCCAACCAAGGCAACTGGGAGGCGGCGCAGGAGGTGCGCAGGCCAGCAGCAGGGCCGCGCGTGGGCTGGGGCAGCAGCAGACGGGCTTGGGTCGGAAGTGTGGCAACAGCAGCAACAGGAGGGCTGGCAGATGGCTGCCGCAGCTGCCCGCCGGCGCTGCGCCTGTGCTGCCCCCGGCGCCGCGTGGCAGATGTGGCGCCGGCTGCGCTGCTCAGTGCAGGCTGCCGTGGCGCGCTGCACCTGTCCCACCCAACCACATACCCGCTCCACTGTTGCGGTGCCGCAGGTGGTATCCATCATGGAGCGGGAGGGTATCCAGCGGGACGTCATCACCTACAACTCCCTCATCAAGGCCGCCGCCGCCGCGGGGCTGCTGCCGCACGCGGTACGCACGTACCGCGAGCTGGCCGCCGCCGGCCTGCGCCCCACCACCTTCACCTACGCAGCGCTCTTCACCGCCGCCGCCAAGGCGCGGCACGGCGATGCCGCCTGGCTGCTGCGCACGTGGGACGAGATGGAGGCTGCTGGGGTCGCCCCCAACAACTATGTTGTGTCGGCCCTCTTCTCGGCAGCCTCCCACGCCCCCTGCACCCCCGCCCAGCTCGACCGCCTGTTTGCCGCGCTGGCGCTGCTGCGCAGGTGCGTGTGGGAGCATGTGTGCGCGCGCGGGCGGCACGTGTGCTGCTGCTGCTGCCGTGCGTCGTCCCTGTCCTGGCCCGTCTGTCCCCCCTTTTCCGCCACCGCCGTCACCACCACCACCACTCCCAACCTGCTCCGCCCGCCTGCCGCAGCTTTGGGCCTCCCAACGATACGGTGTACACCTCGCTGCTGACGCTCATCCAGCGGCAGGCCATCCAGGAGCGGGCGGTGGATGTGTGGACAGCGGTGAAGCAGGACGGTGTGCGGCAGACGCCCCACCTCTACTCCTCCCTCTTTGCGGGTGCGGCGCCTGCTGCCGTCGCAGCTCCTGCCGCTGCTGGCGACGGCCTGCTGCCGGCTGTGCCGTGCGAAGCGGGCGGTTCGAGCTGGCCGGCGCATGGCGCCGCGAGGCGGCAACCGCGGGCCGCGGAGGCCAACGTCTCAGCACGCCTGCTTGCCGTCCCCGCCCGCCTCCCTGCCTGCCTGCGTGTGCAGCCTGCGCGCCGGGCGCCTCGCCTGCGCTGGTAGAGGTGGCGCTGGAGGCTGCGGACGCGATGCAGGACTCTTGGCAGGAGTGTGTGGCCAGGTCCCAGCCGCGGCCGCACTACGAGCGGTGAGGCCAGCTGCGCGGCGGCGACCCCTGCTACACACACACACGCGCCGCTCGACTCCTCCTCCACGGCCACTCCTTGCCTCCTCTGTGCCTGCCTCCTGCCCCTCACTCCTCCGGCATCCTCCCCCAACCACTCCTCGCCTCCTCACCACCCCCCTCCTGCCCCCCACTCCTCACTGCCCCTCCCCTCCCCTTCCCCTCTCCCCGCAGCGACATGTTGGTTGCCTACAACGCCCTGCTGCACCTGCTGGGCTCCATCGGCCAGCTGCAGCGGTCGCTGGGGGTGTACCGCGGCATGCGCCGCCGCGGACCCGCCCCGGACGTCGTCACCTACAACACCCTCATCGCCGCTGCCGCGCACGGCGGCAACGTGCAGGCCGCCATGCGCACCTTCTCGGACATGGTGGACGCGGGTGAGCGGGTGTGGGTGGGGGGGCAAGAGCGTGGGGGCAAGGGGGTGGGGTGCAAGGTGGTGGGAGGCGTGCTTGCTTGCTACTTGATTGATTGCCTGGGTTGCTTGCTTGCTTGCCTGCCTGCTTGCCTGCCCGCTTGCTCGCTCGCTCTTCTCTCCCCTCTCTGTTGGGCATCTGCTGCACGTGCCGGCGGTGCCACGCCGCGCCCCGGGACTCCGGGAGCGGGGTGCCGGCAGATCGGCTGGAGGCAGGGCCCCTGCTTCCGCCCCGGCCCCGCATGCCTCTACCCTCCACCCCTCCTCCCCTGCCCCCCACCCCACCCCCGCCCCCCTGCCAGACATCGAGCCCACCGAGCGCACCGCGGGCGCGCTGCTGCACTGCTACGCCAAGGCTCGGGATGCGGCCAGCGCGCGGCGCGTGTTTGAGGGCATGGCGCAGCTGGGCGTGCGCCCCAACCTGGAGATCTACACCAGCCTCATCGACGCCTGCGTGCAGGCGGGTGGCAAGCAGTGGACGCAGGTGCGGCGGGGTGGGGTGAGGGTGCGGTGAGGGAGTGGAGGGGAGGGCGTGTGGTGAGAGAGCGGTGAGGTGTGGGAGTGGTGGGCAGGGGAGGGCAGGGCCACGGCGGCGCCAGCAGCCCCGGTTCTGCATCCGCGCAGCTGCACTGCTGCTGCTGCTGCTGCTGCTGCTGCTGCTGCTGCTGCTGCTGCTGCTGCTGCTGGCATCTGCACCTTCCGGCCTGCCCCGTCCACCGCCCCCCCTTCCTTTCTGCCCGCTGACCCCCCCCGCCTCTGCATTCCCCTCCGTGCCTGCCGCCGCAGTTTGCTTTCCAGCTGGTTGAGGAGATGCGGCGGGAGGGGCTGGCCCCCAGCGCTGTCACCTACGGCTGCCTGCTAGCGGCCTGCGAGAAGGCCGGGGACGTCACCCGCGCCTTCGCCCTCTACAAACAGGCCTGCGACGAGGTGCGGCGCGGGGGCTTCGCCCTGCGCGGCCGGCAGCGTGGTTGAACCAATCAAGCACGCTGCATGCGTGTGGTGGAGGGTAGCCCACCCACCATCGGCTGCTGGTGCCGGTGCCGCCGGGGCTGGCGTGCCACTGCCGCCAGTCCGTCCTCTGGCCGGGTATTGAACCGCCTGCCGCCCTCTGCCTCCCCTCCCACTCACTCACTCACTCACTCTCTCACTCACCCACTCTCTCGCTCGCTCTCTCGCTCGCTCACACTCTGCAGGGCGTGGCCCCCAGCGACCAGATGCACGACATGCTGATCAGCATGTGCACAGAGGCGGAGCGGCTGGAGGAGGCCGTGGACCTGGTCAAGCGCCTGGCCCGCTCCTCCCCTGGCGCCCAGCCCGTCGGCGGCGGCGGCGGCGGCGGCAGGAGCGTGGACGGCGGCGCCACCACCAGCGGCGGCCTGCACGAGCACACGCTCAACTCGCTCATCCGCGCGCTGTGCGGCAAGTACGTGGACCGAGCGCTGCGCCTGCTGAGCCTGTGCCAGGTAGGCGGGGGCGGGGCGCAAGCCAGCCGGCAGTGGCGCGGCAGGGCGTGCCAGCCCAGGCAGGGCGTGCCAGCCCCAGGCAGGGTGTGCCAGCCTCTCCAGCAGCAGGCCCAGCCTCTCACTAGCTAGCCTCTGCCACTCCCCGCCTCCCCCACACCCACGCCCACACACAGACGATGGGCATGCGGCCCAGCAGGCGTACCTACCTCTCACTCATCACCGGCTGCGCCAAGGCCTCCCGCAGCGCCGCATCGTACGACCTGTACCGCTCACGTGAGGCTTGGTACTGCTGCTGCTGTGTGTGTGTTTATGTGTGTGTGCTGGGTGTCTGTGTGGGCGCCTGCACGCGTTCGGGGCTGCGGCGGGGTGGGATCTGTGTGTGACGGGGTGCTTGTGGAGGGGCCGCTGCCGGCAGCATGGCTGGCTGCCCGGGGCCCCGCGCGCCTCATTTGCCGAATGCCGTGCGACCGCCGTGCTGCGCCGCAGTGCGGGCTCAGGGCATGGAGGCAGACGCCGCCTCCGGTTCAGCCCTCATCACCTCCCTCTGTCATGCCAACCAGGTGGGCCCGCAGGCGTGGCGGCGGCAGCCGCTCTGCAGCTCCATGCCCGCTCGCACCAGCCGCTGCTGCTCGCCGGCCGCCTGCCCTGACACGCCGCCCCGCTGTGCCGTCCCCTCCGCTCGGGCTCGGTCAGCCCAGGTCCCTCCCCCTCCCCTGCCTGCTTGCCTCTTCGCCTGCCTCGCCTGCCCCATCTCCACTATAGCCTCGCCCTCCTCCCCTGCCTCACCTGCTCCCTCCACCTGCCCCACCTCCACTCGCCCTCCTCCCCTGCCCCACCTGCTCCCTCCACCTGCCCCTCACTTGCCGCAGCTGGAGGTGGCGGAGACGGTGTACAATGACATGCTGGCGTGCGCCTGGCGGCGGGAGCTGCACACACTTCCGGCGCCCGCGGCGCGCCGCGGTGGGCTGTCCAACCACGGCCGCACGCCCGACGGCGAGGCGCTGGCGGCGCTTGTGCAGGCCTTTGCCGCCGCAGGCGACCTGCGCAGCGCCGCCAAGTACTACAAGCAGCTGCGGCGGGTGGGCAAGGCCGGGCTGGCGGCGGTGGCGGTGTCGCACCGCCGCATGTGGGAGGTGCTGATCGAGAACTACTGCCGGCAGCACAGGGTCAAGGCGGCGCTGCAGGTGAGAGGGGGCGCGTGTGTGGCGCGAAGCCCTGCCTGGGAGGAGGCTGCAGGCGTGTGGTGCACGTGAGCAGCAGCTGGGCACCCTGTTTCCCCGTGTGCTGGCTGCTCTTTTTCGTTGCTGCTGCTGGCGTTGCTGCTGCCGCTGCTGGTGCTGCTAGAGTGGGCAGCGACGCTGGCGTGGCCGGCACGCCCGACCGGGCTCCGCTGCAGCTGCTCTGCTCTTGCAGCGACATGCATGCTGCCCGCGTGCAGGTGTTTGATGACTGGAAGGTTGCCCGGGACGACTGGCTGGCCGCCCAGCAGCAGCACCAGCCCAACAACGACCGCGCAGCAGCGGCGGCGGCGGCGCCGAGCGCCGCCCTCGGCCGCGGCGCCAAGCCCGCCAGCGGCGCCGCTGCCAGTGGCAGCGGCAGCGGCACGGAGGCGGCGGCGGCGCTGCCGGCGCCGGCCCCCGCGGCGGCGCGTTACCCCAAGCTGTCGAACGTCAGCCTGGCCTTCCTGGAGGCCTGCTGCCGCAGCGAGCCCGACTGCGAGTGGCGGGTGTACGACGTGTGCGCCGTGATGCGGCAGCAGAAGGAGCTCAAGCGGCAGGCGGGGCTGGCGCGGCCGCAGAAGCAGAGCCACCACTTTGCTCCGGCGTGAGGCCGCCTGCCACCGCCCGCACTCCCCGGCTGCTCGTCGCTCAGCATTCAGCACCGCTATTCTTTCTGATTGCATCATTTAGGCATGCAATCAAGAGCACACTAGCAGCAAAGCACATGTGAAGTGGTGAGCAGGGCCCAATCTGGAGTCAGGCGCTGTTGCAGGTCTGCCTTTGCTGCTGCCGGTGAGCCACCTGGCAGGCTCGCGAGCAGTACCACGCCTGGCGGCACGCGCTGCACCGCCGCATCCCGAGGGCACGCTGCCCACAGCCGTCGCACAGTTCATGCCGCGCTGCCAGCTCGGCACTGCTGGATGATTGCTCGCTCCCGACGTCCACCACGTTCAGGCTGAGGTGTGCAGGCACCGCCGGTGTGTCTCTGTGGCTGCCTGGGCCACGTGTGCCGGCACCTGCTGGACCCACTGGCTGCTGCAGAGAGGCCTGCAGGCTGATCAGGAGGGTGCGGCAGGCCTGCACAAGATCTTCCAGTCTCCGCACCCAAACATGGGGCAGCAGGCGCTGGCAGCGGCGGAAGGCGGCCTCTGCCTCAGGAGCCGCCTCCGCTGCCTCCTCCAGCAGGCGGCGGACGGTGGGGTTGCGCAGAAGCGCCACATCTCGACCCAACTCCACGGCACTTCACACTGCGCAGGCCGCTCCAAAAACGGTGAACAGGTTGTCGCGGGCATGCGGCTGGCGTGCCAGCCGAAAGGCTTCCAGGTAATGCGTCAGCATGCGCAGCTTTGCAGCCCCGCCAATGCTGCCGGCAGCCGCCACGGTGTGGCTGTGGGGGCTGCTGGGCTCAAGCTCGAGTATCAGGCGCATGCTGCGCGCCGCAGCGTGAGCCACCTCCTCTCGCTCAGCCTCTGGCAGCTGCGGGCGCCTCGCCCTCTTTCCCCAGTCCATCACGCGGAGGGCGAGTAGGCAGCGCAGCTGCTCCAGGGTGAGCAGGGGTGCCTGCTGCTCTCCCCGGCAAGGGCCGCCTGACGACCGCCGCAGCTGCTGCAGCGCTTGGCGCAGGTTGGCGCCGAGGGTGGGATCTGCCAGCCCGTCTGCGATCGCCATAGCCTTGCGCATTCTACCCATGGTCTTAATGCCGGCCAAAGCGAAGGTGAGCGGGAGGTGGAGGGCTGCAAACAAGGACTCCTGTGCTGAGCGCGGGCGGCTGCGGCGCGGCACCAGCGCCTCTGCAGCGTTCACACACTCTTGATAGGCCGCCACGTGGCGCACAGTGAGGACCATTGTAGGCGACTCCATGAAGCAGAGCCAATCTGAGCGGGCGACCTTGGCCATGGCTAGCAGCAGGCGGTAGCGCACAGCTGGGCTGGCCGCCGCAGCCGCCGACAGCGCCGGGCGCCCGTGGCTGTCGAGCGGCAGCGCCTGCCGTGCCTCAGACAGGAGCTCCTCGCTCTCCAAGAAGATTGCCACGTCCTGGCTGCGCTGCTCAGGAGGGATTGCAGCCGCTCTGGCTAACCTCCGCGCCAAAAACTCGGCTCCGGGCTCTTCCTCCAGGCCGGACATGACCCTGCAGAGTTGGGCTGCAAGGGGCGTGGCACCTGGGAGTCGGCAGTGCAGCATTCGGGTCCTCGTGGGAGTTCTGGCCTGCAAGCTCACCGTCACCTAGCCTCGTTCTGTCCCTGAGACACCCCTGAGTAGGTGCTTTGGTGCTTCCAGGTGAGTTGGGACTGCTGCTTAGTCAGTCAGTCATTATTACTTTCCAATGTCCTGTTTTCGCCCGCTCCTTTGGATTGCGGTTTACAAAGCCCGTGGCTCACCCCAACAGCAGGCAGCACCCCTCAGGCTGCGGCCGCCTGCTTGCGCTTCTTGCGCTTGCGCTCCGCCGCCACGGCCGCCGCGGCGCCGCCGCCTCGCCCGCGCTGCTCCTCCTCCGCCACGCGCAGCGCGGCGGCACGCTTGGCGGAATACACCTGCACAAGGGAAGTGGCAGCAGAGCAGGGTCCCGTGCCTCAAATCACATCACGCTTCTCCCCTGCTTCTCCCCTGCAGCCACATGAAGGCCCCAGGCTTGCAGACATGCCTGCCCCGCCCCGCCCGCCCCACCTTGGTGATGCCCTTGAGCGCCTCCGCCTCCTCCAGCTCGAACTTGCCCAGCTGCTGCCCCACCAACACCTCGATCTGCTGCACCAGGTCGATGTCGTACTGCGTCACAAATGACAGGGACCAGCCGCGGCGCCCCGCGCGCGCCGTGCGGCCCACCCTGCGGGAGCGAGGCGGGCGCGGGGGTTGTGTGGGGGCGAGGTGGCAGGGTCAGAAGGAACAGGCTGGGGACAGGGGGCGGGGGAGCTGCGCGCAGCGGGCCGTGCCACCAACCGCCGCATCCCACCCACCCATGCCCGCCACCGCCACCGACTAGAGCAACCACAACAAGCACACACACGCACAAACAAACAAAAAACACTCACACCCACACACCACCACCCCTGCCACACACACACACACACACACACACACACAAAGCACGCCCACCTGTGCACATAGTCGCGCGCCATCTGCGGCAGGTCGTAGTTGACCACCAGGTCCACGCTGGGTATGTCCAGGCCGCGCGACGCCACGTCGGTGGCCAGCAGGATCGGCACGGAGCCGCTCTTGAAGCGGTGCAGCGCCTCCAGGCGCGCGCGCTGCGGCTTGTGGCTGTGCAGCGCCGCCGCTGCGATGCCCAGCTCCTCCAGCAGCAGCGACAGCAGGTGGCAGCCCTGCGCGGGGCGCGAGGCGGGGGGCCAGGGCCTCGGGCCTGGGTGTGTGCTCGGGCCTGGGTGCGTTGTGCAGGGATGCGCCGAGCGAGCAGGCACGGCAGGCAGGGCCTCCACCTCCAATCCAACTTCATCCATCCATCCACCCCCACACACTGGCACATTCCCACCCACCCAAGCGAGGCACGCGTACGCGCAGCCCCCCACCTACCCACCCCCCGCCCACCTTGCACGTCCCCGCAAAGATGATGGCCGAGCGGCACTGCAGCTCCTCCAGCTGCCCCAGCAGGTGCACCAGGTACACCTCTTTGACCTTGGCAGGCAGGAAGAGGTACTCCTGGCGCAGCTTCGCCGCCGTCTGCAGGCCCTCGTACGCCTGCAAGCGGGGGCGGGTTGAAGCGGGGCTGGGTGTGGGTAGGTGGGAAAAGATGGTGGCAGGACTTGTGAGGGTGGTGAGCGGCGGCAGATGCGGCGTGCGCACGGCAGCGTGCAACAGCCCAGCCGCATGCCCCCACCACCGCCGCCATAGCTACACACACAGCAGCCAGCCCGGCGGGGCGGGCCCCACCTGGAAGTGGTAGGCGTCCCGCAGCAGCTGCTTCTGCAGCTCCACCAGCGTCTGTGTCATGGTGGCCGAGAAGAGTAGCGTCTGGCGCCGCTCGGGCAGCGCGCCCAGCACCACCGCCAGCTCAGACTCAAAGCTGGGCTCCAGCAGCCGGTCCGCCTCGTCCAGCACCAGGAACCGCGCCCTGCCAAACACCCTCGCCAGCTCGCCGTCCAGCTGCAGCAGGCCGCGCAGGCGGCCGGGCGTGGCGATGACGACGTGCGGCCGCCGCGCGAGCTCCTTTGCTTGTGCCGTCATGTCCAGCCCGCCCACCACCACGCAATCCTTCAGAGACATGCCGGTACCCAGCGCCCGGAACTGGTCGGCCAGCTGGAAGGCAAGCTCCCTACGGGAGGCAGCAAAGGAGGCGGGGCACGGGGCACGGGAGGCGGGCGGGCATGGGAGCGGCGTCGGCGGGCGGCGGCAACGGAATGGTACAGAGACGGCTGGCAGGCTGCTGCCTGGGTGGCATGGTGGCCTCGATGGCGCCTCTGCTAGCTGCTACTGGCCGGCTATCGTTGCCCAGCAGGCAAGCAAAACACATCCGGCGGTGGCGTCAAGCGGCGCCGAAGGCCCATGCAGGGGCTGCCCTGCTGGCTGTGCACCCACCTGGTGGGGGTGAGGACCAGGGCAAAGACGCCAAAGGGGTTCTTGGCCAGCTTTTGCAGTATGGGCAGCGCAAAGGCAGCCGTCTTGCCGCTGCCGGTGTGCGCGACGCCAATGACGTTGCGGCCCGCCAGCACGGCGGGGATGGTGCCGCGCTGCACCTGCGTGGGCTCCCGCATGCCCAGGCTGGAGCACACATTGTCCAGCCACTCGGACAGGCCCAGCTGCCGGAAGGTCAGCTCCCCAGCCTGCTCCAGGTCCCCCGCCGCCACATTGTCGGCTGGCTCCAGCGGCGCCTCTGATGCTGCCAGATGCTGTTCCGCTGCATCAGCAGCCGGCACGGAGGCTGCGGGCGCCTTCCGCCGCTTCTTGGCCGCTGGCTTGCTACTGAATAGCGCAATGCCGTCTGTATCCTTCATCCCGCCAGCATGCAATATGCCTTACAGCGCAATGAACATGAAATGGGACAGAAACCAACGCCGACCGCTGCACACTGGCATGGGCCGCCGCCAGCCGGCGCCCTGCTGCCGCCACGCGCCCTGCTGCCGCCACTCGGCAAAGCTCCGCACTTAATACAGGCTCGAGACAGCGCCAACAACTTTGGATTGCAGCTGCTTTGCCTTCTCTATCAGGCAGCACGCGCATCAAAATGGGTTGCCGCTGGCCTGCTGCCCTGCCTGCCGCCGCATGGTGCGCGGTCGGTGCGCGGTCGGTGCGCGGCCGCCCGCATAGCAGTCCGGCTCTTGATCCGTTCCTTCCGCCACCGCCTGCCGCCGCTAAGCCGCGAGTGTGCTCCTTTAGCGGTCAGGAGCGCAGGGCCCCTGCCAGTGCTGCCGCTATCCAACCGCACACAAACGGCGCCGAGTCCTCGGGGTCCTAGCGGCGGGCCGAGCCGCATTTGGGGCCCCAGCTCCGGCAATGGCCGTGCGCCACCCTTTGGCCTTTCGCACCTGCACCTGTGGCGAGGAGTGGAACAGTATGATTGAAACTAGAGAGGCACCCAGGCCTTCCTGTCTGCCTTGCCCACCGCGCCAAGCCAAAGGAAGGGGTGGCAGACAGGGCTCACCTGCACTTTCAGGAGCAGCCCTTCATCCTGTGCAGATGTTTATTGGAGAGCCCGGTTGGCGTTCCCAGGACAGAGCAGAGCAACGTTTAGAAAAGGAGTAGATCATTGCCGGAGCTGCCTGGGGCAGATCACCCAGGCGCATACCTTGGGCAGGTCACCACCCCTGCTGGGCGTGCCATTGGAATCAGCCCAGTGCGACGGTACCTTGCCGTCGGCCGACCGGTGCTGTTACAAACAAGAAGCTGAGAAGGCACAAGCTGGACAAGAGGAAGCAACAAAGCAAAGCAGGAGAGCGGGAGCGCGCACACACGAATCGCAGCAAACAAAACATGGGCTAGCTGGCGGGGGGGCCAGGGGCCCGGCTTCATCCATTCAGGTCCCGCAGCACTTGCGACCAGCGCGTGAGCGACACCACGCGCTCCTCCTCCGGCTGCCCCTGCCGCGCCAGGTCCAACAGCAGCAGCAGGCGCTTCAGCGGCACCTCCAGGTCGGGAAGCTCGGCCACTGCAATGTCCAGCTGCAGAGGCAGGGAAGGCAGGGGTAGGGTGGTCGCTAGCTGCAGGCTGGATGTACAAAACGGCAGCAGGGCTGGTGGTGCCAGCTTAAGCAGACAGATCAGAACCGAGCCGATGCAATGAAGGGCGCCGCGCCGCCACTCACGTCTGTGCCGCTGAACGCGCCCAGCTGCTGCAGCACGCTCTTCTGCTCCGGCTGCGACAGCCGCGGCACGTGCAGGGCCACGTTGAATGCTGCCGCCAGCTCCATCTCCTGCGACGGGGTGTGTGTGGGCATAGGTAATGAAACGAAACCTTCCGGCAGCAAACGGAAGCGAAACAGGATCAGATCCCATGCAAGCAACTGATGCGGGCAGGGCAGGGCCGGCGAGCTCGCATCCTCAACCGCACAGAGCCACCAAACCCACCCCCCAGCCCACCTGCATCACCATGCCCAGGCTGGTGGTGCCCACCACAAACAGCTTGCGCTGCTGCGGCGGCTGCTTCTTCAGCAGCACCAGCAGCGTCTGCAGCACGGTGTTGGAGAAGCGGGGGCCAATGGCCACATACTCCAGCAGCCGCTCAATGTCGTCCAGCACGATGACGCTCAGCGGGGACTGTGGAGGAGCGTGGCGGCAGGGGGCGTTCGAAAGGGGTGAGGTGGCAGGGAGGGGCGCGGGATGGGTGGAGGAGGGATCGACAGCCGCGAGGCAGCAGGCAGGCAGCCACAGGAAGTGGCGGCAAGGGCCCCTTGCTATCCACAGGTGCACAAAGTGCCTCCCCCCGCCCCCACCCCCCACACACACCTTGTAGGCATCGTCAAACACCTTGGCGATCTGGCTGCACTTGGCCTGCTCGCTGTACCCCACCATGGCCTCCGCGCTGACCACCTTGACAAAGGGGAAGCCAGACTCGATGGCCAGGCTGGCAGCCAGCGCCGTCTTGCCGGTGCCGGCAGGTCCCTCCAGCAGGCACGTCACAAGCGGGGTGTTCTCGCTGGATCTGGCCTGCTTGCAGCCAAGGGGTAGGGCGGGAGGGGAAGGCGCGGGTGAGCTGAGCCCCAGCTGGACTTGGGAGCCAGTACTGAGGCGCAACCCAGGTTGGGTCCGGGCAGACAGCCTCAGGACAGGCAGCCTCCTATGCCGAGCGGGCGCCCGCTTGCCTGCTGAACCAGGGTACGGCAGCTGGACAGCAGGTGCTGGTAGCGAGCGCCGTAGTCGATCATGCCGTGCAGGCGGTACGTCTCCAGGCTCTCAATCACCGCCCCAAACGCCGGCTTCACCTCATCCAGCGCCTCGAGGAAGTCTGCCATGGTGACCTGCAGGCAGGCAGGCAGGCCGGGGGAGGGCCGGGCAGGCAGGCACACCAAAGGTGGACAATGAGCCTTGCAGGCCACTGGTAAATTCCCTGCTTCGCTCCCTGACACATGCCGCCCTGCTTCCCTGGCTCCAGACCAGGCTGACCCCAACCCCTTGACACCTCCCCCGCACTGCCACGCCATCCATTGGGGCCGCCCACCTTGATGGCCTCCTCATCTATGGGCTTGCTCAGGTCGGTCACATCCACCTGCCTGTTCAGGGCAAAGGAGGTGGCGCTCTTGACCAGGCCCTCTATCTCCGCGCCGCTGAAGTTCTTGGTGCGCGCCGCCAGCTCAGCCAGGTCCACGTCACGCCCCAGGAACGAGTTGCTGCTCATCTTGCTGGTGTGGATCTGCAGGGTGCAGGGGCCAGGGAGAGCAGCGCACAGGCAAGGCATGACATGAAGAAGAGGCAGCAGGCCCAGGTTGGGCGGCACGCTACACACAGGGCAGGTGGGGAGCCCAGCAGGCACCCCGGCTGGCACAGGCTGCGGCCGCAGGCCATCGCACAGGCAGCAAGCCAGCGGGCACCTCTTATCGCGCTGTGCCGCACCTGCAGGATCTGCACGCGCCCACGCTCATCTGGCAGCCCAATCTCCACCTGCACCTCCAGCCGACCTGGCCGCAGCAGCGCCTCATCCAGCATGTCTCGCCTGCACAGGGGACGTTGGCAAGGGCAGCACGAGTCTCTCAGTTCTGAACGACAAGCATTGCAAGAGGGTTGCAGCAGGGCAGACAGACACAGCAGCAAAGGACCACGGTATTGCATGCAGGGGTACCATGCACGCCCAGAACCGCAGCCCCAACACCCGCCCCACCTGTTGGTCATGCCGATGAGCAGGATGTTGTTGAGCGCATCCACGCCGTCTATCTTGGTCAGCAGCTGGTTGACAATGGTGTCGTGCACGCCGGAGCCGTCCCGCACAGAGCCGCGCGACTGCGGGAGAACGCGGCCGGCACGGGGCATCGATGCATGATCGCACCCCACACTTGAAGCACAGAAGAGGTCGTCCATTCTGGCACATGCAAAAGCGGCAGGGGCTGGGGAGTGGCGCATCAAGCGTGCCGCCTCACACCTTGCAGATGGCATCGATCTCATCAAAGATGATGACGTGCAGGTCTGCATGGAAAAAGAAAGTGAAGGAAGGCCGGCAGGCCTAAGGAGGCGCGCAGCGGGCACAGTTGGGTCAGGACCCTGCACAGCCGGCTGGCTGGCCGACCAATGCGATTCAGAAAAGTACACAGCCTGACTGCCTTGCCTGCTGCCGTTACAGCGCAGCCCACCTGACGACTCCCCCAGCTTCTGGTAGTCTGCCTCCGCCTCCTTGAACAGGTTGCGGATGTTCTCCTCGCTGGCCCCCACATATTTGTTCAGCACCTCGGGCCCGTTCACAATCTTGGGCTCGTTGCCGTTGAGCATCTTGCCGATCTGGCGCGCAATCAGCGTCTTGCCGGTGCCTGCGCGGCAGCGACGCAACAGCCGCTGAGTGCTGTGAAACTGCCTGCCGACACACGGATTCCCAGTTTGCAGTGTGCAGCATGCTCCTCTGGCAATGCGTGCTGCGTCCCCCAGGCACTTCCCAGGCCATATGGCCGCTGCAAGGCAGGCAGGCAGCCATCCGCTCCGTCCTGCAGCCACGCCCCATTCCCTTCCACACCTGGCGGGCCGTACAGCAGCACACCGCGCACGTGGCGGATGCCCAGCCGCTCCACCACAGAGGGCGGGAAGACGCGGGAGGCAAAGGCGCGGCGGAAGATCTGCTCGAACTGGTCGTCCAGGCCGCCGATGCCCAGCATCTCAAAGTTGAACTCCTTGTGCTTGAACAGCTGGGTGGCCATCACGCTGCGCTGCCCCGTCACCTTCACCCCGCTGCCGTGCCGCGTCTCAAAGATGTACGCGCTGTCGGGCACCAGCTGGCCGCGGTGCACGCTCAGCTGCTCCGCCGTGGGGTCGGCCACCATGATGCCGCTCACTTTCAGCAAGAAGTTGGTGCCCTGCTCACAAGCGCACGGCACACGGTACGGATTGCGGTGGCGCATGACGGCGGCGAAACACAACAGCAAAACGCCGCCCTGGCGCGCCGGCATCCTCACACTCCCATGCTACCACCCGCTTGTGGGCCTGGCCCTTCACCCGCAACACCGGCGCCCGGAGCGCCCGCACCTGGTACTCAAAACTCAGCTCCTGGTGGGCGGTCAGCACCTGGCCCGCAAAGCGGGACTGCAGGTGGCTGGACAGCTGGTGCGCATCAAGCTCCAGGTCCGGGCCACGCACCGCCCGCTTGGTCACAAAGTCCACCTCCGCATTCAGCAGCGCAATCTGGAATTTGTCAGAGGGCAGCAGGAACTGCAGCGCCGCCACCTTGTCGCCCGACGACACGCGGATGTTCTGCAGCCGTGGAAGGCAGGCGGCAACGGCAGCAGGATGAGCCTCTCAGCAGATCCCCCAACGCAGCCCAGGAACAGCTGCAGAGGTGCCAGCTGCCGGGCCTGGCACGTGACGGCAAGGGGGGACTCGCAGCTGTGCTGCCGATCGTCGCTGGCATGCATCCTCCTCACCCGCCGCTGGATGGCATTCAGGCCAATGTACCCCGGCGTGATCAGCTCATCTGCTTGGACAGTGTACACACTGCAGGCAAGGCAGCAAGAGGCAGGCCGCCCAAGGCGATCAAATTTGGTGGCCGCTGCACCGATTTTTGTGCTGCTGCACCGGCGAGAGTGGGCCTCCGTTGCGGCAGCTGCAAACTCACAAGTCGCCCAGTTGCACAAATGGTATTGCTGCCACGGGGTCATCCGGCGACACAAACACCCGGTTGGTCTTGGCCAGAACCTGCGAGGCAGTGGCGGGCGGCAGGGTGGCGGCAGCGGCGGCGGCAGCAGTGCTGTGGGTGGCAGGGGCAGTGCAGCGCCTGGCCGCGGGCACCATTCCACCCGTGAGGCTGCTGCCGCACGCTGGAGCACCCCGCAGAGATCCCGCAAGCCGCCTGGGCGCCCAGCGGACAGCCACGCGCCTCCTGCGCACCTGAGACGGGGAGTTGGCAACTGTGAGTTGGTACTCCATGCTTGATGGCCCGCCCCTGCTGGGCCGCTGCTCGTCAGGAGGGCGAAATGGCGCTGGATCACCCGCTGCTCGTTGACTGGGAGTTTCTGTGTCCGAGCCACTGGGACCAGGTTTGGACTGACGAGTAAAGGTCAATCCAGCCGCAGAGTCGCCCGTTTCTTCGCCCAGGCACTGGTGGAAAGGCGGCCATGCAGAAACGGCATGGTGCGCAGCCCTGGGCGCCTTGGTGAGGGTTCGGCTGCCCTGAATCGCCTCATTCCGCCGGGCAAGCCAGGCTGGAGCCTCTGGTTCTGCGGCTGACAAACTGGGATGAGGCAGGGCATGCTGAGGTCCCTGCAACGGCTGGGAGCCGCCAGGGTGAGACTGCAGACTGGGGCGATGCGCAGGGTTGTGCTCAGGCCGCTGCCAGGCGAAAGGCCTTAGGTTTTGTCAGCGGTGCCCCCCCTGCTGCAGGCCGCTGCGTCCTGGGGCTTCCTGGCGCCACTAGAGCTACTGGGCGGCTCAGGTGCGAGTGGGAATTGCAATGGAGCCGGGTATGTCCCGCAGGGCGAGCGCCCTGCTCACGAGCCGCCGCCTCGCCGCCACCTCGCCGCCGCCCGCAGGTGCCGCCACCGCCCGGGCGCCAGCCTGCGTGCGCCAGGCGCACTGGGGGGCAGCAGCAGCGGGTGCAGCCAGCAGCAGGCTTGATGCCTCGCTGCTGCTCGGCAGCCGCGGCATCAGCAGCTCTGTGGCAGCACTGGCAGATGTGACTGTGGAGGTGCCCTCTATGGGGGAGAGCATCACCGAGGGCACGGTGGCAGTCATTCTCAAGCAGCCAGGTGGGCAGCAGCTACGCAGGGGGAGGTGCAGGGCCTGCTGGTGGGAGCGGCAAAGAGCTGGGTCGCTGGGCCCGCCTCTGGGCCGCGCATGCCCTGCTCCACACATCACGTGTGCCCTGCCCCCAGCTGACCCATAGGCTGCTTGCCCACCTTGTGTTGCTGCCCCCGCAGGCGAGGTGGTGGTGGAGGACGACGTGATTGCGCAGCTGGAGACAGACAAGGTGCCAGCACGTTTGCACCCCCATGCATGCATGCATGCATGCACTGCGCAACCGGAATGCATGATGCAGGGCAGGCAGGCCACCTGCGCTCCCTTTCCCGCCTGCCCCTCCTTCTGCCCTGCCCCCTCCTGGGCTGCACCCGCTCCCCTCCTCCCATCCCGCTCCCGCACCTGATCCTGCACCTGTGCCTGCCCCTCCTGCCAGGTCACCATGGATATCAAGTACCCGCACAAGACCCCCGGCATACTCAAGGCCATCCAGGTGGCCGAGGGAGACACGGTGACCGTGGGGCAGGCGTTTGCGGTGGTGGAGGAGAACCCCGAGGCCGCGGCGGCGCCCAAACCTGCCGAGGAGGCAGCAGCAGCGGCGCCCGCGGCGAAGCAGGAAGCGGCGCCCGCGGCGCCGCCTCCGCCCAAGCCCGCGCCGCCGCCCAAGCCGGCGGCGGCGCCCAAGCCGGCGGCCGAGGCGGCGCCCGCGGGGCCGCCCGCGCCGGGGCAGCGGCCGGAGCGGCGGGTGGCCATGACGCGCCTGCGCCGCCGCATCAGCGAGCGGCTCAAGGGCGCGCAGAACACGTACGCCATGCTTTCCACCTTCAACGAGGTGGACATGACCAATGTGATGGAGATGCGGCGCGAGCTCAAGGTGTGTGTGTGCGCGCGCGTGTGTGTGCGCGCGTGGTTATGTGTGTGTGTGTGTGTGTGTGCTTGTGTGTGCGTGTGTGTGTGTTTGTGCCGCTGGGCTCCGGGGTTTTCTTCATCGCCAAGGCGACCATGGCTGCTGGGCGGGTGGCTGCGCTGCCGGCCGCACCAAACTTTCGCCGGCGCTGCGGCCGTGCTGCCACCCCCTTGCGCCTGGTGACAGCCTGCCCCCCTGCCTGCTCCCCACCCCTGCCCGTGGCCTGCCCGGCGCAGGACGCGTTCCTAGAGAGGCACGGCGTCAAGCTGGGCTTCATGTCGGCCTTTGTCAAGGCGGCGGGCGCGGCCCTGCAGTACGTGCCGGCGGTCAACGGCGTGATTGACGGCAGCGACATCATCTACAGGTGTGGCGGCGGCGTGGCGTGGCGTGGCAGCGGTGTGGCTGCGTCGGTGTGGTGGCGGCGGCGTGGCGGCGGCGGTCTGGTGGGGTGGCGGCGGTGGGGTGGCAGATCTACGGTTGGGCGGGCGGTGGCGTGGCGGCGGCGGCCTTCGTATCTCTCTTCGGTGGCGGCGGCGCCTGCCTCTTGTCTGGTTCTCCTCCCCTCTCGCCACCCCCTCCCTTTCCGCTTGCTTGTCAGCGCACCGCACCCGCACCACCCCTTTGGCTCCTTCCCCACCACCCTCCTCCTCCCTCCCTCCCTCCTGTCCTCCCTGCAGGGAATACTACGACATCAGCGTGGCCGTGTCCACCCCCAAGGGCCTGGTGGTGCCCGTGCTGCGCGACGTTGACCAGATGAGCTTTGCGGATGTGGAGAAGGTGGGGCGGGGGCAGGATGTCAAGGGTGCTGCGTGTGGTGGCCGGGCCAGCCCACAGCGCTGCGCGCGCCGTCCTCATTCTTCTCCAGCCTGTTGTTGCGGCCGGCATGGCGCGCCTCACCCTCGGCATCCTCTCATCTCCTCATTCCCTTTCTTCTTTCCTCCTTCCTTTCCTCCTGAGCAGAAGATCAACGAGTTTGGGCGCAAGGCGAGGGACGGCACGCTGTCCATCGACGAGATGGCGGGAGGCACCTTTACCATCAGGCGCGCTTCGGTGTTTTTTTATATCATTTCTTATCTGTATGGGGTGACCTCAAAACTGGCTGCAGCTCGCGGGGGCAGGGCGGGGCTGCGCGGCGCCGGGCTGGGCAGGGCGCTGCCGGCCAGCTGGCGGGCGGGGTCGCTGGCGCAGGAGCTGGGGCCAGCGGCCTTGGGTGGCTAGCAGGTGGCAGCAGCTGCTCCTGCCGCTGGAACGCGCCGGCCGCATCTCACGGCTGTTTTCCGCCTGCTGGCCTGCCCGTCCCTGCGCCCTGCAGCAACGGCGGCGTGTTTGGCAGCGTGCTGTCCACCCCCATCATCAACCCGCCGCAGTCTGCCATCCTGGGCATGCACGCCACCAACATGCGGCCCTGGGTGGTCAACGGACAGATCATGCCCAGGTGCGGCGGGCAGGCAGGCAGGCAGGCAGGCAGGCAGGCAGGCAGGCAGGCAGGCGTCGGGCGCCACGGCAGCAGCGGGCTCGGCCAGCAGCTGGCCCTTGCGCCCTTGCCACATGCGTCGCCCACCGTGCCGACGCAGCTGCCCCTCTCCCCTGCTTTTGTCGACCTCCGCCACACACCACGCCACATCGCACCACACCAGAAGCCCATCACTGACCCAACCCCTCCCTCCCTGTGGCTTCCCTCCCTCCCGGCAGGCCGATCATGAACCTGGCGCTGACGTACGACCACCGTCTGATCGACGGCCGCGAGGCGGTCACCTTCCTGAAGCGCATCAAGGAGATTGTGGAGGACCCACGGCGCCTGCTGCTGGACGTGTGATGCGGGGGCCCGGCGCGGCGCCCTGTTGGTGGCCCGGCGTGCGAGCGCGCAGCGGCACGCCCTCACGACCGCCCCAGTCTGCTTTACCCTGGCGGCGGGCCTTTGGCCGGCTCCCAAGGAATGCCCCTCCTGGGCTGGCTGCCCCCATCGCTGCCGCCGCCGCGTGCTGGGCCCGAGTCTGGACGCGCGGCGGCGGGAGTGCGTGGCAGTGTGGGTCTGCTGACCACTGACCTCGCCTCCACCTCGCCCCTGCCCCCAACATGCATTGATACAGCCTGCATGGCGGGGCGGGGCGCAGAGGCCACCACCGCCCATTGCTGTACATGGTTTTTGCTCACACAGAAATGACTGCCTGCATCAAGCGTGCCGCCCGGCCGCCGCGCCGCATGCTGCCGTCTGCTTCCGCCCTCCCCGGGGCCCTTTCTGCCCAGTTCTCGTACTCCATTTTCAGATCGTCATGCTCTCGTGCTGCTGTGTAACACTCTGCCAGCGCCCAGTGCTCGGACACTGCTGCTGAGTCTCCCACAGGCGGCGCTGCCAGCGGGGCAGCAGGCCAGCCCTCATCTGGGTGGCGCATTGGCTGAGCGGACCAGACAGCAAACTGGAAGCCTGCGGACGGACTGCGATCTTCCCTGCCGCATTTAGAGTGCCGCTGCTGGGAGCTGGGAGTCTGGGGTGCCAGTTTCTGTCTCGACATGCTGTCGGCCCAGTTTGCTGGCGCCGCGCCAGGAGCCGCGCAGTGCTCCGGCAGGGCATCTCGTGCCGTCGTGAGGGCGGCCAGGGCTCGCAAGGCGGTCAAGGCACCGGGCTCGGGCGGCCGGGCGCCGCCGCCGTCTTTGGCGGCGCCGCCATCGGCCACCGCACTAGAACTGGCGCCATCTGCGCCAGCCAAGGCCGAGGAGCAGGCGCCGCTGGGGCTGGAGCGAGAGCTGGCAGACAATGGTGCGCTGCGCTTCACGCTGCCGCTGGCTGCGGCGCTCCCAGCGAGGTGTCGCTGCCACGGTCCCGGCACGCTGCCGCCGCTGCCGCGGCCGGGGATCCACCGCCCCGCACCCATCCACGCCCGCCGCCGCAGGCTTCCGCTCCACGCGGCGCACCAAGCTTGTGGCCACCATCGGACCTGCCTGCGACAGCGCCGAGATGCTGGAGCAGCTGGCGGTGGGGGGCATGAACGTGGCGCGCCTCAACCTGGCGCACGGCGGCCACGACTACCACCGAGGCGTGGTGGAGCGCATCCGCAAGCTGAACAAGGACAAGGGATTCGCGGTGGCCATCATGGTGAGAGCGCGGACGCACCTGTGGGGCATGTGTCGCCCTGGCAGGAGACGAAAGGGTACGGTTACGGCGGCGGAACGGAAGCGGTGCCTGCCTGCCTGCTCCACCCCCCTGCCTGCCGGCGTGCAGATGGACACGGAGGGCAGCGAGGTGCACATCATGGACCTGCCCAGCCCCATCAAGGCGGAGAAGGGTGCCGAGTTCACCTTCACCGTGCGCGACGCCGCCACCTGCGCCGCCAACTGCTTTGCGGTCAGGTGGGCCCCCGCTGGCGGGCCGGCTGGCTGGCTGGCACAGGCTGGATGCCTGCCGTGCTGCTGCAGCGGCAACCCGGGAGCCATCGCTGACACTCTGGCAGCAGGGCCGCGCTGCCTCTCTGCCGCCTTTGTCCATCCACCTGGGCCCCCCCATCTCCCTCCAGCGGCTGGCGTTCCTGTGTCCACCGCCCTCAGTGTCCCTGCTTCACCACCCTCCAGCGGCGGGCTCTCCCGTGCCCACCGCCCTCGGCGCCCCTTCCCCACCTCTGCCCCTGCGTGCATGCAGCTACGATGCGTTTGCCGAGGACACGCAGCCCGGGGACATGCTGATTGTGGATGGCGGCATGGTGTCGCTGGAGGTGGTGGGCAAGGCGGGCCCAGACGTCATTGCACGCGTGGTGGACCCCGGTGGGTGCCTCCCTGCCACTGCCTGGGCATGGCATGGCCGGTCCTTCACCTTCTGCTGCCCGTGCATGCCACGCCCAGCCGGATCAGCGGATCGCTCTCCAGACAGCTGCAGGCTGGGCTGGCGCGCGGCACCTGCCCAGGACCCGTGCGCCTGCTGCCTGCCCCCCGCCCACGCTGTGCAGGCCTCATCCTGAGCCGCGCCAACCTCGTGTTCCGCCGCATGGGCAAGACTGTGCGGGCCAGGAACGCCCACCTGCCCGTCATCTCAGCCAAGGTGCCGCCTGCCGCCTGCCGCTGCGCTGCGCTGCGCTGCACTGCGCTGCGCTGGCCTGGCAGCTCTAGCGCTGGTTGACGCCGCGGCCGGAGACCGTTGGCCTCACCCCGCTGCCTGCCCTCCACCCATCTGTGCTGCCCCTCCGCGCCGTTGCGCCCCGGCCCTCCCTCCCTCCCGCCTCCCTGCCCTCCCTCTCTTCCTCGCTCCCCTCCCTCGGTCTCCCTCCCTCGCTTCTCCCAACCGCCTCCCTGCCCTCCGCCTCCTCGTCCTCCCCCGCAGGACTGGCGCGACATCGACATGGCCATCGAGCAGGGCGTGGACTTCATCGCCCTCTCCTTTGTCAAGAGCGCCGACTCCATCCGCAACCTCAAGTCGTATGTGGAGAGCCGCGCCTCGCGCCAGATCTCCGTGGTCGCCAAGGCGCGCCGCTGCCCTGCATGGCCATGACCACGCTCCCCTGGCCATGCTTTCCTTTGCACTACACCGGCCCACGCTAGGACTGGGCCCCTGGGAACCGCATGGGCCGGTGTAGTGTGGCGTTGGTAGTTGGGGGGAGGGGAGCGGGTACGGCGCTGCCGGCGTGGTTTGCCTCCCGTGCACCTGCCCCTGCCCCTGTTCTCGGGCATGCGTGGCCCGTGCCGAGCCGGCCTGCCCGTGCTGACCCGGCCTGCCCTGCGCAGATTGAGTCGTGTGATGCTGTGCCCAACATCGCCGAGATAATAGAGGTGAGCTGGCAGGAGCTGAGCTGGCAGGCAGCGGAGCTGGCGCGAGCTGGCGACTGCGTCGTGCCGCAGCCAGGCACAGGCAGGCGCAGCTGGCCGGGCCTGCTGCAAGCCTGCCGCCGCTGCGGCCTCACTGGGCGCAGGTGGCGGATGGCGTGATGGTGGCTCGCGGCGATCTGGGCGCGCAGGTGCCCTTTGAGCAGGTGCCCTCCATTCAGGTAGGCCCCACGGCGATGGCTGAAGGTGCAGGCACGTCGCCTGCTTGGATCACGGCGCCTTTCATACAGCCGTGGCGCCGCAGCACCAGCGCAGCACACCAGCCAGCCGCCTGCCCCGGCCTGCGGCCTCACGCTGCTGCCTGGCCCCACCCAGCTGCCTCACGCTGCGCCTGCCTTGTTCCTGCCCCGGTGCCCGCAGAAGGAGATTGTGATGCGGTGCCGCCAGCAGGGCAAGCCCGTCATCGTCGCCAGCCACCTGCTGGAGTCGATGCACACGGTGCCCACGCCCACTCGGGCAGAGGTGCGCCCCACCTGGCTGCCGGCTCCCCATCCACTCTGTTGGCATCGTTGGTGTGCTTTGCCATCTGCCTGTTTACAGCATTGCTGACCACTCGCTGGGCGCGCCCGCACGGAGGTGCCCGAGCCCAAGCCGCCTAACCTGCGCTGCCCGGGTGCCCCGCCGCCGGCCTGCTGCTGCCGCAGGTCAGCGACGTGGCGGACTGCGTGCGGCAGCGGGTGGATGCGCTGGTGCTGTGCGGGGAGACGGCGGCGGGGGCTTACCCCCTGAAGAGCCTGGAGGTGCTGCGGGGTGTGGCCACCCGAATCGAGGAGTGGGTGCGGTGAGTTGGCAGCGCCAGCGCGCGCCAGCATGGCAGCACGGCACCACGTGCCAGCTGGCAGCGCAGGGGCCAGGCATGTATCAGGCGCCTGTATCAGGCGCAGTGCAGCAGCGTGCGCGGTGCAGCTGCCGCCCCGCTCCACCGCCGCGCGCGCCCTGCCCCTCCCCGCCCGTGGCCCCGCAGCGAGGAGAGGCACGGGCGGCTGACGCTGCCCCAGATCTCCACCACCGCAGACGGCCTGGTGTCGGAGGAGCTGTGCGCTGCTGCGGCCATGACGGCGGACGCGCTGCAGGCCCGCGCCGTGCTGTGCTTCACGCGCCGCGGCTACATGGCCGGCTTCCTCAGCCGCTGCCGCCCCGACGCGCCCATCTTCGCCTTCACCGACAAGCAGGAGACGCGGCAGATGCTCAACCTGCTGTGGGGCGTGTCGCCGTTCCGAATGGAGTTTGACGGCGCCGACGGCGAGCAGCGCATCCACCGCGCATTCAAGGTGGGCCCCCGCACCCGGCGTGCTGGCGTGGCGCTGGCGGGGGCTGGGGGCCCCGCCATGTCACAGCGTGTCCGTGGAGCGCGCCTTGCTTTGCTTGCCACACAGCCTGGGCCGGGCCCGCCCCCCGCCCTGGTGCCAAGCCTCTTCGGAACGTGGTGCTAAGCGTGCTCTGCTGTCCTCCGCGCGCGGCCTGATGCAGCTGCTCAAGACTCGCGGCCTGGCCAGCCCTGGCGAGCTGGTGGTGGTGGTGAGCGACGTGAGGCAAGACGTGGGCGGCGTGGAGGACACGATCCGGTCTGTGCAGGTGCGCAGGGTCCTCTAGCCGGGCGCAAAGCGCTGCGGCCCGGCACCGTGTGCCGCTCGCCATTTTCTCCACCCATTTTCTCAGAGTGCCATCACTGTGCATGATTGATCTGTTGATCCATTGTTTGTTTTGCCATTCCTGCGATTTGTAAGTTCCCTCAACAACACCCGGCAATGTCCCTGTTCGGTGGCGCCGGCGCTCGCCGCAGCCGTCGCCCGCCCGCGCCGGCTTGCTGCCCGCCTGCATCCCGCCACGGCAACCACGCCGGCAGCAGCTTGCGCGCCAGTGAGAGAGGTAACCGGTGAGAGAGGTAACCGGTGAGAGAGGTAACCGGCTCCCGAGGGGCATGGGCGACCAGCCGGCAGACCCTGCTCGCCACTGAAAGCAGGCTTCTTTGAGTGTGCTGGACCTGGGACTGCAGCCATGATGAACTGCATCGCTCGGCGGCATGATGCAACCATCGCGCCTCTTCCATCGGGCGCGAGGCAGAGCGGTCAGGCTTCTGCCGGCTCGATCCCAGCCTTTCCGCCATCACTTTCGCCCTTCCGTTCCACAGATCGTCCCTCAACACCTCCAGACCAGCGGGCGTTTCAAGCTCTACGGCTCCCCACGCCTGCAACGCGGCCGCAACTTCCCAGGCGAGCAGCCGCAGCCGTGAGCCTGAGGCCGCCCTTCCACCAGAGCGATCGCAGCCCCTGAGGCCGTGGTTGGGGTGGGACGCGCCCTGTTTCCCACCCTCAGTGTTCGAGGCTACCCGCAGGGCTCCAGAGAAGGCTGTCGAAGGGTTCAATACAATCGTGAGAGCTCCAGCAGCAGGTGAGCTTGGGCGCTGGCGTGGGGGCGATGGCGCGCCCTCTCACGAGGGTCTGTGCCTCTGCTCCCCCCGGGCTTGCCCGCGCTTCAGTGGCCGACATGTGGCCTGGAATCGCGCATGGGACGCCAGCGGGCGTGCCGGGGGCCCGCCTGCTGCCCAGCAGGCTCGCCACCCGCTAGTGGCGCCCTGCTCTTGCGCCACTGCGCTCCCTGGCCCCCTGTCTTCTCCCGCCCTGCATCGTCCTGTTGCTGGTGCCGATCGCACACGGCTGCAGCCTTCGCCTCCCCCACACACACACCCGCAGCTGCTCAACAAACAAGTCCCGCTTCACCTCATTCACGCCTGCAGGCGCCTGGCAGGCACCCGTGCAGCCCAGCACCCCAGCCAGGCCATCACGCTGTGCAGCCAGTCAAGATTGGGCCGCCATGGCTGCCGCAGAGCCTGCGGGCGCCGCGACGGCGCCCGACACGGGGCAGGCAAGCGGGTGCTGCTGGAGGCGCTGGGGGCAGTGCAGGCATTGCGATCGCGATCTGCTGACCCCTGATGGCACACCAGGGGCCCGGGAGCGACGCGGGGCCCGCCTGTCGCCATCGCGCGATGCGCGCCGATTCAAACGCGCCCGCGCCCGCCCGCTCAGTTGCCCCCGCCAAACCTTGCCCGCAGGCCCCCGTTATTAGCACATTTGTGACAGCCGGCAGCGTGGAGGGCCTGCCGCCCATGGTTGAGCCAGGCATGCAGCCCAGCCTGCCGCCGGCCACCACCGCAGACCCGCAGCCGTTTGCCAACTACAAGGCCGCGGCCGCGGCGGCAGGCATCAAGGTCTGCGAGAACTGCGGCACCACCACCACGCCGCTGTGGCGCAAGGACAAGCAGACGGGCATGATGATGTGTAACGTGAGGCGCAGGAGCCGGGAGGGAGGGCAGGGTGTCGTTCCGGTTTGGTGGGTGCTGCGCTCCTTCCTGTGCATATCACCCTAGGGCACCTGGCAGAGCCATAGTAAGGTTGTTGCCGCCCTACCGGCTGCAACCTGCAGGCCTGCGGCATCTTTTTCAAGCACCACCAGACGCACAGGTGTGGGGCTGGCGCTGCGGTTGGCTGCCGCGTGGTGCGTGCAGCTGCGTTAGGCAGGCTGGGTGCCAGGGCGCCGCCGCTGATGCTGATGCTGGCTGCGCTGCTGCGGCGGTCTGCCCCCTGCAGGCCGGTTGAGCTCATGCTGCAGCCGCCACGCACCCACCACCCCACCGTGGCATCCCGGCCAGCCGCCATGAGCGCCGTGGCGGCAGAGGACAGCGACGTGGAGGAGGGCATGGGTGGCGGCTGGGAGGCGGGCCGCGCGCGGCGCCGGCCGCTGCCGCCTGCAGAGAGCGACTACAGCGAGCAGTCGGAGGATGATCCGGAGGAGCGCCGGCGCTCGCTGCGGCCGCGCCGGGCGCGGCAGCATGGCGAGGAGTACCTTCTCGAGCTGCGTGGTGTGGCGGGCGGAGGCGCCAGCGCCCTGGCAGCGGCCGCCGCGGGCGAGGAGGAGCCCGCCGAGGCGGGCGCCTATGACAGCGACGGCGGTGAGCGGTGCAGGGGGACGCTCTGGCAGCGCCGCTGCGGCGGCTGCCCGGGCTGCCGCTGCGCCGTTTGGGCCGCTGCGCTGTTTCGGGCTGTGCAGGCTGCTGCGCGGGAACTGGCGCGCCCTCCTGACCTCGCCCTCCTTCCCCGCTTCTGCCCCCGCCAGGCTCCGAGCTGAGCAGCGTGCAGCTTGTGGAGGAGGCGGCAGCGGAGCGCCAGCGTGTGGACCTCATCAACCGACTGGTCAAGGAGGCCTTCCCGGCAGACTATGATGGTGAGCCCCACAAACAATTCTACCTTTCCAGATCGTGAACCCCGTGCTGGTCCTGGTCCTGTGGAACCACAGCGCCACGATGGGCCCTGCCAGAGCGCTGCACGCGTCCCTTGCCAGGGCCTGCGCTGGGCTGTTGTAGGCGCTTTGCGCTCCGAATCCCCTCCACAGCCCTGCGGTCGACCCTGCTCAGCATCGAGCTTGGCAGGGATTCTAGCAGGCAGCGGCAGGCAGGCAGGCCTGGTAGGCACGCGGGTGGTAGCTGGCAGCTGGCGTGGCTGCTGAGCGGCACCTGCTCTCTCCCTGCTCTCCCTGGCGCGCCGCTGCAGGCGCGATTGAGGGCCTCAAGTCGCTGAAGCAGGCGCGCATCACAGACCCCACCACCGGCCAGTCGTTTGGCCTGGTGCGGCTGTATGCAGACCCCGGGGAGCCGGCGGCGGCGGCGGAGCCGCAGTCCAAGCCCGTGCGTGCCGCGGCGGCGGCCGTGCCCAAGGCAGCCAAGCATGCGGCGCAGCGCGTGGTGGGGGCAGCAGCAGGAGCCAAGGCTGTGCAGGTGATGGCTGCCTGCAGCTCGGCCTGCTAGAGCAGGCATCATGTATGGAAGCCGACATCATGCGGCTTTGCTGAAAAGGAGGCAGCCAGCCAGCCTGCTTGTTGCTCCCCCCGCCACGTTCTGCACCCCGATCTCTCCGCCCTCCTCCCCTCCTCCCACCGTTCAGACCTGCTACAACTGCGGCACCACCAGCACGCCGCTGTGGCGCAAGGAGCGCGAGACGGGGCGCATGTACTGCAACGCATGCGGCATCTTCAAGAAGACGCACGGCATCGAGCGTCCGCTGGGTGCGGCGGTGCTGCCGCGCCCTGCCCGCCTGGGCCCTGCCTGCCTGCCTGGCCCTGCCTGCCCGCCTGCCTGCCTGCCTGCCTGCCTGCCTGCCTGCCCGCCTGCTTCGAGAATTGCCTCCTGCGTGCCGCGAGATTTGCCTGCCTGCCGCAATGGGCGACGTTCTTGGCTTGGGCTGTGGCGACGGCGGCTGCTCGTCTCACTGCGACCCCGGCCTGCCTGTAGTGCCTGCAGGCACCTCCCGCTTCAAGCAGTACGCGGGGCCCGGCCCGCAGCAGCGCTCCCGCGGCGGCAAGCGCAGCCGCGGTGGCAAGGGCGGCGGCGGCCGGCGCACCTCCACTGGCAAGGCCGGCAGCCCCGGCCTGCACGCCAGGCGAGCAGTGGAGTAGGCCCTCTGCTGGGCTGACTCCACATTCCCCAGCCTTCCAGAAGCGCTGCCGCCCCTGGGACCTGCTGCTGACGGGGTGCTGCCCTGCCGCTGCTGCTGCTGTGCAGTGACAGCGAGCCTGAGCCTGAGGAGATGAGTGCCAGCGACAGCGAGGAGGCGGATGAGGCAGAGGATCAGCACCAGTCACGGCGGCGCCGCACGACGGCCTCCGGGGCACCCGCGGCAGCAACAGCAGAGCCCGCGGCGGCGGCGGCGGAGGAGGAGGAGGGCGGCGAGCGGCGCACGACTTCGGGCCGTGCCGTGCGGCCGCCGCGCAGCCGCCTGGGCGAGGCCGCCGCCGTCACCTCCCCAGACCTCGCGGCCGTCGAGGCTGCTGAGCTGGCAGAGTATGAGGTGATGGAAGCCATCCAGCGGCAGCAGCAGCTGCCGGTGCTGCCCGGCAACCTGTCGCTGTTCAAGGCGGCGCCCACGCCGGCGCCCGTCGTGGGCCTGGCCGCCGCTGCGCTGCCCCCGCTCCCGCTGCCGGCCCCAGCCGCGCAGCAGGGCGCCACGCTCAGCACCTCCTCCGATGCCTCCGCCTACAGCCAGCCGCAGCAGGCGGGCGCCACGGCCGCCACGGCGCAGCTGCCGCTGGGCTCGTCGGCCGCTGCGCTGCCAGCGTATGGCCTGCCTCTGGATGGCGTGCTGAGCCGCCTCGATGCAGGCAAGTGGCTTTTGGCAGGTTGCTGTTGCTGGTGGCGATCGGGTGCACGGCCTGCCCAGCTGCTACGTGTGGCGTCCAGCTGCCAGGACACCTGGCAGCTATTGGTGCTGTTGGCCCCGCCGCTCAACCCTGGCTCCTCTGCTCCTATGTGCAGGCCTGGCCCACCTGCCACCCAGACTGCACGTGCCCAGTGCGTCGGCACCTGCCTGGCCGGGGCCAGCAATGGAGCAGCAGCAGTGGGGCGCCCCGCTGCCCGCTGCGTTTGCCGCGCCGCCACCGCTGCCAGGGGTGCCCCTGCAGTGACGGCTGCGCCGGGCCGGCCCTTGTATACTGTTTATTGGCAAGCCGCCCTGGGCCTGGCCCCAGCCGCCCTGAGCCGGGTACGCGCCCCGGCGCCTACCGCCGTGGCTGAGAGTTGCCACAGTTGTACACTAACCATGCATGCTCCCCCCCCCGCTCAAGTTTTGGCCAATGCAACGGCACAACGCACCCACACATAGCTACCCCTCCCCCATCCCAGCATTGGGGGAGCTGACTTGAACACCCACCACCTGTTCCTCTCTGTGGTCTTAGCTGCCCTGTACTGAGCCCAGCTGTACACCGCCCGTGATCCCGCAGCCCTCCCTTGTGGCCCCGCCGCCGCCCCCGCCACCCTCTTGTCCCTCTGTTCCCTTTGGCTCGGCGCGCCGCATTCCAGCGCTATTTTTGCCTCTTTGTTTTTCCCTCCCTCATGTACCCAGCCAGCCCGCAGCGCCCTAGACTGTTCACTAGCTGCCGCCCAGCTCACGCCCGGCTCTTGTACCCCCGGGCCCGCCTCCCCTCTCTGTCGAGCATTCGCCACCCTCTGCCCATTTATCTCCATCTTCCTTCCTCAGCCGATGCCCAAACACCCTGGCATCCCTAACTCGCCCTGCTCCCCAGCGCCGCTTCAACAGCGCGCCCTGTACCCACCCTGCCCCTGTTTCACTACCCGCCATTTCGTTCGCGTGTGTGTCTTACCTATGGTTTCTGCCTGCGTGTGTGCGCAACACTGCTGCACAACACTGCTGAGAATGAAGCATTCATTCATCCCAAAACCAACATCTCCCGCCCCCGACGCCGCGTCTTCGGCCGTGACGGACAGTCAGTCCGTCGCCATTGTCCAGTGTTTTGTCGCACCGGGGGTCAGACCTGTAAAACAATGAGCGAATCGAATCGGAGAGATCGGCAGGGGTGCTCCTTGAAAGATGAGGGCCAGGCGACAGGCGGGTGGGGCGGGTGGCGCCACATCACACTCCCCATCGCAAACCGATGAGGTGGGTGGCTTTCCCGTTGCGCTTTCTGGTCAGTTTTACGCGCCTAGGGCCGGAAGTCAAGCTCATAGGCTCCCCCTGGGCCCCGAGCGGCTCTGTCTGGACGCAAGCCTGCGGCTCCATGTATTAACCAAGGGCTTTATGCGTTGACCAGCAGTCGCAGGGAACGGCATGGCTGCTGCCGAGGCCGAGGCCAATCGCCTCAGTGTTGCCGTAGATGACTTAGGCAGCGGCCTGTGGAGTGGGCGTGTGAAGCAGGTGGGGATGCCGTGCACACTGCGGCCCCCAGGGCAACTGAACTGCCGGTGATCGGAGGCCCTGTGGCTCTTCCCGCCACCGCCGCTCACCCGCCACCCCCTCGCTTGCAGGAGCTCGAGGCGCGCACGCCGCTGCGCAATGTGCTGTTCAGCCCCAGCCCCAGCCGGCCGGCGGTGTCGGTGGAGGAGCTGCCCGTCAGGTGCAGGCCACGCCTGCCGGGGCGCCGTGCTGCCCTGCTTTGCTGCCGTCCCTCCCTCTCTCCCCTCGCCACTGCTTCGGCCCGCCCGCGCTGCTGCCTGCCGGGCCCCTTTCCCACCTGCACCCACCCACCCACCGCGGCCTCGCAGGTATCTGGACGCGCGCAGCGACCCTCAGCTGGCACGCCTGCGCCAGCTGGCGCACTCCCCCGCCGCCTGGTTCCGCTCCCCCTTTGTGCTGGTGGTGCTGGTGTCGTGCGGCGACTACGAAGACTACAAGCGCGACCTGCGGCTGCGCCTCAAGGCCATGGCAGACACAGAGGTGGTGGCGGCGGGCCAGCCGGAGCTGCTGTTTGTGTACGTGCGGCCCGCGGCGGCCGACGCCGCCGCCAAGGGCCCCGCCCGCGTCTTTGACGCGATGCGCAAGGATCTCAACAAAGCGCGGCGGGAGCGGTGCGTGCGGCTGGACCCGCTCACGCTGCCCCCCACCCAGCCCACCGCCCCAGGTGCGCGCCGCGGCCGCCGCCGCCGCCACGCCGCCGCCGCCATGCCGCAGGCGTGCTGCTGGAGCCAGTCGGGCCTCCTCGCGCTTCCCGGCTGCTGTGCCCCCTCGCTTGCCCCCACCCCTCCACCTCTCCCTCCCTACCCTCCATTCGCCCCCACCGCCCCCCTCCCCCCTCCTCTTCTCACCACTTCTCACCGCTGCAGCCATCGCCGGCCTGGAGGAGTTTGACCGCGCTGCGCGCGACGCGCTGCGCGCCGCCTTTGAGTCCCGCGCCGCCGCGTACGGCGAGGAGGTGCGGCGCCTGACGCTCAACCGCCTGGACCCCGCCTGGTCCTTCCCCACTTTCTTCCTGGTCAAAGACGGGCTGGCGGCGATGCTGGAGGCCGCAGGGCTGGCAGAGGATGCGCTCAGGGAGTATGCTGAGCTGGAGGCGTGCTACCTCGAGGTGGCGCAGGTGCGGCGGGGGTTTTCGGCGGTACGGGTGGTACATGGGGGTGGCGCAGGGAGCAGTACCGCTGGTTGCGGTACGGGTGGCACTTCTCGGGGCGGTGCACGCAGCGCTGCTGTGTGCGTGTGTGGGTGTGTGCCGGGCGGGTAGGCCGCATGTGCATCGCATTGCTAATCTGTCGGCTTCAGGGCTGTGCTGCCGTTCCCATGGTGTGACTGTGCGCTAGGCCGCGCTCTCCCCCCTGCCGCTGCTCCTGACTCTGCTGCAGGCGGCCGGCCAGCAGCAGCCGTTTGGCGGCAAGCCTGCGGGGCAGGACGAGGCGTCGCTGCTGTGGTCGCCCTGGGCCGCCACCCGCCACGCCGCCAGCCAGCCTGAGCTGCCGCCGCAGTTCTTGATGCGCCAGGCGCTGTTTGCCAGCCAGGCCCGCCTGCTGCTCAAGCTGCACCGCCACGCCGAGGTGCGGGCGGCTGCCTTTGGGCGGCGCTGCCGGGCTGGCCTGCTGTGGTGCTATCCACTGGCCTTTGCGCTGGGGCTCTTGCTCTGGGTTGGCCTTGGCTCGCTGTCAGCTGCTGCGCTGCAAACGCGCACACCACGGTGCTTGCGATTCTCGCTGCCCGGCAAGCCGCAGCGCTGCCAGACGCCGTCGCCAGCGTGCCGCAGCTGCCCCCGCCCCTGCCGCCGCCTGCAGGTGGCCGATCGGGGGCTCAAGTTTGTGCGCGCCTTTGGCGCCCTGCTGGCCCGCCAGCAGCGCGCCGGCGGCGTGCCGCCGCTGCTGCGCGAGGCTTGGAGCTTCGCCTGCTACCTGTCTCTGGCGGAGGCCACGTCGAGGCTGCAGGCGGCACGCGCAGAGGAGAGGCGCAAATCAGACCACCCCGGCCGGCCCGGCGGCAGGTGCGCAAGCTGCGCAGCACCTGCAGCTTCTCGGCGCCTGCTCGGCAGCCAGCAGCCCGCCAGCAGCCAGCAGCACCAGGTGCCTGTCCCCCGTTGTGCCGAATGCTGCCGGCTGCACTTGCGCCGGGTTGGCGTGCTGGGAGCCCCGCCCTGGCTGAGCCGTGGCTGCCGCCGCCTTTGCGGCCCTGTGCCGCTGCAGGAGGGGCAGGCAGAGCGAGGCGACGGCGGGCACGCCGCACGCGGGGGACACCCCCCGTGGCGGGCCAGCCTGGGAGTGGGATTCGGCGTCGCAGCGCCCCGTCCCCAGCCCCAGCCCCTCTGCAGCCAGCCCCCTGGCTGGAACCAGCCACTCTCGCCTGCAGGTCAGGGTGGGGCCACACAGCGTGGGGGGCGGGTCAGAGGTGGAAAGTGTGGCCAGCCCCGAGTGGCAGCGCGGCGGCGGCGGCGGCGGCGACCACGCCACGCACACGCACGTCGACTGGCAGCTGGGGGCCCTGCCCGGCAGGCCTGCCGCGGCCGCGGCAGCCGTGGGGGCGGAGGGCGCGGCGGAGGGGCTCGGCGGCGGCGGCGGCGGCGCGGCGCCGGGCAGCGCCAACCTGTACTGCCTGCTTGCCAAGCTGTACTGCGCCGCCCGCGCCGAGCTGCTGCGCCTCGGGGCGGCCGCGGGCCTGGAGGTGCCGGACTGCGCAGCAGCGCAGGTTCTGGGCTTAGAGTCGCCTCACCACGCTGCAGCGCCCGCCCCGCTGGCAGCGACGCCTGCAGCAGAGGCAGACGCGCCGCGCGCCGCGTCCCCGCCCGCCCCGCCCCTAGCCAGCCCCGCCGTCGAAGCGGCTCCCGAGCCGGCAGCAGGCCTGAGGAGCAGCCCCAGGAATGCAGACTTGTCTCACGTGGACCTCAACGGCAGCAGCAGCAGCAGCGCCAGCGAGCAGCAGGAGGCGCCGGCGGGCGGTGACCGGGCGAGGGGGGAGGGGCTGGGCACGGGGCCCGTCACCCTGCTCAGCGCGCCAGACATGCAGCTGGACTCGCAAGCCGAGGCAGAGCCGCAGCAGCAGTCGCCCGGCGCGGCGGCAGCCCCAGTGCGGCAGCTGTCTGTGCGGCCTAAGGGGCAGGGGCTGGGCGAGGGAGGTGAGCGGCCACCCGTTGCGCCTGCTTCCGCTAGCCTTTGCCAGCTGCCAGCCGTACCCGCTCAAGCCTGCCTCAGCTCACTTTGCAGCAGCCATTTAACGTGCTTGCGTCTTCCTGGCGGCGCTCATTGGCGGATGGGTGTGCCCTCCCTTGCATTGTGCCCTCCCTTGCCGCCGTCCGCAGACTCACCTTCCTCCAGCCCCCACAGCACCAGCACCAGCACCAGCACGCATCAATCCTCGCTGTCTCCGACCCGGGGAGAGAGCGGTCGCGCGGCGCCGCTGCCGGCTGCCGGGGGGGCGGCGGCGGCAGGGGCGCCGCCCTCCGCTCCCTCCTCCGCCCGATCGGAGCAGAACGACATGCAGACTGTCGAGCGGCAGGTACGAGGCGCGGCTGGGATGCGGAGCATGCCCGTGTGGGCTGCACACCTGTGTGAACACAGCTGTGAGAGCATGCCTGTGTGGGCTGTGTAAAGGCCTTGGACCCCACCGCTGGCTGCGCTGCGTGTGCCCACCCACCTCCCACCCTTGCCCCTCCAACGCCCTCACCACACAGCCACCAGATCAGCCACTAGATCAGCCGCCTGCCCGCTCCTGCCCGCCCGCTCGCTCCCTTGCAGGTGGTGTCTGCCCTTGCCAGCCGCTCCGGCGCGGGTCACGTGGTGGGCCCCGCGGCGCCGCCGGCGCCAGCCGGCGCCAGCGCCGCCGCCAGCCTGCCGCCGTGGCTGGTGCACTGGCGCCTGCGCGCCGCGCTTTCCTCCGAGCACCTCTTTACCGAGCTGTTTGTCGAGCTGAGCGAGGCCGCCGCAGCCTGTTACACCCAGTGCGGGCATGCGCGCAACGCGGCGCTGCTGCATGCTGACGTGGCGGATGCGCTGGCACGAGGTGGCAGCCTGGCGCGGGCGGCGGACCTCTATGAGGGCCAGTGCCGCGCTTTCCTCAGGTTGGTGGCAGTAGGCAGAGGAAGCACGAGGGGTAGCCGTCGGGGCAGCAGGGGGCCGGGAAGCTGGAACGGCGGGCCTATGAGACTGCACAGGCTGGCACGCAAGAGACTGTACTGCGCCGGGCTCCTACCTCTGACGTGGAGCACTGCTGATGACCAGGCTGCTCTGCTGCTGTCCTGCTGTGTCTGTGCAGGGAGGGCTGGCACGCTCTGGCAGCACACACCCTGCCCAAGCTGGCAGCCTGCCAGCTCGCCATCGGCAGCGCTGGCCTGGCGCACACCGCGGCGGCGCTGCTGTCGCTGCCCGCGCCCTTCCGCGGCATGCCCCCAGAGCGGCAGGCGGCTTGCCAGCTGCTGCTGCAGGCGGCGCGGTCTGCTGCCGGCCTGGCCGGCTGCCGGCCGCTGCTTCCCGGCAGCCCGCCGCCGCCAGGCGCGCTGCTCGACCCCGTCGTGTCCCTGACAGCCGCCATAGTTGCAACGCCGCCCCACGCCGCCGTCAGCCGCTTCTTCGGCCGCACGGGGCCGGGCGGCGCACCGCTGCTGGCGCCGCCGCCGGGCGGCCCGGGCGGCGGCGCGCTGGCGGCGGCAGTGGGGGATGCTCTGGCGGTGCAGGTGGTTGTTGACAACCAGCTGGCGCTGCCGCTTCCGCTGCGGGGCGTGGCTCTCACGCTGGCGGTGCTTCAGGAGATGACAGGTGCAGCCACGGGTGGTGCAGCATATGTGTGTGTGGTGTGTGTGTGTGGTATGTGTGTGTGTGTGTGGAGGGGAGGGGGGGGATGGGCAGCTTGCGCGATGCCTGTGCCGTGCTGCCCTGCCTCGCCATGGCCCCTCCTCCGCTCTGCTCCCTCCCCGATCTCCCCCGTTGCCACATAAACGCTGCCCTGCCCGGCGCCTCGGCCGCTGGTCTGTGCAGTGATCCACTCCCCGCGCGCCGCCCCTTCGCCCGTCCTGGTGCTGGGCTCGGCGGCGCGGCCGCCCCGGGGCGGCACCCCCGCCACCCCGCTGGGCGACAGCCTGCTGTCGCTCAACTTTGAGCGGCAGGAGAGCGGGGGGCAGGAGCGGTACGAGTCCAGGTGGCAGCAGGTGGAGGAGCTGTACTGCCCCCTGGTGGCCATCACCCCACCCAGCGCCGCGCCGGGCAGGCAGGATGGGCCGGGCGGTGGGCCGGGCCCGCGGCTGCAGCCGCTGCGCGGCGAGGCGGTACTGCCACCTGGCGCCAGCGTGCTCACCTTCCTGGCAGCTCCCGTCAAGCGCGGCCTGTACAAGGCGCTCCACCTGCGGGCCCGCCTGCACCAGCTGGCGCTGCAGGTTGCGGTGCAGCCGCCGGAGCCGCTGTGGCAGCAGCCTGGCACGGCGGCGGGCAGACGCGGCAGCAGCGCCGCCGCCAGCCGACGCGGAAGCCGGGCGGGCACGGCAGGGGGCACCCCGCTGGCGCCGGAGCCGCGGGATGCGCCTCACTGCGCAGAGGCTGTGGTCATGTATGTGGAGCAGGCTCAGGCTAGGATACATCTGGAGCTGCTGGCGGCCGGCGGTAGCCTGGTTGCGGGGCAGGAGCAGTGGGTGGGGCTGGCGGTGGCGCCGCGGCGGGACGCCCTGCACGCCGCCCTGCTGGAGCTGACGTGGCCGCTGGGGCACCCCGGCTCTGGCGGGCTAGGTGCGCACGCCTGGTGGAACCTCTGCTCTGCTGCGACTCCCTACATTTCCCTAGATCATGGTGTTTGCTCTGGTTGGCTGGCTTGTTGGTTGCCTGGTTGCCTTCATGGTTGACCTGTTGCGGCCGCCGCCTGCAGTCTGGACAGCACTGTTGCACCCTCGATGCACCTCCCCGTGATCGCCCCATCGCCGCCCCCCCTGCCGCAGGGCTGCCGCCGCTGTCTCGCAAGCCGACGGCTGCGGCGCCCCACCACCGTGCCGTGCACTCGCATGGCGGCGACATGCGCCTGGGCGGCGCCAGCTCAGCTGCCCTGCAGGCCTCCCTGGCCGCACAGCCCTTCCTGCGGCCGGAGCACTGCGCCGCCGCGCTGCTGCCCGCCGCCGGCGGCGCAGCGACCCAGCCGGGAGGAGAGGGGGGCAGCCGCACGGCGCCTGCCGCCCAGCTGCTGCCGGCAGAGGGCCCGTCAGGGCCTTCGGCCGCCTGGCTGTTAGCTGAGGGCCTGCGGCAGCACCTGGCGCTGCCGCTGGTCGAGGATGGGCGCCCCGTCACCCTCTGGTGGCGCGTCATGGCAGGTAGGGTAGTGGCGTGGCCTGCTGTTGTCCGTGCAGCTGCCTGGGGGTCGCCTGGCCTGGCATCGCGCTGGGCTGTTGTGCCAGGCGTCCCTTCATTCCATCCCTCCATCCTCACCCGGCTGTGCCTGCTGGCTGTCTGCTGCTGCTCCCGTTGCAGGCGAGGTGGCCGCGGCGCCAGAGCAGGTGCACATCGCGCCGCCGGCGCCGCGCCACTCCTCCCGCCAGCTGGAGCTTCGTCGGCTGGGCCTGCCTGCTGACCCAGGCCCGCTGCCTGCCGCCGTGCTGGATGTGCCCGCCAGCCTGGAATACGCCAGCGGCTGCCAGCGCAGCCACAGCCGTCTGCTGTGCGCGGCGGTGCGGCAGCCGTTTGCGGTGGCGTGCGCGGCCCGGGAGCTGCCTTCGGGGGGTGTGGCCCTGCAGTGCACGCTGAGCTCCAGCATGGCGGTACCGGCTCAGCTGTCCCGCCTGGCACTGGAGCCGCAGCCGGGCTTCGCCGTGGCTTCCTCCCTACTGGACAGCATGGGCCTGCTGCCTGCCACCCTGCCGCCCTTTGGCAGCCTCACCGCCAGCTTCCTGCTGGCTCCCGAGCCCGGCGTGGCCGCCGGAGCAGACTTCACCCCTCTGCCAGCCAAGCTGCAGCCCTCGGCACTGGTTGTTGACTACAGCATTGACAGCAGGCAGCAGTGCAGCCTGCCTGCGGCGGCCCTCAGCGGAGGAGGCGCCAGCGGCGGCGACGGCGGGCTGGGCGGGCGAGGGCGGGACCCCAGGCCCGGCGCCGGCGCCGGCGGCAGCCCTACGTCCGGCGCGGCGGAGGCTGGTGCCGCGGGCGGCGTCGCCGGCGCTGCGGGCACGGCGCAGACGCCTGCGCTGGCTGTGCTGGAGTTGCTTGACGCCAGCGGTAGGCAGCGACCCAGCAGCCCGCTAGGCTCCCCGGGCAAGCGCAGCACATCCGGCTCCCCCACCGCCACCGCGTCCGGCGCGGCGCTGGGGGTTGACGGCGAGGGGCCGGGGGGCTGCGCCACCCGCCAGCTGTGCTGCTTCAGGCACCTGCTGACGCTTGAGATGCCGGCCTCTGAGGACGACTCCAGCGGTGAGGGCTGCTGCCTGGCAGCCAGCTGGCGGGCGTGCAGCTGTGCAGGCCCTGCGTGTTGTGCGAAGAGATGCATCCAGGGCAGCACAACCCGCGGGGAGAAGCGTGCCCGCCGCCCTGCCCTCGCTGCCCCGCAGGCGCTCTGGTGTATGTGCGGCAGCTGGGCCCGTTCGTTGCTACCGTGGGGCAGCCCACCACGCTGTGCTGGCGCCTGGAGCGCAGCGGTACCGCCGACCAGCAGCAGCAGGCCACGCGCATGGGGTTTGAGGTGCTGGCAGAGGTGGGCGAGGCGGCTGGGGAGGCGGCTGGCCCGGCGGGGCGGCCTGCTGGCGCGTGCATCGCCGGGCCGGCTGGGCGGCGGCTGCCTTTGGCGTGTGCCGTGCGCTGCTCCGCACCCCTCAGTCCCGCACCTGGCCTCATCTGCTGCCCCCCAACCCCAAAACTCGCTGTCTCCCACAGAGCGACCACTGGCGCCCGCTGGGGCGCCGGTTTGGCGGCGTGACGCTGGGCGGGCACGACGGCGCGGTGGCCACGGTGGAAGCTACGTGGGTGCCGCTGGCGGCAGGCACGCTGCCGGTGCCCACGCTGCGCCTGCAGGACGTCGCCTTCCAGGTGGGGCCTCTGCCTGGCCTGCTGGGCTGGCTGTTGGCGCGGATGGGGCTGTGGTTCAGAGCAGCACAGCTTGAGCGACCAAGTGGAAACTTCCCCACCTCCCATCTCCCGCCCTGCCACCGCCGGCCGCCTGCAGGAGGTATTTGATGTGGGGCTGTCGCTGTCCGGTACCAACGCCATCACGGTGGTGGATGCGTACTGAGCGGGACCGCTGGCTGTACCGCCTAAACCAGCAACGCCAGCCCTGCTCGTGTGACACATGTGTGTGTGTTCTGACACTGCAAGGCTCCGACCCAGCCCAGCGTTGCCACACTGCACATGATGCAAGAGCTGCTGGTGCATTACATGTGTGCTGAGGCTGAGATGCGAGGCGGTGGTGGGTCACCACCGGCTGATGTCTCGGCCGAAGAGCAGGGTGAGGGCCCAGTCCCCTGCGTGCCGGTGGTGGACGCATGCGCTGGTTTCAGCCAAAGCCGCGGTCGAGGGCGCACGGCATGGATGTGGGGTTGCAGGGTGAGTCTCTGCACCCCGCTGCCGCAGTGCCGGCTGTGCCGGCAGCAGCCAGGCATGTGTGCAGCGCCAGGGAGACTGCCTGCTGCCACTCTTACCTGCCACATACATGCGGTGCTTCATGGTGCCCAGCCGCGTGAGGTAAGCACTGCACAGCTCACACACACACACACACACACATGGCCTGAGGTGTTTAACGAGTGACCCAGGGGCGCATGCTGACCTCCACACCAGCACACGCCGTCGTGGGCACCGACGTCGCACCACACACACACACACACACACACACAGGCACACGGCATGCCGCCCACCTGCGCCAGGCCACCCAGCTGCTGAACCCCGCCCAGCTCAGCTTGCGCTGCTTGGCCTCCCCCAGCTCGATCACCGCCGACGCGCCGCCTGCGCACAGCCACGCACGCACAGCACGCACAGCGCACGCCAGTCGGTCCCTGGAGGCTCATGCAGGCGTCACATGATGTGGCAAAGGACTGCACCCCTGCCAGCGCCGCCGCTCCCGCGTGCAGGAGTGCCCACGCCCACAGCGCCGTGGCGCCGCCTCACCGATACTGGCCATGCTGCCCAGGTGCTTGTACACAAACGGCGGCAGCTGCGGCGCCTCCAGCTTCCCCGCCTCCTCATTCAGGCACCGCGCAAGGTACTTGCCCTGCTGCTCGGCCACCTGAGGCGAGGCAGCAGGCGGCAGCGGCGGCGGCGGGCACACATTCCACTGTCGCACAGAAGCACGCGGGGCCACGATGCTGCGGCGCCCGGCGCCCTGTGCTCTCCACCTGATGCATGGTGCGGCATGCCCGGTGCCCTTACCTGTGCCAGGGCAGGCAGCGGGGTGTCTGGGTTGGCGCAACAGTCCCCCAGCGCATACACATTGCCCACGGGCTTCCAATCCTTGTGCAGGCTGGCGTCCTCCTCGTCCTGCCGCATGTGCACCTGCGGCCGCCGGCGGGAGCAGCAGCACAAGCGCTGGATCCAGGGCTCCAGGGCATGGATGCACGGGCAGCTTGCCACAGCCAGGAGGCAGCCCGTGGGACCAGCGAAGGCACCCAACCACCCTACACGGCAGCGCGACGGAGCCGGGCGGCGGCGCCCACCTCGCTGACTTGCTGCGGCCCCGGCCCCCTGTCTGCGTCTGCCTGCACGTGGCCGTCGGGCTGCAGCCTGGGCGCCATCAACACCCGAAGCTTGTCGTCGATCGCCAGCCGCCCGCGGGGCGTCTTGGCAAACGGCAGGCTGCACGGCAGGACGCCAGCGGAGCGGCAGGGTGAGGGTAGGGCACAGGGCCGGCCCGGCGCTCGCTGCCCGGCGCCATCCCCGGCTGTCCGCGTGTGCCGCCAGCTGCGGCAGCGCAGCCGGTGGCAGCAGCACGCGGCAGCGGGCAGCAAGCCGCACCTGACGGTGAATGGTGTGGGGCCCACGCCTGTGGACCACACGCACAGGCCAAAGGGGATCCTGCTGCCGTCCTGCAGCTCCAGCTCCCCCTCCGTCACCTCCTTCACCACCCCCTTCACCAGCTGCACCCCCTCCTTGACCAGCTTGCGCGCGGTGTACTCGCGCAGGCGGGCGTCAAAGGAGCCCAGCAGCTCGTTGGCTTCAATGAGCGTGATCTGCAATGGGGGAAGGCAGGCAGGCAGGCAGGCAGGCAGGCAGGCAGGCGCCGGCGGCAGCGTCAGCGCCACGCCGGGCGGGCAGATCGATGTGCCAGGCTACACGCCCCAGGCATCCATTTAGGGCAGCTGACGTGCTGGCCACTCGGCGCGTGGCGGATGCGGCGGCGGGCGCAGCACCCTGACCCTCATGTCCCGCGCCCGGCTGGGGTCTATCTTGCGCAGGTCTCGGTTGATGAAGTCTGCAGCGGGGCATGGCAGGGAGGCTCAGGCCGGTGCAAGGGAACAGCAGCTCACCTGTGGCTGGCAGGAACAGCTGGCTGACAACGTGCATGTGCTGCCTGCTGCAGCTGACAGCTCGCGGGATACAAGACCACACACGCCAACCTTAAAGCCCACCCCCCTCACCCGCCAGCTCTCCAGCAAACTCAACCCCCGTGGGCCCGCCGCCCACCACCACGACATGCAGCAAGCGGTCTCGATCCAGCGGGCTGCGGCCTGCGGGGGGGCAGGGCGGCGGCCGGGGCAGCGTAGCTGATGGATGGATGGCAGCCCTTGCGAGCGCGAGCAGCCAGGCTGCTGGCCAGCAGATAGCCGCAGCAGGCGCACCTGCTTGCCTTCCCTTGCACGTTGACAGAGCCCGGTTGCCACCCTCACACAAACACACACCACAGCCCCCAACTTGACGCACCGGGTATGTTGGCCTTGTTCCAATTGTCTACCAGTGTGCTGCGGATGGCGGTGGAGTGGGAGGCGTCCCTGCAGGCAGGCAGCAGCAGCAGCACGCTTCACAGCATGGCACGACGCAGCACAGCACAGCAGGGGGACGCCCGGGACAGCAGCGTCGGCTCTGGCAGCGTGCAGGGCCGGCTGCCGCGGCGTGCCGGGGCGGCGGTGGGCCACGTACCTCAGGAAATGGGTGTACTGCTCCACCCCCGGTATCCCAAACGTGCTGCCCTGGCTGCCCGTGCTGATGGCCAGCTTGTCGTACTCAACAAAGAACCGCAGCCCGTCCTCTGCGGGGCAGGCGGGCAGGCACAGGGATGGGTGACGCGCATGCAACTGCGTCATCCACCGTTCATCCACGCGTGGGCCTGGCGGGTATGCCCGCGCGTCTGGTTCGGTGCCAGCGTGCCGGCAAGGGGCAGCGCTTGTGCAGCGGGCAGCTTGCCTGAGCAGCACTCGACCAGTCGGTCCTCTGGGTGGATGCCCTTGCAGCTGGCGGCGTAGTAGAAGTTTCTGGGAGGATGGCAGGGCGGGCAGGGCAGCAGCGCATGTCAGCCACACAGTTCCCCAGTCACAGGTAGGGGCACACGCCAATGCTGGCACGACTGGTGGCTCCTCTCCGCTGCCGCTGATGGCGCGGCTGTGCCGCCGCTTCCCGGGGCGCTCACTGCGGCTGCTGCAGCTTGGGCTGGATGTCCACGATGGGCACGGTCACGGACCGGGACTCGATGGTGCCGACGCAGGTGGAGGCTGCAAGCGGCGGACGCGGCGTGCTGGCGTTCGTGCATTGCGGGGGGAGTTGGTCCGGCACGTACGTCGGGGCACGCCAGGCAGGGCAGCAGCACACCCTCACCCAGCAGGGGAGTGAACACCATGTGGTTTCGAGGGGAGATGATGGTGATGTCATACTTGGAGGTGTCGATGTCCCGTGCCACCCGCGCCCCGCCCCACCCCGTGCCCAGGATCACCAGCCGCTGCCTGCCACGACAGCAGCGCGAGTAGTGAATGCGGCTGTGTTAGGATGGGAGCGTGAGGGACTGTGTCGACAGCAAGCAGGCAGTCAGGCGGCAGCGGCGTGCCTGCCGGTCGTGAGCGGGATGGGCGCGCCCGCCAACTTGAGCTCCGGTGCCGTGCTGGTATGGAGGCGGCAGGCCGCTGTGCTGCCGCGCCCAGCCCACTGCTGCTGTGACCAGGCGCCGTCTACGAGTCCCTCGGCCTGCGCCTGCAGCCGCAAGCGGAGCAACAGCTGCCGACTTCGCTGCATCGCCGCCGCCTGGCCCTGGCTCGGTGTCTGGACAGGGATGTGAAGATCCGGATGCCTGATCGCCCTTGCACTCAGGGTTTCCTCGATTGGTGCCCAGGTTTTGCGATCGCCACGTGGTCCAGGTTGGCACGAAAACTTCTGTGGCGATAGCAACTGAGGCCCAATTGAACACCGCCATTGGCCTCTGACGCTCATGCACAATGGATAGCGATATCGTTCTGGGCCTCAACGAAGTGCCCTCCCTCAATCAAGTGCTGCGCGCACTCAAACGGGAGGAGGGCTCGCTGTACAACTGCGTGGCCAGCATAGCAGACGATGCGCTCTTCGTGCAGCAGGCAAGCCGCAATGGAGCAACAGCATTGGCTCTGCCGTCACCGCCGCCGCCGCTATCGCCGCCGCCGCCACGGGTTGCCTTTGCCTCAGCCCTGGCCTCCCCTGTCCCGCCCCCTCCCACCAGGTGGCGGCCCTGTACCCCTCGCTCCCTCTCTTCCCCAACCTGCGCTGCGGGGTGTGGTATGTGCGGCCGCCGATCGAGGACTCCTGTTACTTTAAGTCGACCGATGGGCACAACGGAAACTGGAGCTTCTCCGCCATCCGCCTCAACCTGAACCTGGCAGAGGCGGCGGCGGCAGCGGGCGGCTGCCTCGTCGTGGATGCCACCAAGCGCGGCAAGGTGCGCAGGGGCCGCGGGTGTCGCAGGGTTGCGTGTGCACGTCAGCGGCAGCTGGAGGCAGCTGCCCCTGGGCAACCACCCCTCTCACCTCCCTTGCTGCAGCGTTTCCCTGATGCCATGTCCAAGACCGTTCCCATGTGGGCAGCAGTGATGAACCGTGCGGTGCAGCAGCTGCGTCACGGCACCGCTGGGGCGGCGCCCGCAGCGCCGGGACAAAGCGCGGAGGCAGCCCAACCAGCAGCAGGTGGCAGTGGAGGAGAGGCGGCGCCAGCGGGGGCCCCAGCGGCCGTTCCGGCGGCAGACGAGCGGCCCTGGGACTGCGATGTGCATCTGCCAGCCTGGGTGTCGGCAAATGAGGCCAACAGCATCCGCCAGCTGCTGGAGGGATGGGTGGACCGGCTGCTGGAGGTGCGGCTAAGATTTCGTGTGTGTGTGTGTGTGTGTGTGTGTGTGTGTGTGGACAGCGGTGGTGGTTGGCGGGGATTCGGATGAAGGGGATACAGCCTGTTGAGAAGTGGCAGCTGCGGTTGGATGCGCGGCGGCAGCTGGCCTGACCGATGGCATGGCACTGAGTACACAGTAAGTCCTGCCCACCTGCCTAATTAGCCCAATTGGGCATGCCATGCCTCTCCCTCTCCCTCCACCCGAGCAGGTGGGCGCCGACCTTTCTGCCCTGGCAGCCACCCTGCGCAAGCCGCTGCGCTGCATGTGGGTCAGCCAGGTGAGCGGGAGATCGGTGCCTGCTGCCAGAGCTGGCCCAACCCTGTCTGTGCATGGCTCGACCTCCTGCTGCTGCCAGGCAGCCTTCTTGCCTGGCCATCGCTGCCGCGTGCTCTGGCACATGCACAGCGTGTGTGGTACTGCCTGCTGCCCGGTGTTGTACCGCCGCAGGACAGCCGCATCTGGCTGGACTCTGTGGCGGGTGCCGCCTCCCTTCCCTTCACCCCCATCATCCTCGTGGGCGCCTCCGCCACCACCGCCCGCCAGCGCCGCTGCCTCACCCTTCCGCCAGGCAAGCCCGCGTGCCTGCCCCTCTGCTCCCGTGCGCCGTTGTTGACATGAATCTACGGGGCCAAGGGCGCCAGCTGGCAGGGCCTCTACACTGCTGACCTGCATGTGTGCCTGGTGCTGGCGCCTGCAGGCCAGGAGGGCGAGGAGGCGCTGAGCGTGACCTACAGCTACTTCCCAGGGGCCGCGGATGATGAGGAGTCGTGGGCCTGTGGGCTGACGCCGCAGCTGATGTGGCGCCACCTGCGCGCCCTGCTGGCGGCCGGGCCAGCCGGCATCGAGGCGCTGGTGCGGCAGCTGGTGGAAGAGCAGCAGCAGCAGGCTCAACCCCAGCAGCAGCAGCAGCAGCACCAGGTCTCAGCGGCACTGCAAGCTGCCAGCTTGCCTGGCGGGGAGCAGCAAGTCGTCGGCCCGCCCGCGGGGTTGCTGCCGGCGCCAGGCAGCACCGCAGGCAGCGAAGCACCGCAGCAGCAGCAGGGCGCCGCCAGGCCGCTTCACGACCTGCTGCCGCAGGGCTGCCTGCCAGCACAGGCGGCGACTGTGCAGCGGCTGGGTGGCGGCATTTACCTGCTGGGCAGCACAGGCCTTGCCATCAGCGGCGCAGCAGCAGCAGCAGCCCCGGGTGTCTGGCAGTACGCCGACGCTGTGCTGCACCTGGGGACAGTACCGCTGGCAGGCATGCAGCACGAGCCGCAACCGGCAAGCCAGCAGCACCAGCAGCAGGACAAAGCGCCTGGCAGCAGGCACGACTGCAGCAGCCGCCTGAGCGACGGCCCCGCTGCCGCGCTCGCCTCCTGCCGCTACTGCTGGCTGCCAGTGCGCAGCAGCAAGCTCGAGCGGCACTCGCTGCTGCAGCAGCTGCCCGCCGTGCTGCGCTGCGCGCGGGCGCAGCTGCAGCAGGGCCGGCGGCTGCTGGTGTGCTGCGACAGCGGGCTGGACGTCTCGGTCTGCGTGGCGGTGGCGTGCCTGCTGGCCTTCTACCGGCTGCACGAGCAGCCCGGCGGCGGCAGCCGCCTGTCTCCAGCCTGGGTGGGGCCCGGCATTACACTGGCCGACGGCAGCAGCAGCCAGCAAGGCGCCGCCGCGCGGCCTGGCCTAGGCATGCCAGAGCCGCTGCCGCCGGTGGTGGGCTCCCTCGGCTTCAGCAAGCTGGCTGTGCGGCAGCACCTGGCTGCGGTGTCGGCCCACTACCCCGCCGCACGCCCCACCCGCGGCTCCCTGCGCCAGGTGTTCAACTTCTTCCTGGAACAGCTGGGCAGGGGCCAGGCGGCGGATGGCGAGGGAGAGGCGTGAACGGCTGAGCAGCGGGCGCTGCGTTCCTGTAAGAACAGTATGGTAACCGCCGCGCCAGCTGCCATCGGCTTTACAACGCCGTTTCGTCAGGCTGCAGAGATCCGTGGTCAAATCGCAGGGTTCGGTAGTGGCAGCGCGGGGTAGGCAAAGGGTCCAAAGGTTGTGGTGAGGCTTGCAGGGGCGGGGGCCGGCGGCGCATGCGGGCCCTGCACAATGTGCGGACCAGGCTGGCCATCGTGCAGGGGTGGGCAGGGCCCGGTGGGCAGCCAAGAGGCAGGTGAATCAATGCAGGGACGGGACTGGCTAGAGTACAGACACAACACAATACAGGGGAGAAGGAAGAAGGCACGGGAGGAAAGCGCAGTGCAAGGGGAGGGGCCAGAGGGAGGGCCTCCGAACGCCGACACCGTCTTTCCGCAGATATCTCCGCGCCGTGACAACAGGCAACCACCGGGCAGGCGGCAGGTGCAGCCTCCTCCACGCGCTGCATGCCAGCCGCTGCAGCCAAGGCAGCGGCGGTCGGCGGGGGCGTGGGGCCTCACGCGCTGGCGCCCGCCGCGGCGCCGCCGCTGCTGCCGCCGCCAGTCAGCTTGGCCACCAGCTGCTGCACAAACTGCTTCACCGCCTGGAACAGCGCCAGCAGGCGGGCCAGCAGCAGGGCCAGGAAGGTCTGCTGCTGCTGCTCGCTGGCGGCCCCCGCAGAGGCCGCCGCCTGCTCCTGCGCCTTCTCAACCGCCTCCGCCTGCACCGGGGCGGCGCGTCGCAAGCGGGCACGGGCGTAAATGCAACGCAAATCTCTGCCGCGCGGCGTCATGCACACACAAGAAACAATGCAGCACGGCATAGCGACGAAGCGGCAGCTGTGGACGGCGCGGCGCAGCACGGCCCTGCAGCGCGGCGTGCAGCACGCCTACAGCGCGGCGCATTTTCTTTGTTGCAGCACACGCACCAGGTTCTGCAGGATCTTGTCGCTCTTGGCCAGCAGCTCCGCCTCGGTGGCCTGCTTGGCCTTGTACCCCTCCCACAGCCCCTCAATCTTGGCCTGGTAGCTGGTCAGGGTCTCGGTCACCTGGGCGGGAGAGGAAGGGAGGGAGGCGGGGTCATGCGTCGATGTTGCTGGGCTTGTGCTTGCAGCCGGTACGACCCTGCCAGTCAGAAAAGCAGCTTGCGACGCAGGCGCGGCTGGCAACGTAGAGGCCAGTCCTAAGCAGGCAAGGGTCAGAATCGGCAGGGCCGCAGCAAGCCAGCGCTGCAATAGACGGAAACCCAGTCGGGCAGCTGGGGAAAGCGAGGCGGCGGCGTCCCCAACGCCCCTCCCACCACCACCCTCCCCGCACGTTGTTGGAAGCGGCGGCCACCGCAGGCTCCGCCTTCTTCGCGACCTCGGTCACCGCCTCGGCGGCCGCCGCCGCAGCCTCTGCCACTGCGGGCGGCGGGCGCGGCGGGGCGGGCGCCGCCTGCGTGGCCGCCAGCCTGGTAAAGGCGTCAGACACGGCCTTGTCGGCGGCGGTGGCCTCCGGGGCGTCGGGGCCCACGGGGGTGGCCGCCACGGGAGCGTCGGCGGTCATGGCGTCCAGGACGGCGGCGGCGGCACTGGGGCGGGAGCCCTGCACGCGCGTCGCCTCCACCTCAATGTCTTCGGGCCGCCCGCCCTCGTCGCTGCTGCGCCAGGCCTTGATCCAGTCCTGGACTTGCTGCGGGGGCGCAGCAGGGGGCAGCGGGGGGTACTGTGAGATGAGGAGCAGTACGGTGAGAGGCAAGCGGGTACGGTGAGGTGAGGAGATGGGTGGGCGGCGCATGCACGCACGCGCAAGAGCCGCCTGGGAGTGCCCTGGACACATGCGTCGTGCCCGGCGCGGCGGTCGGATGCACGAGCAGCAGAACATCGAGACAGCACTGGCAAGGCCAGCCAGTGGCAGCAGCAGCTTTGGGCAAGCGGAGCTGGCAGTCTGCAGCCGGCGCACCCGCGTCGCCTCCTGCACCGTCATCCCCGGCTTGACAGCGTCGCCGTTGGGGGCGGCGCGCGCGGGGGCGGCAGCCCGCGCAGGCGCCGCGCCCTCGGCCGTCTTCTTCACGGCAGCCACAGCGGCGGCGGCCGCCTGCTGCAGCTCGGCCTTGATGTCGCCCATCTCCATGGCGGCCGGAGCGGCGGCGGCGGCGGCGGCGGCCGGCGCGGCGGCCGCGGCAGCTGCCACCGTCGCCGCGGCAGCCTGGCCGCTGCTCACGATGTCCTTCACCAGCAGGTCGGCGGCCGGGGCGGCGGAGGCGGGCGCGGGCGCGGCAGCCGCGGGCGCGGCGGCGGCGGCGGCGGCCGGCTCGGCCGCTGCGCTGGTCTCGCGGTGCAGGGCCAGGGAGGAGCCCGAGGCCAGGGCTGTGACTGCACCCACACCGATGAGGGTGAGGCCAAACTGCTGGGTCTGGTAGGCGATCAGGGCGGCAGTGGCGGGGTCGACGGCGGTGGGCGGCGGCGCCAGCACGCGGCGGCGGGAAGGGCGGGCGGCGGCGGGGGTAGGCAGGCGGGCGGGCCTGCGGCGGCGAGGTTTGCACTTGTGAGGCATGTATCTGTGTAATTGGCGGGTGTCAGGCGCCAGCGATCGCTGGAACAGACCACGAGGGGCTGGATAGCTTTGCGCTCATGTGCGGGACCGCTGCCTCTGCTGCCCTCTGCGCACCTTGAAAGAGCACGCGGGGCGATGGCAGCCCCGAAGGCGCTGCCAAGCGCTGCAGAGGAGCTCATTGTGTTTCCCTGCCGATTTGAAAACGCTGCACCTGATGGCCGGCGCGCAGCCCACTTGCACGCGAGCGACTGAGTGTGGTGGATGGGAGGGCAGCGTGCGGGCGATGCGATGTTTCAGAGCCCTAGCGGCCATGCAGGCAGCGCACACCGTGCATAGCATGCCGCCATCACGCCCGCCGGCCGCATGCAAATGCTGCCCTGCATCCCCACACTGCTGCATGCTGTGATTTTTCAGTCCTTACAATCCAAACAGGAACTTGCACAAATCAATGCACAGTACAGGCAGGGTTGAAGCAATACACAACCTGGTGTGGTCTGATCTCGTCGCTGCCCAGCATCTCTCAACATTCCATCACACACTGCGCCATCACTACATGCTCACAAACAGTTCCCTGTCGCCCACTGGCTGCAGGACGCGGTTGTTAATGCGGGCGCCGGAGGGGATGCGGCATGTCAACTGCGAATGCGGGGCCCCCCCGTTGACAACGCAGGCGGCTGGCGCCTCTTCGACTGTGGTGCCAAGGATGGCCTGTAAGCCTTGCACCTGCAGCCAGCCATGCACGGAGAAGCCAAGCACGTGAGCTTCCCGTGCTGCAGTATTCAGCGTGTACAGTGGAACGGAGGCCAGCCGTGTCTGTGTGCCCCTCAACAGCTGAGGCGCCCACCTGGCTGGCGCTCAGCTCTGCCTTGGGGGTCACAAAGACGTGCCAGGCCACCGACTCGCTGCAGGGCGGGGTGGTCAGGGAACCTGCAGCACGCAGGGCAGGACACGGCTGGCTCGCACGGCTTGCTCTCAAACCCCCTTCTCCTTTCTTGAAACCAGCAGCTCTGCTCACCATTGTATGCCACATATGTGAGATCCTCGGGGAGCAGCGAAGAGAGATCCAGTGTCGCGCCAGGCAGATGCGTGGCAGCCTGCAGCATGGGTTTCGGATGGGACGCAGCTGTCAAATAGCTGTGGTGGATGAGGCTGGGAGCAAGGCACCGCTCCTGGCAGAATTCCTTGCCTCCATGCCTGCAGCGCTCACCGCTGCCCCCACGGTGTCGGGCACATTGGAGAGGATGGTGTCGAGATAGGGCGCGCCAGGAGCATACACATCAGGGTTGTACTGCAGCAGCTGGGGGGGCATCCATTGCGTTGGCACAAGGCGCAGGCTGAAAACCAGGCGTGAGTTTCAGCGCAGGCACGAGGCCGCCAAGCGGCAGGCCACCTTTGCCCCCACACCTTCAGCAGCACGCCAAAGACGGCCAGGCAGGGGGCGGCGTTGCAGGGCTCGGGCACCTCCGCGCCCGTGCTGTTGTCCACAGCAGTCACAATGTGCAGCTCCAGGGGGCAGGCGTCGCCTGCGGCCCGCGAGGATGCTTGCGGCGCTCAGGCAGACGGCAGCGCGACACGGCAGACACCTCCCCACCTGGCAAGCGCAGCACACCCCGCCATCCACGCACCGTCCATCACGTGTTCGCAGGCGCTGTGCCAGTGGATCTGGAAGGGCTTGAACGGGATCTGGAATAGCTTTGGGGGCGGGCCGGTGGGGGTGGAGTAGAGGGCAGCGGGGTCATAGATGGAAGCCCAGCCGGTTCCCAGGATGGGCACGCTTGCATTCGACCCATCCAGGTCGTCCCATTCCACCTGCGCAGGAGCAGTTTTGCATTGTTGATAGGGAGCAGCAGCTGTGATGACTGAAATGCACCCGGCAACCTGTGCCTGCGCAGCCTTGTGCCTCCTGCCCACCTGCACAGTGCGGCCGGTGTTGAAAATCCGTAGACCAAGGGCGACCCCAAAGTTCAGCGACGCGCGCGCCTCAGGCGGCAGCTCCGCGCTCAGGTCTGCGCACAGATCAGCAAACCAGCCTGTCAGGGCCACAAGCATCCCTACACGGTGCCAGGGGCATGCACTATCATGAGAGCGCAAGCACACAGCAGGCGCCAACTCACTGCCGGTCACAATGCCGATCGGCGACTGATGGCTGCCGTCAGCGCACACTCCAGGCCAGTCGCTGCCACCCTCGGCGTAAGTCCAAGCCGGCGGCGCAGCGGCGGCAGGGCTGCTGGGCTGCAACGGCAGCCAAAGGAAAGGGCCGGGGCAGCAGGGCGAACTTCAGCGCTGCCATAACCGCCGGCAGCGCGAGCAGCGCTGGTGAAGGGCAGTGGGCAGGCCAAACCCTACTGTGTGGCATCTGTCAGGCACCCAGTGCTGCTGAACGCACCTCGGCAAGCAGCCTGCCGTGGTGGAAGTGCTGGGTGCCGCAGGCGTCGGCCAGCGGTGGCAGCAGGGCAGCGACGGCAGCCGCCGCCAGGAGCAGGCAAGGAACTGAGGTTGGCATGGGGCGCCTGCAATCAGCAGACACCAGTGCGGCCAAGGGCTCAGCGCAGAAAGCCGAGCAGGCACAGGCCTAGCTCACAGTGTCTGCAACTTATCAAGCCACGATAACGCCCACAGACCAACCTGTTGGAGGGTGACATAAGAGAGAGAGAGAGTGCTGTGCACAAGGGCAGGTTTTAGGGTCCTCCTCATTGAGATAACATGTTGGAGGATTGGTGTGATCTGAGTTGGCAGGAAAGAACCAGCATGAGCAGCATGGGGAGTGGAAAAACTTCCCAACCATGAGATTGTTTAAGCCCTGTGAGAGCAGCAACAACCAGCTAAGAGCCAGCACAGCATCGTGCATGCCGGCGCAGACCGGTGCACACCGGCTACAGCCCTGCTTGCTGTCTGTTCCACGCTGAGATGCGAGCATCCTGCCTCCTCTCAGCATGATTGACCAAGCAAAGAGGCATGGCAGCGGCAGGGTGGCCTTCCCTGCGGTGCTCTAGCACGCCCCGGCGCCTCGACACCTCAGCGTCGCCGCCGACGCCAGGCACAAGGAAAATTCTGACCGAACGCATCCAACTTATGCCATACTGATTTGATCGCTTTGTACCATGTGTGGAAGGCGGTAGCTTCGCCTAGGGGGCTGCACTTGTGAGACCAGAGTGTTCCCCTGCCTGACTCTAGCCGGGGCTCCCGAGCGATGGACATACTGTTCCTGCGCGAGCCTGAGGCCAGCGGTGGTGCCGCCGAGGGCCTGGGCAGCGAGTCCAGACTGCTGCAGGAGCTGCAGGACACGCTGGGGCAGCTCAAGCAGGCCCTGCACGCCGCGCTGCTGGTGGGAACTGCGAAGGGATCCATGCAGCTGATGCCGGCGGGCTTGATGGCCCACTGCCGCCGCCACCGCCGCCACCTGCCGCTGCTGAACGCCTGCTCCTGCTCTTGCGTGCCCTGTTGCAGGGTTCGCGCAGCAACAGCAAGGAGGCAAGGCAGTGGCTGATCAACAGCATCGCGGGCCTGGGCATCCAGCACGCGGCCACCAAGCGGCGGCGCTTCACGCAGTTCCTGCCGGGCGGCGCCGCCTGCCGCGGCGCAGAGCACCAAGCGCTGGGCCTGGCTGCGCTGCAGTTGCTCTTTGAGGCGGCCCCCGCAGAGGTGGGTGCTCGCTTGGGCGCGACCTTGGACCCAGGGACGCTCCCCGTAACCTGGCCACGATCCGCTGGCTCTTCACCTGCCTGCCTTGCTGCTTGTGCCTGTGTCACCCGCCTACCCGGCCCACCAACCCCGCTGCAGGTGGGCGCGCTGGTGGCCCAGGACGCCTCCCTGCTGCGTCGCTTCTTCAAATCAGACCCCAAGCGGGGGCCCCTGTGGTTTGGCCACTTCAGGTGCGCAGCAGCCGCGCCGCCGCCCCAACTCCTGGGAATTCCGTGGCGCCGCCCGCGTGCCCATACCCCGTGCCCCTGGTGCTGTGCTGCCGCTGCAGCATGGAGGGCATGCGGCGGTTCAAGTATGGAGCGGCGGCACTGGCCAAGTACGCCCTGACCAACCGGGCAGAGGTGCGCCGCCCAGCCTGCGACTGCGTCACGAGTTCTGTTGCAATTTTGGGCAACCAGCAGCCAGGGCCTCCCCGGCTGCACGGAGGCTGATGGCCCGGCCCGCCGCCCTGCGCAGGTGTGGCACCTGCTGGCGTGGCAGGGGCGGCACCCGCAGGCGCCGGTGGCGGTGGCACAGCGCACCCACTACTTTTCGGAGCTGGATGTGCCCCGCACGCTGCGTCACCTGATCAGGTGGGCGCAGGCCGCTGGCTGCTGCTGGTTGAGGACGGGGCGGGGTGGCCTGCGGGGCTCCCAGGCAGAGGCAGCCGCTGCTGGCACGCGGCTGCCGAAGCACCATGCTGCGGGGTTGCCGAGTCTCAATTGTCCTATTTGTCGTGAACCTGTCTGCTGGGCCTGCCCCTCGGCTCACCACACCCTCCACCTCCTGGCCCGGCAGGGAGTGCCCCGACTTTTGGGGCAGCCGCGAGATGCGGAGCAGCGTGGAGACCGGCGCCGCGCAGCTGCTGGCACTGGATCCTGTCTTTTGGAGCCGGGTGAGGCGAACAGCACGCCCCTCCTCCTCGCCGCTGGTGCTGGTGGCACGGCCGCTGCCGCTGCCCTGCTTCCGCTGCTGCTCATGTTTTTGGTGTGACTGTCTTGGTGCGGTCCCGTGCCGGTATGGCCTGCAGGAGCTGCTGAGGTGGCTGGAGGACAGGCACAGCGCCAGCGGCAGCCGCCTCTACACCGAGCTGTGCCGCTGCCTGGAGGCGGGGCCCTGGCGGCTGCACTGCCAGCGCCTGCTGCAGCTGCTGCCGCAGCACGACTTGCTCCCATTTGCGACCGGCCTGCTAGATAGCAGCAGGCTGCCCGGTGACGGGGGCTGGAGCGGAGGGCAGCGCAGCGGGCAGGCGGCGGGCTCAGATGCGGCGGCGCCAGGCCAGCCCAGCGCCTGGCTGGTGTTCCGCAGGGTGCAGTGGCAGTCTCTGGACCAATTGATGCTGGCGGCGGCGATGGGCTGCTGCCTGCCGCTGCTGCTGCGCCTGCTGCGGGATGAGGAGATGGCAGATGAGGAGCAGCAGGTGGATCGCCTGGTGCGGCAGCTGCTGCAGCTGGGGCGCCCGCCCGAGCAGCAGGCGGCGGTCGTGGCCGAGCACTGGCAGCTGCGGCGGCGCCTGCGGCGGCAGCGCTCAGCGGCGGTCGAGGCAGAGCTTCAGGAGCTGCTGCTGCTGCACCTCTTTGCCGCCGCCTTTCTTGTCCAGCATCTGAGCCGCGGGAACAGGAGCGAGGCGGAGCAGCTGCAGCAGCTGCTGACCGCCAGCGGCCTGGGGTGGCAGCTGGAATCGCCCGCTGGGGCCAGCAGTGCGCACCGCCAGCGCAGCGGCAAGAAGCGCAAGCACAAGAAAGCGCGGCGCAGCAAGCGCAGCGGGAAGAAGCGCAAGCGCCGCAGCAGCAACAGCAGCAGCAGCAGCAGTGGAAGTGAGGAGGGCGGCAGCAATGGCAGTAGCTGTGGTGACGAGTTGGACGGCGTCAGCACCGGCCTGATGGGCCCACACTCAGGCCTGTTTGGAGGCCCTGCCGACAGCGAGCAGGAGCAGTGGCGGTGGTGCCTGATGCAGCCACAGCGAGGCGACGATGGAAGCGACGGCGTCCCTGTTGCTGATGCGCCAGAGGCTGTCAGCAGCCTTGAGCTGGTTGACGGCGTCGCCACGGCGGCAGGCACGGCATATGTTGACTGGCTGTTTGCCGCCAGTTAGACCTTGGTGGCTCAGTCGCTACAGCAGCGCCATAAATGGGCCCTCGTATTGTGTTCAAATTGGTGTGTGGGAGCACTGTAATGCCTTGCCCCACTGCCACAGGCGCCTGTCAGCAGCCCGTAGGCCTCAACTGCGAACGGGGCATGGCGCCACCGACGCCCTGCCCTGCGCCCCCTCTCGGCGCGTCCTGGCCCTGCTACAGCTTAGGCCGGTTCTCTGGGCCCTCCTCCGTCCTGGCGCCACCGCCTCAAACACGGTGCGTTTTACCCCAGGGAAACCAAGCAGGCAGTTGGAAGCCAGTGGGAAGCTGCAGCCTTGCATGAGCGAGCTTCCACGCGGTTTCATGATCTGGGAGCTATAAAAGCTGGCGCTGATTGCCATTTTAGTTAAACATTCTCCTCCGACTCTCTTCTGAGCAGCTTTGGCGCTCTCCTCTCCTCCTACCACCACCCACCACCCCATCTTCCCTGGTCCTGCGCTCAACTCCGCAATGCGCTCCTCTATGATGGGTTTCGCCTTTGCGGCGGCAGTCCTCTGCCTGATGGTTGGAGGTAAGCTCTCCAGCCTTGCGGCCTTGCTTTGCCGCCATGCTTGTTGGCCCGCCGCCATCACCCACCCGCCTGGCAGTGGCAGCAGGCTACCTGCAGCTGGCAGCCTGGCGCTGCAGCCAGCAATCCTGACTGCATGCGGGCTACCTGCCAGCCAGTGGCCGCTGCCGCGGCCGGTTTCCACCCGCTATGGCACGCTGGCCCATACCTGAGCCCAACCACCCTGCGTGTTCCCTCCCCCTGCAGGCGCCGCCGCCGGCTGCACGGAGGGCAAGCACGGCTGCGTGGACTGCTACAACAAGTGGAAGTGTCAGAAGTGTGCCGACGGATGGCTGCGCCACCCAAAGGGCTACTGCGTGCCCTGTGCCGGCTCCAACGGCGCCTGCCAGGAGTGCCGCTGGTATCGCCGGACGAAGTGGTGCACGGAGTGCAGCGACGGCTTCTTCCTCAAGAACGGCAAGTGTGCGCCCTGCCCCAAGGGCTGCTCCGAGTGCTACAACAAGAGGGGGAAGGCATTCTGCACCGCCTGTGAGCACGGCTTCAAGCGCAAGAACGGCAAGTGCGTCCCCCTCACTGGCAACCCCAGCCCCACCGTCTGCCCCACCACCCCCGTCTGGCGCACCGACACTGTCTTCGGCTGGGACCCTGTGTACGGCAAGAACAGTGCTGGCGCCTGCGTCAAGTGCACCGGGGGCGGCAACCACAAGGAGTGGTGCAAGGCCTGCGACGGCGACGCGTGAGTAGCGGCTGCATTTTGCGACAGGGGGAGCGACAGGGGGATTGGAGGCTTCCCTGTTGCTGCTGCCGTCTGCCAACCTGCTGCCTTGCCTTTCTTGTGGCTTCTGAGGTGCGCTGAAACCGGCTGCCGCTCCACTCCCTCCCTTGTGCAGGCCCCATGTCTGCACTGTCTGCGAGGACGGCTCCACCAACAAGTTCCCCATGTACATCGGGGTTGGCGGCACCTGCGAGTTTGTGAGTGGAGCTGCTGCCCTCTGCTGTGTCTGCAGCGCCTGCCTGCCTCCAGCCTGCCAGCCTGCCAGCCTGCCAGCCTGCCAGCCCTCCTTTAATCACGTTGTTGAGCCCCCTCTGACGCTCAGCTCCCTCCCGCCCCCGCTGCTGCAGTGCTCCCAGGCCCACTTTGGCTGCCTGTCCTGCGAGAACGGCTCCGGCGACTGCCTGCTCTGCGACGCTGCCCAGAACTACTACTCTGATGGCCACGGCGGCTGCGTGTGGCAGCAGCCCTGATTTCGTGACGACACCGCCATGAAGCTTACCCCCAGCGACGTGCCTCCAAGTTCACCAGCTTCCCCTGCCTCCTTCCCTCCTGCTTCCCTCTTCCACCTGCATCTGTCGCCTCCCAATTTTGCCCCCCTCGATGCCCTGATTGATTCCTGCGCACTCCTCCAGCCATCCTGATCTGTCAGTCATTTATCTGTCCCCTACAACTTTGCCCTTCCTCCACATTTTGCCTGAAGTGTAGACCGTTCTTGTAACAGAACACACAACATTATCGGTGCCTGGAGGGCTGGCGCTCTGGGGTGGTCATGCGCTCTTCCTGGCACAGCCTTTTCGGCTCTGCATTGCATCGGCATGCTGGGTGGCACCGGCAGCAGCGCCGCGAGCGACGACAGGCCCGTCAGGCCGAGCAGCAGTGAAACTTGTAGGCCTTGCCGCGGTGCCAGGTCCAGAGGTATGGGAGTGCCAACGTGGCACTTCCTCTGGGGCAGGTGCGCCAGGAGCGGGGGACATTGCGGCGCCGCCGCCCTCCCTGCAAGGCGCCTCTGGGTCTCGGCCCTCCCGCCCCCGACCGGTTGCTGTAGTGCTCAGCTTGGTCGACCGGAGCTTTGGTTTAAACAGCTTCGCTGAAGCCACTGGGCAGCCGGTAGCTGACGTGTGGAGATTGAGCTCAATCAGCTCCTCTTTGACGCGTTCAAAGAGACTGAAAGGCCGTGTTTCCCTCACTGCTGGGCGGCATTCCCTTCCCTCCGCTCCTCAGCCGCTCCTTGCCCTCGGCTGGCCGCGCCCCGGTCTTGCCTACCCCGCACAGCGCTTGTTTACCGTCCAGCGACCCACCATGCACTCGTCTATGATGCGCCTTGCCCTTGCGGCAGCAGTCCTGTTCCTGATGGCTGGAGGTGGGCGCCCTCGCCCGCCCTGCCGCCATGGGGGCCTTGCATGGGCCGAGCGTGCCCCTCGCTTGCCGCCACAACAGCCTGCATCTGTAGCAGCGGCAGCCGCAGCAGCTTCCGACACACCTGCGCCCCTCTGTCCCGCCACCGCCCGCCGCCGTCGCCGCCGCCGCTGATTCCCATGCTGCGCTGACCCGCCGAAATTGGCGTCTGTTGGCTGCTGCAGGTGCCGCGGCCGCATGCAGGCAGGGCAAGAATGGCTGCGTCAAGTGCTTCAAGAACAAGTGCGGGAAGTGCGCCAGAGGCTGGCTCAAGCACCCCAAAAACGTCTGCCTGCCCTGCCGCCGCTTCGGCTGCAAGACGTGCAAGTGGGATAAAGCCGCTGTGTGCACCAGCTGCGCCAAGGACTTTTGGCTCAAGGCAGGCAAGTGCCGTAGCTGCCCCAAGGGCTGCTCCGAGTGCTACAACAAGAAGGGGAAGGCACACTGCACAGCCTGCGACCGTACTTACAAGCTCGTGGGAGGCAAGTGCGTACGCCGAGGAATCGTGGCCACCTGCCCCCCACTTCCCGTGCCCGTCTGGCGCACCGACACCGTCTTCGGCTGGGACCCTGTGTACGGCGTGAACAGCGCCGGCGCCTGCGTCAAGTGCACCGGGGGCGGCAACCACAGGGAGTGGTGCAAGGCCTGCGACGGCGACGCGTGAGTAGCAGCTGCATTTTGCGACAGGGGGAGCGACGGGGATTGGAGGCCACTCTGTTGCCGTCTGCCTGACCACCGCGTGTGTCCTACTGGCCTATGCATGGAACTGCTTACAACCCACCCTCCTTCCCCTTTGGTACTGCTCACAGCCCGGGCTTCTGCACGCTTTGCGAGGACGGCTCCACCAACAAGTTCCCCATGTGGCTCGCAGCTGGGGGTGCCTGCGAATTTGTGAGTGGCGCTGCTGCCCTGGTTCCTCAGATGCCTGCACTCAACAGGGCCGCGCTCTGATTCACGGCCCCTCCCATGCCTGGTCCCGCACCTGCTACCGCAGTGCTCCAACAGGCATGGCGACGCCTGCCTGCGGTGCGAAGACGACAGCGCCGACTGCCTGGAATGCGATGCCTCCAAGGGGTACACGCTTGTTGACGGCGACTGCGAGCAGATGCTACCTTGACCGGCAGACCTGACCTGCTGTGCTGCCTCAAGGCGTGATGCTCACCTGCCCTGCTTCCCAGATCATAACACGAAAGTCAGCCCCCCTCCTCCGAAAGATATGATACCCTAAACTCCTTCTGCACCGTTTCTGTCTGCACATCCACATCCTGTCCGAGCACCATTTCAGCATGCTTCAACCCAACGGCCCTGGTTTTCCTTCCTTGGATTTTGCCCCAAACATGTACATGAATTGTCCCTCCTGTGAGGTTGCATTAAATCAACAACACAACTGATGGGATGGACGAGTGATTGTGCCACCAGAGAGGCATGTGTCTGCGGCCAGATCCATAGGAGAGCACCGTTGTTACCTGCCCCCCCAGTACCGAAGCGCACTTGGAAGCCCCGTGTGGGGCCTGGCGGGCAATGGGTCCTGCATCAAGTGCATGTCGCCCGGCCAAAGCTGGTGAGTCAGTGGCAGTGCTGCCCTGAAGCGCCTGCCTCCTATCTGATCTCTGTTCGACTGCCTGCCTTCCCTCCCTGATTGTTGTCTCCTGTGACCTGATCCCTTCCTGCCTGTACCCACTCGGCAGATGTTCCAACTGGCTGCATCTGCATCTCACGAGCCCTGCCTTCACCTGCGCCTGTTGCTGTTGCGCATTGCGGGTTGTGCGTCCTGTGAGATCTCCACTGGCAACTTCTGGGACTGCTATTGGCGCATAGTGTACTGGCCGGATGGCAAGGGCGGCTGCAAGTTTGTGCCATTGCCATGAATGGCAGCGCTGGGGCACTGTTGCAGCATGCCGGCTGCTCCCACCTCCAGCCTGGCGGGACCTGTCGGCGGCTTCCATCAATGTCCTCTGTTCATTGCTTCAGCTCTGTATAGCACCGCTCTGCCTTCCGATTGCCTTGGCGTCAGCCGCATGCGCTGTGCTTGTATTTGCCTCCCTCACGTTAGTCGGCGCTGATCGTCGTGCATCACCAGCGAGTTTACTACAGTGCGATGGCAGCAGCCGCAGCGAATGGGGTGCCGGAGGCAGCGGCCCAGGTGAGGCAATCGCTGGATGCGGCGGCTGTGCTCGCTTCACAAGCTCCAGCAGTGGCCGCGATGCCAATGCATGGCAGCGGGAGGGCAGGCGGCGCGGCACCTCGTCCCGCCGCTCCACCCCGCCGCCTGCCACCGCCGCCCGCCGCAGGCTGTGCTGGTGCCCAGCGAGCAGCTGCCAGAGGATGCGCCCACGATACGTGGCTACGACTTCAACCAGGGCTGCGACTTGGATGGCCTGCTGGAGTCGATGATGCGCACGGGGCTGCAGGCCACTGCGCTGGGGCAGGCTATCCATGAAGTGAACCGCATGGTGGGTTGGTGGTTTGCTGGGGGGGGGGGGGGCCATGGGACTGTTCTAT